CTGTATGTGACATAGAGACATAGTTGACTAAACCACCAGGTGTCGAACATTCAAGAATTTTCAGTGTTTCTGTTTTTATTTGATGAAAAGGTTGCCTGAGCTCTAGGAGCTTTAGGTTTTATCACGGGATATTCTGTGCTGTCAATAATAATCCAAGTCGTAGGAAACTTTAATTTGAAGTTGGATGGTGAAAAATACCTGACTAAACCACTAGATGGCCAAGTGTTAGCCTCACACCACTGTTTAGACATAAAAACAATACATGTATACACAATGTTCTTAACACTAGATTCAATCTAGAATCTAGGCAGTTCAAAGTTGGTTGTATGATGCCTCAATTTCATCAAAGTCATAAAAAAACTGATTTTCAAATGACACCCTATCAATTTGAAAATATATGTATCTCAAACAATGTGCTGCTGGACCAAGTGTGGTCAAAACAAATAAAAATTTAGTATACAACTCTAAACCGGTATAAAAATGCATGGCTGTGTCACGTGTCTTCATTTCAAAATTCTCTGCTGAAAACATAGGCATTGATGGTGTTTGCGTAATTCCATCTGTGAAGCTCAACATTAGCTCGGCAGTTGGTGGTGGACAGTCATAAATCCTTTCTGCAGTATGAATGACTTCTTCAGGAAAACCAACTTTACAATCAAAACTTTCCTCTAGATTTCTACTACAATATTCATCAAGTTTACTTCTTTTGTTTTCACAGGAAACTGCCCTGATTTTTCTTTTTGCGGACTATTCAGTCTCTTGCTTGGTCCAGGAAAATAGGCTGGGAATGGCAGTAGACTTAAGTCTCTGTATGGTGGGTTTGCGCCCTGAAAAAGGTTATAAAACATTAGTTTTTTGATAATTAAATGAACTTCCATTAGCAATGTATACTTTTTACTACCTGGCGAAATATTAACAAGATTTATTCATTACAATCTGGATAAAACTATGTTTGCCTGATTCAATGTATGTTATGTAAATCCAAAGGACAAACAATGAGAGACTTATGCAACAAACATACATTGTTTGTACCTAAATAACTATAATATAGATGAGAGCATGTCATTGTTTTGTTCCTGTTAACATTGTCATTGATATTTTTCAAGAAAGTCTATGAGGCATAGCTTATGCATTCCTGTCATTACTACATTAGCATAATTACTGCTAAAATAATTCTCAGTATGATATACCTCTTGTAAGAAATCATTATAATTGTAGCAATCACCAAAAAATCTCAAACAGATCACATTGAATCGTAATCCAAAAAAGTATGACGTCTTGAATTACCCACCCCCTTTTATTCTAAAACGATAATTGCGGTTGTAAACAGACTTTGGTTTATTCGCATGGCGATTACATATATAACTATATATTTCACAAAGAAAATAGAGTTTTACCATGAATAGTTTCCTGCACGTAGTCTTTTTCAGTAAAACGTGCCTTGCAAACAACAGCTGATTGAGATGGACTCCACGATATCATCGTGTTCTCGTCCAATCTGCGTATGGGCCATGGCGTTGATCCAACTTTTCCTTCTTTTTAAGTCATTTGGAAATGCATGTCCTCCTCTTAAATGACATCAAGGTACACAAGTACTTGGCATCGTTAATTAAAAATATAACTGAAATAGTTTCACAGTGCAGAAACCGGACGGTACCTCGAATCACCGAATAACACCGTTATTAGCCAAATAACACTTGTAAACACCGAATAACACTTGAAATTTTAATATTAGCACATATTGGTGACATTTAATCATTGATTATTAAACAATATTGTATTATAAGTGTATTTTATAACTTAAAAATTATTTATAGAAAGCAGGTAAGTTCATAAAGATCGCATTAAATATTAGTGTGTACATCCAACATTGCGACCAAGGAAAACACAATGGGAAGAATAAAAGAATGATTGCATATGCATACAAAGGGAAGAACTATGAAAATAAAATATTAAATAATGTACTGTATATACAGAGTATTGTCCAATAATTGTTTTTCAGTAAGGTTTCGAAAAGTTAACAAGTACATCAAAGCCATGCAATTACTCCAATCACCAATTAGTTTTCTTAACGATTTACTCAATATTGAATGAAACGTAATTAAGAATTTTCACATATTTAATTTAAATTTAATCAAAAAAATCATTCTTTTATTCTTCCCATTGTGTTTTCCTTGGTCGCCATGTTGGATGTACACACTAATATTTAATGCGATCTTTATGAACTTACCTGCTTTCTATAAATAATTTTTAAGTTATAAAATACACTTATAATACAATATTATTTAATTATCAATGTTTAAATGTCACCAATATGTGCTAATATTAAAATTTCAAGTGTTATTCGGTGATTACAAGTGTTATTTGGCTAATAACGGTGTTATTTGGTGATTCGTGTTACCCGAAACCGGAAGTAGAGGAACAGGATCCGCTACCACGGCGCCACCTATTCAGGAACGATAATTTGCTACTTTATATAACTGCGAAATTACAATAACGTTAGACGGGTTCTCGTGCATAAACAGAAATTCGCTTTAAATTGTATAATATAATTCATGTTCAGTCGACCTTTAATTATTATATCAACGACTGAAATGATTTATAAACATCTAGATTGCAGATAACACTCGAAATTAACCCGAGCTCTTTCCATACGGAATTCAAATAATTCTAGTTTGTCAATCGGTTGACTGCTTATAATGCAAAATACTAATATATCAAAAGTTTTTAAAACTAACAAAACACAATGATCGTTTCTCTATTTCCCAATGAAAATGAAATGAAACAAAAAACTTTTTATATCGCAATAAGAAGAGGAGAGAATTCAACATTTCCGGATCTACTTAGAGCCTAATGACCCCCCACGTAGATAAGTTGGATATCGCGGAAGGAAGGATTAACCCGGCAACTAGAAAGGCATTAAAGCACTGCCTTTAAAAATGGCACTTGCCTAAACAATGTTAAATTACTCATTTATTTGTGATTATTTTTTTCTACAAAATTTGAAATTTATGCATTAAATATCAATCTCTACCATAATATGAAAAGAAATTACATGTAACAGCACCCCATCTAGTCCTTAGTGGCATATTATAAGTCCTTAGTGCACTAAGGACTCCTTAGCAGTGTTTAGACGCACCCGACATGATACCAATATACGACTGCAAAATTTTTAGCGATCGTATAAAAAGATAATATTGCAAAATCTTTCTTTTATATATTCAAATAATTGTAAACAAATTATTTGTGACTTTTTGTCATATCCTTAGACATGATTAGTATCAAATTTGTGACTTTCTGTCCTGTGACTTTTTGCCCTGTGACTTTCTGTCAGTTTACCATCTTATCTACATTTGTTAATATCTTGTCCTCAACTGGCTCAAGTTTGTATGATATATCATGATCAGTGGTCTCGTTAGCCCAAAATAGAAGGGTGCCGCGCCCTGGGTGCCCTCAGCCGCGCCCTGGGTGCCTTCACCTGCGCCCTTCTGCCCTGACGCCTTTTCCCCAAAAACCCTTGTGCCGTTTTGGTAAAATTGCCTTTTGTTTCATCGATTTCTTATCACAAAGTTAAATTACATATATGACACCAGGTGATTGCCCCCAGGTTAATCATGTCATTACAATCAATTACAGTGGATAAGACTTCAAAGGTGTTAATTACTAGGTAATTTAATTAAGACAATGTACCTTTTTGTCATAAATTTGATGAATATGTCAGCGAGTGTTTTTAGCTTGGGTCGGCATTTTCGATCTCCAAGAAGAGTGTATAAATGAAGACTTTCATGACTTTAGAATAGATTTTAAGTCATCAAAATACAACTATGCCTTCACAGAAACGCCGTCCATCTCAACTTGTGAGCGACAAGCAAACAGTAAACGTGTTAGAAATTAATTTTGGAGTTACTTCCCCTGTTTTAGCTTATCACAAATTTGTGCTCCTAAAATATTATCTAGTATTAAAAATAGGGATAAATTACCAATTGAATACAAAATTATATAAGAATGTTACCTTAAGGATATTAACTGTCTTTGAACATACCAAAAAAAATATATTGCAATTTATTTTTGATAATCATACTTTTAGCAATCCATGTTCTATACATTGTCATTTAAGAAATTTATAGTGATGTTAAGCTGCAATCCTACATAAATGGGTAGTGAGAAGATAAACTATCATGACATCAACTTGATGAAGCTTTACTAAACAATTCCATAACACAAACAATGAAAAAAAGTTTTGAGGGCCAAACTCTAGCTGAAAATTTTGAAATAAGACAACTCTGTCACATGTATGCTAAACTATGAGATGTTTAGTTATGTTGTTTTTTTTTGGAAAAAGGGGGGGGGGAGAATAGTGATTTATTTGCCTCTATTGGTTTATAGTGATGTGACGTATGACATATACAGTAAAAAAAAGAATGTAAACTCGTGATACACACAGAAACGTTACGACAAAAGAAATGAGCAGTGCCTTTTCCTTTCATAAAAAAGTGCCCTGCCCTCCACTGCACCCTGCCCCTTTTGATTTCTAGCTGGAGCACTGATGATAAAGTATAGCTGCAGAACCGTAGCTCTTAGGTCCTTATGTTATTTTTTGACTATTTGCGGACCATAGATCTATAGTCAAAAAATTAACATAAGGACCTAAGAGCTACGGTTCCGCAGCTAGATAAAGTATAGTCCTAATAATTATGATGTCTTGCAAGGCTATTTTTTTTTTTCTGTGACGACTTCCTACGACGTCGTAGGAAGGTGTCACTGAAAAAAAATAAAATAGCCTTTCAAGACGTCATAATTATTTGGACTAGGAAGGCGTCACAGAAAAAAAATAAAATAGCCTTGCAAGATGTCATAATTATTTGGACTAGATAAAGTATAGACCCTGTACAGACGGCACATGTATCAGATATCCCTCATAAATGTTTTTTGGTCATTGGGTTGCTGTCTCATAAGCATTTATACGATACACTTCAATTCTTTTTTATTCATATCATTACCATTCTCTTCCTTGGTAATTTCTCTGCATTCAATGAGTTTGACAACGAGAAATATAACCAAAATCAACCACGTCTTCATATTGATATTCCTTGATTATTATTTTCAATGTGAAATCTGTCTGTTTATTTACGTTTCATAAAACATTTGCACGACCACGAGTGATGTCGCGGTTTCCTTTTCGGAAATAAACGCGCAGGGGAAGTAACTTATTTGTTTACGTTGAAAAGAGCGCGTATCGTCTGAACTGAATTTGAGTGAGTGAACTGGTCTATATATAAGTTACCCAATCAGGCAATGTCAGATTATATGTTATCCTCATTATCTTCCAATTGAAACTGCGGAACCGTGGCTCTTAGGTCCTTAAGATACTGTTTTTTTACAATTTTTGTACCTGTAGCTCTTATGTCCTTTTGATATGTTTTGACAATTTGCAGATCAAAACTTGAAGTGTTATTATACAAGCAGATTCCTGATTTTATGGTCTGGCTTTCGAGTCTGATCGCTCACAGCCTACAGGTTCGTACTCCACAAGTTCACCCCCTGGGTTCGTTCACAACCTACATATTCACACTCTATTTTTATTTAATTACAGGTTGAACTATTGCAGTGTATTGGAAGTATTTTCAGATGTATCTGGGACATAATATATTAACTGGACTTAAAACTTGACAATCGTATCGTAAATTTACACAGACGTTGACATCTTTCACTCCAAATCCTCGCAAGTCTCATTCAATCTCATCGTGACCGGGTGTTATGTCATTTTATAAGGAAAAGCCTAATCCCATTAGTACATTTGTTTTGTAGTATAAAAATATTTATATTTTCACGAATAAAGATTTGTGAAGTTTTTAAATGAAAATTTGTTTGTGTAATTACATGATTAATTATTAAATATTAATTATTTATGATTACTATTAATTTGTAATTATAAAGCTAATTTGGTATTATTGTTATGTGTTTGAAAATCATGATTACTGTTATAACTAGCTTTGGTGTATAAAGTAAAATACAAGTAGTTACATGTAGCTTGTTAGGAAAAAGTAAAATCACAAAAATACTGAACTCCGGGGAAAAGAAAATTAAAAAAGGAAAGTCCCCAATCAAATGGCAAAATCAAAAGTTCAAACACATCAAACGAATGGATAACAACTGTCATATTCCTGACTTGGTAAAAAGGAAGCAATGAAGATTTTAAATAGAAAACATGAAAGATAATTCTTTTTAACAGTTTGGCACCTTTGATCTCGTGTGTGTTTGGACAAGTATGATATACAACAATGCCAAACATGGTAGAGGGTCTGGATGTTGGGTCCTTCATTTCTGTATTCTTTATATTTTAGTACCCCATTATTCTGTACTTTTATTTTTGGCCTATTTTTCTCTATTCTTTTTTTGGCCCATTTTTTTGTAGTATCGGTCCACTATTCTCTATTCTGTAAACGCCATCCAGACCGTAATGGTAACATGGGTAATGCACTTAATAAACGTGTGCTGTAGCCAGTTTTTGTTTTTAATTCATTGTTGTCGTAGCAATGTCATTGTGTTTGATAGTTTAATAGCTGTTTGGTATCTTCAGCCTTTGTATTACAAGTCTTAGTGACGAATGACTTGCCCTTTGATCATCATGACAATATTCATTATTTATTTCTTCAAAATAATTCACAAAACAAAACCTGATTATGTTTTTAGAATGTCACTTTATTTTTAAACAGTAATAAACTTATTATCTTTATTTTATAGCAATTATAACACTAAATAAAGCATGATTAAAAATATATTCAAAACATAACCCTTTGAAAAGAGTGCAAACGGGAAGAATGCGAACAGACCCAGGGGGAGAACATGGTTTTGGGCAAACAGACCTGCGATCTATGGTCCGCAAATTGTCAAAAAATATCATAAGGACTTACAGAGCTATGGTTCAACTGTTATTCCGAGAATGTAGGACAGAAAGTCACAGGACAAAAAGTCACAGATAAAAAATCACATGACAAAGAGTCACAATTCAGATTTGAGATTATTTTTCTTTGAATAAGAAAAAACTAATTTTTGAAAAACATTTTTATTTTTCTTGAATATTATATTTAAGGCAATTTTCAGTCAGGGGTACTACTTAAACAAGTGATTTCATTATCACCTATTTCAGTGATTTGATAAATTCAGTTATCACCTATTTAAGTGATTTTGATGTTTCCTTTGATCTTCAAATGCTAATTTCAGTGATTTTCCTTATTTTGACAAACTTTTATATAATCCCACATAGAACTTAAATTATCCCTTTCTTTTGTATATCAATTTCACCAGTGTGCTTGGACAGTAAGTTAGTGCGCTAAAGCTTTTAAAAGTACCCTTAGGAATTTTTCTATAATCAAATATTCATTAACTACTCTTACTATCAGACAAAGGTCAACAATATTAGATAACCTGATTGGTTTTCTTTAGAGTTATAATGATCTACTTCAAGGTTATGTCCTGATCTACAAATTATTCCAGTTTTTGCATATTTTAAATAAACTGTAAAAACTGACAGGCTAATCAAGCAAAAGACAATTTCTGCATGTACATGATGTACATAGTTGTTTTTTCAAAGGAATTATTGTCTTTTTACCAATAAAAAAGGCAAGCTTGTGGGAAAAATATCAAGAAAATGTTATAAGCACTTGTTGAAGTGATTACATTTTAACTTCTCAAATTACTTGTTTCAGTGGTTTTAAAAAGTCTGTGTCTATTTTTGTGAAAATTTTTAATATTTCACAGCCAAAATCACTTGAAGAAGTGATTCTGAAATCACTTGTTTAAGTAGTACCCCTGACTGATTTTGTAAACAAATTTTTTTTTTTAAAAGAAATCAATAATGATCAAATAATTGTTAAGAAAACATCTTGTCAAAGTGGCTTGGTACTTAAATGGCTTCATGGTACCAAGAAATATATCCTTTGCATGATTAAAATTTGATAAATTCTCATTTATCAAGGCGTATTAACCATTTCCTAAACCGTGAAATGAATATATGTAATAAAAAGAAATGATTCAAGACTTTTCTCTTATATATTCAAACAATTATCATGATTATAAACAAATGTTTTGTGACTTTTTGTCCTATCAAATTTGTGACTTTCTGTCCTGTGACTTTTCGTCCTGTGACTTTCTGTTTTCGTTTACCTTATTCTGATTGGTGCTTTTCCACGCAATTCATTCATAAAAATGAAAATTGAAATACGTCTTTAGACCAATTTTGATTTCTTTTTATGCCCGACCTATGATAGTAGAGGGGCATTATGTTTTTCTGTCTGTACATCTGTTTGCTTGTCTGTTCGTCTGTCTGTCTCTGTCCAGCTTCAGTTTAAAGTTTTTTTTCTAATTTTAATGCCAAATTAGAGTTTTGACTCCAATTTCACGGTCCACTGAGCATAGAATATGATAGTAGGATTGGGGCATCCGTGTACTATGGACACATTCTTGTTTATGATTAAGTTATTTGACATTAATGATGTGATGGACAATCAACTCCTACTGCTACGTATTGAAAGACAATTTTAATTTTTTACTGTGAATAGCCTTTCAAGACTTCATAATTATTTGGACTAAGAAGCATTGTGACATTGGAAAATTTTAAAGAAATTAAACAGCACATAAGTGAAAGTCTTCAATGAATAATGATTTGTTCTGGGATTCTAAGTCTGCAGCAGTTTTCTGATTTTTGCTGCCACAGATAATACACTAGAAAAGATCTTGCTGTTATTGTAGTCACTATTCTTTCTACACAATATAATCAGAATGAGAATCAGCAAACAAAAAGAAAAGGAAAAAATACTAATTATCATTACATCATAAGAACAAAGAAGAGATACAACACTATCTAGACAAAAAAACATGCACACAGAGAATGGTCTGAAAAGTGGTCCCAGTTGTCTTTGAAATTGAAGAAATGTGTGGTATGAAAACAGTCTGGCTTATCTTTTAGATTGATTGCCAACTGGTCTTTGATTTGATTTGCTGTGACTCCTTATGCAAAAATGTTAATCCTTCCAGGATTTGGTTAACTTAAATAGCATCAATCTATAATGGTTCAAATTTCTGTGAAAAATATAAACATATCCTGTCCAACTCAAATTTATGAAGGTAATATATATATACATACATACAATAAAGAGTTACAGAAGAAAAGTTATCAAAGTTATACAGTATAATTGGTTATTTTTTTACAGGTAACTGAAATGTTTTAATGGTCACCTAATGTTAGAATGGAGTATTTGGTATGTATGGTTATAAATATAAGAATAAGGAGATGTGGTATGATTGCCAACTATCCACCAGAGTTCAGAGATGTGGTTCTTAGCTCTATAGTTAGGTTCCTTGAATTTTAACTTTTGATGAAATTTAAATGTTACATACTTTCTCTGATGGTTGCATTGTGGCCTGTTATCTTTTTCTTGCACGAAGAGATATTTCTCTTATCACACTGCATGGAGTGCGATAAGAAAACTGTGTTAATTTGATTGGCTTATCCAGCATCATGAGACAATATAAGAAAATTTTTGACAATTGGCTATTCCTTGGGTCATTGATGACTTTCAAAGATTAAGGCGATGTACCTTTTGTCCATGGCAAGGAACATATGTAATTTCTTCAATAATCTACAAAACGCTCACTTTTCACCTGAAAATCTTCTTTTTGTCAAATTTTAATACATTTTGATGCTAACAAAAAGTTTTAAAATATCTGATGTTCTAGTTTGACACCGGAACAGGACATATGACATCATACTGGTATGTGCAAAAAGGATCAACAATTCGCGGAATTTTTAATTTAACAAAATGAGAGGTTGACATTAAGAGAAATAGGTTTAACAACTCGTCAGAATTGAATATCACTTGATATCAACTCTCGTTATTTAATTTAAATAGTAATAATAAACTCTTTGAAGAATTGTTTATTATTATGTTGAAATTAAATAACGAGTTGATATCAAGTGATATCCAATTCTCACTCGTTATGAAACCTATAATAATAAGATTAAGGATATGTCATGTTGTTATCTCTCTGAAATTTTGTGGTAGTGCATGGATCTAGGAAAGTTCAATTACCTTATCAAGTGAATTAATCTTTGTTCTCAACAAATGTTCAAAGTGAATGAAAAAAAGTCATAACTTGAAATTGATTTTAGAGTTCAAATTTGTTCAATTCTTTCTGTGGAAATAAATTTGATAATTTTAGGTAACTTACTAATTGGCAATCTGTGCTGAAAAAGTCACAGATTTGGACAAATAATGAAATATATATAGTATATATATCTGACTCATCTGATAATGATTTCTTTTTATCTAATAGGTACTTTATACACATCAGAAAACTAAAAAAGCTAAGACTTGGCATGATGGAGTTCTGTCTGTGACCACTTCCAACAGGGTATGACTAATTTATCATTTTTGTCTCACCAGTATGCGAGACATAGGTATTACTATCCAGCGGCGGCGGCGTAAACTATTTGTATAAAGCTTTATATCTCAGAAGGTCGAAGACCTGGATGCTTCATACCTTGTATGCAGATACCTTATGTTACGAAATTTCCATCTGTCATATCTCCATTATCCTTGACCTCATTTTCATGGTTCAATGACTGCTTGAAAAAAAATTACAGTTTTTTTGTCATGTGAATTTCTCACTTATTATGAGTAAAAGGATAAATATATGTGAAGTATGGGTTCCTTGCAACGTCTACATGTCCGTCAGACAGGGTTAACCTTACCTCGACCTCAATTCATGGATCAGTGATCAAGGTTAAAGTTACATGATTAGGTCCGTTTCTTAGATACTACAAGCAGCAGGTCAACTATATGTGGTGTATGGAATGATTGTAAGGGGTACATGTCAGACTGGCAGGTTTTATCTGACCTTGACCTCATTTTCATGGTTCTTCTTCCTGGTACGGGGAAAGACTCCGGTGCCGGAGTGTGGAATATCCCGGAGTGTGGGTCATTGTTCATTGTTAATTTTTTGTGTTTTGGTGTGTTTTTGTCGCCTTGACGGAGTCAAAAAGCGAGACATAGGTATGCTGTTTCCGGCGTCGATGGCAGAGGGGGGCGGCGGCGACAGCTGCGGCGTCAACAATTTATTAGTTTGTGATAAGGTCTAGTTTATGGTGGACCACTAGTGGTAGGTCAATGATATTTGGTATGCAGTTGAATTAGCATTGGCACATCTCATTACAATGGAGATTATTTGGCCCCGCCCCTTCAGTCATGGTTTATTGACTCTGAAACTTTGCTTAGTTTTCATGTATTACTTTGTGATTAGGTCAGTTTATGGGGAACCAATAGTGGTAGGTCAATGATATTTGGTATGCAGTTGTATAAGCATTGGCATATCTCATTTCCATGGAGATTATTTGGCCCCGCCCCTTCAGTCATGGTCTATTGACTTTGAAACTTTTGATTAGTTTACAAGTTAATGTTTGTGTTTAGGTTTCTTTAAAGGGAACGACTTATGAAAAGTCAATGGTATTTGGTAAGCAGTTGTATTAGCATTGGCACATCTCATTTCCATGGAGATTGTTTAGCCCTGTACTTTTAGTCATGGTTCATTGACTTTGAATATTTGCATAACTTACATGTTAAAGTATTGTTATTTTAATTTCAACATTATCAAAATAACAAATTGGCGAGACATATCTCTGTGTTAACAGTTTATTCAAGTACTGTAAGCAATAGGTCAACTTTATTTGGTGTATGGAATGATTGTAATGTGTACTTATCTGTCTAGCTGGTGTCATCTGACCTTGACCTCATTTTAATGGTTCATTGGTCAATGTTAAGTTTTTGTGTTTTGGTCTGTTTTTCAAGTACTATAAGAAATAGGTTAACTGTATTTGATTTATGGAATGATTGTTAGGTGTACATGTCTGACTAGCTGGTGTCATCTGACCTTGACCTCATTTTCATGGTTCATTGGTCAGTGTTAAGTTTTTGTGTTTTGGTCTGTTTTTCAAATACTAATAGCAATAAGCATGATAAGTCAACTATAATTGGTGTATGGAATGATTGTAAGGTGTACATGTCTGTCTAGCTTGTGTCATCTAACCTTGACCTCATTTTCATGGTTAATTGGCCATTGTTAAGTTTTTGTGTTTTGGTCTGTTTTTCAAATACTAATAGCAATAAGTCAACTATAATTGGTGTATGGAATGATTGTAAGGTGTACATGTCTGTCTAGCTGGTGTCATCTGACCTTGACCTCATTTTCATGGTTAATTGGCCATTGTTAAGTTTTTGTGTTTTGGTCTGGTTTTCAAATACTAATAGCAATAGGTCAACTATAATTGGTGTATGGAATGATTGTAAGGTGTACATGTTTGTCTAGCCAGTATCATCTGACCTTGACCTCATTTCCATGGTTCATTGGTTAACATTAAGTTTTTGTGTTTTGGTCTGGTTTTCAAATACTAATAGCAATAGGTCAACTATATTTGGTGTATGGAATAATTGTAAGGTGTACATGTCTGTGTGACAGTTTTTGTCTGACCTTGACCTCATTGTCATGGATCAAAAGCTACTGAATGGTTTTCCTTACTTGTAACAAATATAATGAAGGTTACTCTTATTTTTTTCCTCAAAGATGGAACCAGAACAACAAACATATATATATATATATATCTAAGTTAGATATATATATATATATATATGTTTGTTGTTCTGGTTCCATCTTTGAGGAAAAAAATAAGATGTTGTATAGAGTCTTGCAATAAAACATGTATATTTTTGAAGACAGGATTGCAAATTTTATAAATTATATGGACTGACAAGAGGATCAATGAAGGCTGGCCCCACAAAATATTATACACATTGTGACAATATGTGTCTAAAAATACTGGTACATATTATGGTGTGTAGTTCAATATAAGTGAGAAAAAACACTTATGAAGGAAATAACAGTGGAAAACCAACATACAGTGTACCTTTGTGTGAAAATTACATTTGTTTGCAAATATTTCTCATTCAGAACAATCATAAATGAGGGGTTAGAAATAATTTGACTATTTTAGGCTGTTTTATATGATGAAAGGAAGACCAAGTTAGATTCTATGTACATTAAACCTGAGGCTATAGTAAAGGGAGAACAACTAGAGAGTGACAGATATTTTATACTGATAGAGGATGAAAAGTCAACAGTACAAACTATTGTGGAACCAGCACTCCCTGTTACCTGCCCTGTTAGGGTACCAGTAAGGACGGGTCTAAAGAGAAAAAGAACAGTAAGATATGAACTTTTGTTCTTATGTTGTGATAAAACATCACTGTCTCAGTTTAGGGGAGGGTTGAACACTCACAAACAGGTTTAACACGCCACATTCTGTATGTGCCTATCCCAAGTCAGCAGCCTTTAGTTTAGTGGTGGTTGTTGGTTCAAGTCTGTCATATTTGTTTTTGTAAACTGTTTTGTTATAAATTAGGCCATTAGTTTTCTCAATTGAATTGTTTCATATTTTTCATGTGAGGGCCTTTTATAGCCGACTATATGGTATGGGTTTTTCTCATTTTTGAAGGCCGTATGGTTGCATATAGTTGCTTACATCCACTTCATTTGTACTTAGGTGGATAGTTGTCTCATTGGCAATCATACCACATCTCCTTATTTTTATGTTGAGACAAATTAGCAGTCATGATTCCCATAATTTTAATTGTAAGTGTTAATTTACATAATTAAATCATTAACATAATCATATACAACAGATTTATAAACTCTTTAAGATTAAATGATGCTTTAAGTTAATTTTTTGATGTTTGTGCAACCAAGTTCAACATCCATCCTTTAAGATAGAGAGAAAGTCATAATGAATTTAAATGTTCCTGTTTACAAGACATGGTAAAGTTTTTATCACTTAACTATCTACAACATTTTATAAATAACGTTTGAGATTTTAAATTGTATTTTCAGGGCTTTGTTCCACCAAGACTTGTAAAACAATCAGAAAATGAAGGGAACCAACTGGTACCTCAAGAACCTAGTTCTGGGCAAACTTCTTATTTGGATCTTCTTAGGAATAAAAGAACAAGCTTTCGGAATGAATCAGCAAACAATCAATATCTATTACAATTAAATTCATCCCCACATAACACAGAAACACCCTTATTTCTTAAGTCATCAAAACAGCAGTTATTTTTAGAAAAAAATAATTCTCTAGCAAGAGTTTCAGAGCAAGCATTAGATAGCCAAATCTTGTCTGTTGAAAAGTCTCCTCCTCGAAGTAATCAGTTATCACCATGGTCGGCATATGGAAATAAACTTAAATCCCTCCATAGTCCAGGAAAAAGTGAACAGATTTGCTCTGAAATAAATTCTGAAATTTTTCTAGAAGAGATGTCTCCTAGGACAGATGACAATGACAAATCTTCTGACCATAAAAATATTTGTTCACCAAGAAAAAATGTTAAATCAGAAAATACCAACTTCATACAAAATGATATAATGGGTAGTTTTGATGTTAACAAATACGAGAAGTCTGTGAGTGGAGGACTAAAGTCATGTGATGAAACTCCATCAGAGGAGCAAAATTCTAAAAGATCAATGACACAAATAATGGCATTGCTTGGAAAGAAAAAATCTACACCGTCAACTTTGTCTTATGTTATGGAACCTAACAAGAAGGAAGAAGAAAAATCCAACTCAAATAACATGAAAAATAGATGTAATAACATGCACAGCACAACAAATAAGGATTACAACATCATTGATGGAGAACAAAGAAAAAAGCAGGTAGAAAGATTGGAATTCAGTAATACAGAAATGGTAGGCAGTAAAATGTCACCTAACTATAATAAAAAATTGTCTATAGAAGATAATGACAGTAAACAGTATTTAAATGATTCACTCAGATCTAGTCAGGAATGGTGTTCAGTAAGAGTAGAGTTATCTCCCCTTACACCAAATATTAGTGTAGAAAATCATAATAGGACAGAAAAAGAGGAAACAGTAACAAATAAGATGGAATCATCCACTGATTCAAAACTAGAGACAAGTGATGGCTGTAAGCCATTGTTTTTATCAAATGATAGCTCTGAGGTATTGTCCCCATTCCATCAAATCACTGATTATTCACAAAACAAGTTACCACTTAAAACTACATTGCAAGGTTGTAATAAAACTAACACAAGTCCAGGTAGACAAGACAAAAGGAACAATACTTTACATAGAAGTTCTGAACATGATAAAGAAGATCTTTTTACAGTGGATGAAGAGTATATGGTGGACACTAATGATGATCTTGCTGTTAGCTTTGATATAAATTTCTCTCCTTTGTCTTATGTGTCTGATTCAGACTCCGTCATTGATACTGCCGAGAGGCACTCTACTGTAGGAAACCCAGCATACTTGTCTCACTCAGATTCTGTAGTAACAAGTAAAGATGGTGATTATGCCATACTGGAAAATAATAGTTCTAATGTTAGTGATGTTATGAACCCCAATGAAATTGATATGAAAGAACAGTTTATTGATAATAAAAGTGATACATGTAGTAACTTAACAAAAGACAATTTTGAGGATTCAGATAAAAATAGTAATCCTGCTGAAAGTAGAGAAGACACAAACATGACTCCAAATGTGTGTTCTCCTGAATATACATGTACTAAAAACACAAACATGACTCCAAATGGGTGTTCTCCTGAATATACATGTACTAAAAACACAAACATGACTCCAAATGTGTGTTCTCCTGAATATACATGTACTAAAAACACAAACATAACTCCAAATGTGTGTTCTCCTGAATATACATGTACTAAAAACACAAACATGACTCCAAATGTGTGTTCTCCTGAATATACATGTACTAAAAACACAAACATGACTCCAAATGTGTGTTCTCCTGAATATACATGTACTAAAAACACAAACATGACTCCAAATGTGTGTTCTCCTGAATATACATGTACTGAAAACACAAACACAAACATTGATGATAAAGGAGTCAATAAATCATATTTGTCAAATTCAAATGAGGACCAACCAAAATCTCATTTAGGATCAGTATTGACCATTAATATAAACCATGACAGTATTAATATACAGGAATATTCCAAGTTGGTTGAGGGTAATTCATCTATTCATCACAGTGTTGATTTGGATATGGGACAGGAAGAAAAAAAATCTGCAGACATAGTAGAGGATGTAGCAGAAAATAACATTAATACTACAAAGTTAGACGATAATAATGTAATATCACCTAAGGGAAAGGATCTGTCTAAAAGCATATGTGTAAACAAGACAGAGCCTTATAATAATGAAATCACATGTAAACAGAACATTCATAAAGATATTTCCTGTCATAAAAATGATCTCAAAAGTATGACTCATTGTGACATTCTGACAGAAAACAATGAAACGACAGATAAACAGATTCAAGACCATGCTTCAACATCTAATCTGTCTTATATTCCAAATGATGTCAGTAGTACTGACAGTCTATCTCAGAATGATCTCAGTTTACCGTCTGTAGGAGAACAAACCAATGATTCTATTGAGAAGGAAAGTCACAGGATAAATTGTTATTTTGCTAAGGATTTACAGACAGATAAAAAATGTGAGATGGAAGAAAAAGATGCTTTGTTAGAAGAACACTTTCCTGTTAAATCTTTAAATGATCTGAATTTTTCTCCCGATTCATTTCATATATCAAATGAAAGTATAAGTCAGAATACATGTACACAAAAAAGTATTATCAAAGATTCTGAGTCTGTGTTGTGTATGTCACAGAAGTTCACTGAAAGCAATTCATTTTCTGAAAATCAGCTTTATAAAGAAAAGATGACAGAAAATAAGAATAACTTTTACCATTCCTATGGAAATACGAATCTTGTTTCAACTGATTCTCAAAAGACTTGTTTTAAAATAAAAACTGCTTCTGAGTCTGCAAGCAACTTGAGATCTGCAGATAATTTTGGGACTTTGCTGCATCAGGATGTAAATGAACAGGACAGTATATACATGCTGAATGATACCTGTGAATCAGTAGAACAGAACACAAGTGTACAGGAGTATAGTGAAAAAGAATATTACATCACTGATAATATTTCACAAACAACTGACAAGGGAGATAATTTGTCACAGAGTAGTACAATGAAAACAGCTTTAACAAACAGTCAGTGTCAGCCAGACAATTATAATTCCGATTCAGAAGTTGTTAGTTGGATAAGAAATAAAGAACGAATAACGCTTTCTAAAGACCAGAAAAAACAAGGAAAACATGAGATGTTGGACAGTGAGAACTTTGTAAGGGGAGATAACTCACCAACCTGTAGGAAGAACTTTGTTAGGGAAAATTTCTCTTCTGAATTGCAGAACTTCATGAAAGAAGATTACTCTCCAGATTATAGTGAGAACTCAGTAAAGGTAGATTATTCTGCTGATTATAGGGAAGACTTTGCAAGGGGAGATTATTGTGCTGATAATCGAGAAAGTTCTGCAAGGGGAGACTACTTTGCAGACTGTAACCCTGAAAAGAGAGATTTCTCCCCAGAATATTCCATGAATACAAAGAACAAGATGAAACCTTCAGTACAAGGTCTAAGTGACCATGGTAAGTGAAGGTAAATTTAAAAGTTCAATTTGAAAAAAAAAAAATATGTATAGCTGTCTGATGGAAGATAATGACATGGTTACATATGTACAGTAAGTTTATGGTTGAAAAATTGATTTACCTGAAAAATAAGACTTTATTGAGTATTACATGGTCTTTCACACTGTAGGGAAAAATATTATTATATTACTTCTTCACTTTGATCAACAGTATTTTCATACTTCATGGATCAAAAAGTAGAAGTTTCATGTAGTGTATTACCTGTCTGGAAATGTCCTAAAAGAAAAAAAAATAGAAAAGTCAGAAAATATGGAATTTTATTGAATGTTATTTAAAGTCCTGAATGAATTCTTCAATTGATACTGGTTTTTGAAACTGATGGAAGCTGTTTTCTCTTCCCTCTCCTGAAATGAATGGGATTAATCATAGAAATCTGTTTTACTCTATAAGTAATCATTTGTACATCAGTTTGTGAAGGTCATGTGGATCAAGATAGTTTTCCATGTTCAGTAATTTTTTATAAAAATAATGAGATGTGATATGATTACCAATGAGACAACTATTACAACTATTAAACAGTGTTCAAATAGTTATATTTAATTCATGTGACAGATCGGAACTAGTAGCATTGCTTATGTATTATTTTGATGCACATCAAGATTGCTGACATGAAGTGACACATTTCGATTTCATGTTGAAATGGGGTTAGTGTTTATCAAGGAGACAACTACGTTATGAATACTGGGAATAAATTAATAGCAAAAAAAATTCATCACTTTAATTGTGTACTTGATGTAATAGCACACAAACAAGTTTTTGTTAAATTACAACATAAATACAAACATTTTTTATTGGTAAAATGATCATTGTTAAGTCACCCTAAAAAATCCATCAAGCAGACATTTTACACAAAACTGTCAATCCAAAAATCTCATTGTTTGCTCTAGTAATTAAGAGCTGGAACCTACTTTAATTAGGCTTTCATTTATTGAATTTTCTTCATGAAAAAAATCCAAATTATGAAATAAACAGGTTTATACCAGGGGTGGATACAAGATGTTTGAAAGAGGGCATAATTCAGAAATGGAATATATACCAAAATTTGTTTTGGATGATTTTTGAGAAAACATTTATTTTTTTTTCTGTTGAAAGGGGTGTACCCCCTCTTCAACCCCTGAATCTCCCACTGTATTCATACTTATTTTATTCATTCATTAATTTTGACTTTTCAGACTTACAACATCCAGATGATATTTTTGAAAAGAAGAACCAAATGATAGTAAGACCAGCCTATGTTGGTAGTGAAGAATTACCTATAAATGGTCAGATACAGAACCAAAGTGACTTGAGATGTACTGTAAGTAGAGATATAAGTTATATTTTAAGTATTTTTAAAATTTTTGTAATAAAAACAAAATGTTGAAAAACATTTTTTTTACAGCAATGTATAGTATTCTAAAATTATTTAAAACATAAATTAGAGATTAGTTGGTTATTTGCTGTTTGTAAAGTAAATGATCTTGTATACTGTACTTATTAACCTTTAACAGAGTAATTTGATATAAGCAATGCCATTGTTTTCATCAGGCCTCAGAGAAACTGGAGAGTTATACAATGAGAGGAAGTGTCACAAGTGGTGCAGCCAGAAGAAAAGATAACCAAGGTAAATATACACATTAACCCCACCCCCATCTGTCCTGTTATCCCAGCCCCAGACTGGGAGAAACTAGAGAGTTATACAATGAGAGGAAGTGTCACAAGTGGTGCAGTTAGAAGAAAAGACAACCAAGGTAAATATACACATTAACCCCACCCCCATCTGTCCTGTTATCCCAGCCCCAGACTGGGAGAAACTAGAGAGTTATACAATGAGAGGAAGTGTCACAAGTGGTGCAGTCAGAAGAAAAGACAACCAAGGTAATTATACACATTAACCTTTAATGTGTCCAGAAAAAAATAGAAACTTTTTATACCCCCGCGACAAAATGTCGAGGGGCATATTAATTTACCCCCGTCCGTCCGTCCGTCCGTCTGGATTAGGATAAATTGTTTGTCCGGCTATCTCCTCCTACAGTTTTGGAGATACAGCTTTAATATTTTGTAGGATGTTCAAACACATAATGGAGGTGTGCATGGCCACAGGATTTTGATTTTTTTTTCAAATATTCTGAAATTAACAGGTAGTTGGACTTAGTCATTTTCTTGGTCAGGTGGGTGCATCATTTGTTTCTTACAGACAGCGTAACAATTTCAAGTTGTATGCCAACATTACTGTCAGATCTAAAATATGTGGAACTATACGCATGCATATGGCAGAGTTGAAAGGGGGGAGGGGTGGGCATTGTCCATATCTAGTTTTTCTGTTGTATTCATATGGTCTGTTAAATGACCTGATTTTGGTGGGTCACACCCAGGAATGTAAGAGCTCACCCAAGATTTTGCAATACCCGCCCAGGTCATCAAATACTAGGTAAGTTCGTGGTAAGATAGTTTGCTAGACGACTCTGAAATGTCAAGTTCAGAAACATATGACCTTCCAATCCTAATATGAGATAAAAATGTTGTTGTCATTAAAATCTGGTATCCTGAACTCAGAAGTATCATCCCTAGGGCAGATTGCAGCCATTTCTATTATATGTGATAATGATAATTAAAAAAAAAATATATGGAAATTTGTGGCTATTGTCAAAGTTTTGAGATGAAAACATGAATTTATGAAATTAATATGAAGTTAAATTTGTTTTAAAGAGACAGAACCAATGACAGAAGATGAGAGTTTCTACATTGACTTGAATGATGACAAACCAAGATTAAAAAAGGGACAAAGGTCATCAATAATGTTCCAGGTAAAAACTTTAATATCCATCATGATCCAGGAAATCTGTCTGTTAGTATATACAGAACAATACTGTATAATCTGCTTGCTCATTACTACATAATCACCATAAACAGATGAATTTAAGAGTTTTTATGTCTGTCAAGCAGGATTCATATGACCTTGACTTCATGTTCATTGTTCATTGGTCAATGTTTTTTGTGATTTGATCTGTTTTTCAGGTGCTTTTAGTGATATAACCACTATATTTGGTGTATGGAATGATTTGCAGTAAATCAACCATAAAGTTGGATAGAATAGGTCAAATAGAAAAGGTGTATAGAATGATAGTAAAATGTACATGTCCTAAGGCTAAGAGGGTTTATCTGATCTTGACCTAGTTTGAATGGTTCATTGGTCAAATTCAAATTTTTGAAATTAGGTCTGTTACTCTTATTCTAATAGCAATAAGTCAGCCATAAAGTTGTAAAGAATAGGTTAACTGTTAAAAATGTATAGAATGATAGTAAGATGTACATGTCCCTCTGACAATGTTCATCTAATCTTAACCTTATTTTCACAGTCCATTAGCCAACTTACAGTGTTTATGATAAAGTCTGGTTTGTATGTACCGCAAATAAAAGATCATATACTAATTGATGCATATAATGATTGTAAGGAGAATCCTGTAAGTCTTGCAGTGTTCATCTGACCTTAACCTAATTTTCATGGTTCTTCTGTCAACCAATGACTTATAGGAAGACCTTCTACTTGAAATTCAATCATTATTTTTAAAGCAGGCAAGACATTCCAAAATGTGCATTGTTGTTCAAAAATATTTTATATTGCAATTAAACAGAACAATCTTGACCTTTACATTACTTGAGTCAATAAAATTTTAGGGTAGACACTAATACTGAGGTGTATTTTGTCTTAACCTTATGAATCTCATATTATTGTCCATTATTGAAGATTGACATTACATGATAATTACTAATAAAGTGGGGATTGCGCATTATCAGTGTTTCTGTAATAACTGCAGTCCTAAGGGCATTTTATAGATTTCAAAGAGTCCGAATAATGTGTTTGTCTAGGGTGACATTTGTACATGTGGACTGTAACCTTGTATACTAGCATGTTAAAAACCAAGCTCAGGGTGTCAGTCTAGTATAAAGTAGGGTTCAGATTCATATTATGTCACATAAACATGTTCTTGTGCTGATATGTACGTTATGTATGTTATATGTCACATAAACATGTTCTTGTGCTGATATGTACGTTATGTATGTTATATGTCACATAAACATGTTCTTGTGCTGATATGTACGTTATGTATGTTATATGTCACATAAACATGTTCTTGTGCTGATATGTACGTTATGTATGTTATATGTCACATAAACATGTTCTTGTGCTGATATGTACGTTATGTATGTTATATGTCACATAAACATGTTCTTGTGCTGATATGTACGTTATGTATGTTATATGTCACATAAACATGTTCTTGTGCTGATATGTACGTTATGTATGTTATATGTCACATAAACATGTTCTTGTGCTGATATGCACGTTATGTATGTTATATATGCTACAGAATCTTTAACACAAATTCATCATCATCCTCCTCATTATCCTCAAACATCTACATATTAACATGATTAAACAACTATAACCCATAAACTTAGTGATGCCACTGCATGTCCTTGGTACACTTCATCTGTCATATGAATTTCCACAAATGTCCATTCATCAATCGGGCTGCAGATGACATACTTATCATACAGCTACATTTAGTTATTAGGATCATTACGTCTTTGCTGATGACTTTAAGATTGGGTTAAAAAAGCTTAATGTTAAAAGGAATCACTTGTACCTCCATGGTTGGGGAGACCAAAAGGCCATAGTTTCCACTTGCTTACATATTTACTCATAGTAAATATTTACCAATTATATGGACTAATTGACCACTGAAGGCCAGCAGAAATAAATTCAATATGACTGGTTCTATTTTCAGTTTCTGTCTTCACCTGCTCAGTTTGTACCTAACACACCAGAATTCCTCAAATCATTAACGACAAGAGGGTCATCACAACACTGTAAGTATACTTTTTAGTTAAAAGAACCTTTTGTAGCATTATCTGGTACCAGAGAGTTTGTGCATAGAATGTTCTGTTCTAAGGAAATATTATCCCATTTTGCATATTTTTAGTTTGACCTATATGATATGAAGTAAGGAGATGTGGTACACAGGTAAAATAGCTACGGACGTATTACGTCCGTAAAAAATCCGTAATACGTCCGTATTATACGGAAAACCTACGGACGAATAGTACCACAGACGTAAAACGTCCGTTGCTTCCCATCCATAATACGTCCGTATCAAACCGTAAAACATCCGTTAAACGTCCGTAATACGGATTTATAATGCTACGTCCGTAATACGGATGTTAAGTACCACGTCCGTAATATGGATTTTTTGTACCACGGACGTATAACGTCTATTAATATTATGCATATTATTATATAGAGATATTTTGAAAAAAAATACCTGTATGGTTTGATTTTTATGTAACAGTTATATTGGTGAAACTTTTGATGGACCTGTCAATGACAAAATGCTATACTTTATTTTAAGGTGATGATACTTTTTATCTGCATTCCCTTATATAGTCTCCTAGTGTTCTATCTAAAATTTGTTTCTGATGCAATGCATACAAGGTTTTTGGCATAGAACTTTCTGTCATACAGTGACTTGTTGTTTAACAAGTTGAATATTGATGATAACTTTGATTTAAAATCTTTTTAAACATTCTACATGAATATTCAAGAGTAAATCAACATTAATCATAAGTATTTCAGTGCTTGTCTTTGGTTCATATTTTGCTTTCATATATTAACTTGTTAAAATAAGGCTCTTAGTTTTCTCTATTTGTCATATCCAAACCTTTTCATAGCACACTATATAGTTGTTTTTTTTTCATTGTTGGAGGACCTATAATTGCTCACTATCACATCATTTGAACTCTGGTGGATATTTTTCTCATTGGCAATTCAACCAAATTTCCTTACTTTTATATGATCTTTTAATTATATATCAAGAGTAATTGATCTCAAGAGTAATTGTGAATATTGTATTGTTTCCTTTTTACAGTTTTGAATGTATCTGTTTTCTTAAAACTTTCTTAGAACAAACATAATCTTCAATCTCCTTCAAAGTTCAAAATTTTATTTCCAAGGATTTTTATTCACATTCTAATTTCTTTACTTTCAAAGTCCATGAATGTCAAAATAAATGTCTTCTTTGTAAATTTAAATGTTGTATTTTTTGTAAAATTCCCATATTTGTGAGGTAGTCTTCTATGTCCTGTATTCATGGTATTGGTTATTCTTCACCATGTTCACTGTGAATGGTCCCTGTACGAAATGGGACGCCCGTAAATGACACGGAAACCAGGCGTAGAAATCATACTCTATCAGGGCGTCATTGTAGTGTTTACGGAATGCATGTCCAGGCGTCAACCAGGCGTAAACCAGGCGGAAACCAAGCGTAACTGAGGCGGAAACCAGGCGTAAAATTAGGCGTAATATTTAAATGAGTACGCCTGGTCCACAGAAAACCAGGCGTTATATGCAAATGAGTACGCCTGGTCAATAAAAAAACAGGCGTAATATCCTTACATAATACTACACTTATTTTAAATCAGTGTATTACCCTAGCTGTGTACTTTTGTGTATTTGATACAAACTTCTGTACTATTGCTTAAATTTCTCATTGTTTGACATGAAACTTGAAATATTAACCATTAATTGAAGAAGCTATATAAATAAATACATATTAGACAGACACTGGCTCAAATAAGTATTAAGTTTAAATGAGAATTATGACAATTAATTCTTCCTGAAATAAAACCAGCATTTTAACTAACTTTTTTTGAAAATTAATGTCATTTGAAACAATATATCAATGATAATACTGCAATTTAACTAAATGTGAAAGATTTTAATGTTATCATCCAAGGATGAAGGTTTTCAGAATTCAAAATTACTGTTAAAAAAAAAACTTAGTTACTCACATAATTATCTTTTACCATGTATATTACTTTCCTTTTATTTCACAATATTCATTAATCAATTTGTTTCCATATTAATTCCAATTTCAAATTCTTCCAAAAAACACAAAACAAGCTTAATTATCCCTGAATATATACAGCTGCCATAAGTCCAACTCTTGCAAAATAATACCAAAGAGTCAAATTTTGAAAAAAAATCCCATGATCCTTTATCAACAAAGCATTATGGGTATTATGATTTACGCCATACCAACAGTTTTACGCCCGTAGGAAAATTTACGCCTTGCTTATTTCAATTTACGCCAGGTTTACCATATTTTCTACGCCCGTAAGGACTTCAAATTTACGTTTCCTGTTCCATTACGCCTGGATCTGGACACATAACTACCACTTACGCCTGGTTTACGCCAGATTTCCAGGCGTAATACGCCTTATAACTTCGTACGGGTAACTGAAATAAAATATTCATAAATAATATAAATTTAACTTCCATGAAGTAATGTTATAATAATTAATAGTCTAATACACTTAAGAGGTCCCAAACTGCCTACAAAGTATATGCCTATGACATATTGTGAGTTTTAGCATGTTAAATTAAATTGCTCCAACCCTGAACAGTTGGGGCAAAAATGGACACAATATTCGCATTTGATACAGGTCTGAATTTGGATTGTTATTAAATATTTGACAAATAATAGGTTTCTGACACAGAATAAATGTAGTCAAAGAACTAGAATTGGTTATATGATTTGAATTTATATTCATTTTTTTGCTTTTGTGCAGTACACTATGCTGTTGCGAATTGACACCCCTCCCCCAAATAATATTTGAAGAAATTTTTTTTTTTAATTTCTGACGATGATGTGATTTTTGGCGGTTGTATAAAAAACTGCTGTCATGTCCATGTTTATTGTACTTTTTGCTGTAAGGTTGCTGTCAAACTAATGTAAGCCTTTCCTTTTACTTTCCTTTTATGAAATCTTAAAACAAAGTTGTGTGTGTACTCATATATCAATGTGCAGAAACAGTATCAATAGATTAATCAAACAATGAAGGAATTTTGATCAAACTACCATAGCCGTAACTTGGAAGAGCCTCTATTAAATACAAGCTGTAGGTTGAACCAGTATTTACAAAATTGTCAAAGCATGTTAAGCGTACAACTCATAGGTAACCAGTACCTCAACAAGACTTAGAGTGCACATGCTGACCATTTATTTTATGTTGAAATTCTTTAAGATAAAGGTAAAATTACTAAAAGTATCACAAAATCTTAACACTTTACAGATCTTTGACCATGAGGTGAAGGTCGGATAAATCCTATCAGACAGACATCTACACCAAACGATTTTTTTATACACCAAATATAGTTGACCTAATATTTAAGCTTGTAGTACTTGAAAATCAGCAAAAATACAAAAACTTAACATTGATAAATGAAATGAGGTCATACCCAAGATCAGATGAAACCTGCCAGACTGACTTGCCAGACTGATATACATGTACAGTTGACCTACTGCTTATAGGATTTGAGAAATGGACCTTGTCACTGATCAAAAAAGTGAAGAAGAAGTCAGGTGAACCCTTCTAACAGACATGTAGATGTTGCAAGGAACCTTTATACCAAATATAGTTATAAAATCCTATAACTCATACATGTCATAAGTGAGAAATTCACATGAAAAAAGAACTATATATTTTTTTCGAGCAGTTATTGAACCATGAAAATGAGGTCGAGGACAATGGACATATGACAGACAGAATCTTTGTAACATAAGCCTCTGCTAACAAGATATGAAGTCCAGGGGTTGAAGTCATAAAACTTTGCTCAGTGCTCGGAGCACAAAAATTATGCTCGAAACATGAAATCAAACATTTTGATTGGTTGATTTTGGAGTATGAGTACAAAAATCTGACTCAAAAGTTTTATGACTTCAAGGCCAGGTCTTCTACCTTCTGAAATATAAAGCTTTATACAAATCGTTGACAATGCCGCCAAGAATAGAAATACTTATGGCTATGTTTTGACAAAAAAACATTCTGATCAAAAAACAAAATTGAAAGTGTGAAATAGCATTATATTATATAAATAATAATGTCCTTTGGTCTTTTAAATGACACATTGAGGATCATACCTCATCTTTTTATATTTATATGCTGGTTAAACCTGGTTCATTGAAAAAGCTCCAAGGTTTATCCATGTACATAATCTGATTGCTATATGTTTGCAAATTCATTCTGATAATGCAAAATCATTAATTGGTTGATTTTTTTTGCTTATTTTAATGTCCAGTGGCAAATATTTTATGTATTCTAAATGATAACAACTTATCAATACATAATATAGGCCAGTCTGACTAGGTACACAGCTACTTTAGTACAAGTAATCTTGATGTACAGTTCTCAAGATGCATATCGAATGTACATCTGTAAAGCTGTATATTAACTGTACAGCTATAAAGTTTCATTTAATTTGGACCATTTTTCGGTTTTTCACATTTTTGCCATTTCCATGGTAACGGCAGCCATTTTGAAAATTCCAAACCCAAAGTGCACATCTGCACATGGGGATTGTCATTATGGAGCAGTTTTATCAATGTATGTCAAGTCATCTCCGAGAACTAAGATGGACAAAAAGTGTGGAAGAATAATTCGTAGAATGACAATATGTCCCCCCTTTTATCAAAGGGGTGACATAATAATAATACGCAAAAGTCGATTGTTCAAAAGCAAATTAAAGGTATTTTCTTTCATAAATTGATCGGAAAAATTATGTGGATTGGTTGATTGATGGTTTGTGATCATGATTGATCAATCAATCGATTGATTGATCGATCGTTTGATTGATTGATCGACTGATTGACAGTTTGTAAAAGGTGAGGGGACATTTTTTTTTCCAATTCTGCACTTGATTAATTACTTGATTGATTGATCTCTTATCATGATTTGATCACTTTAATCATGATTTGATTGATTGATCAATACTTTGTATAGCCTAAAATGACACATTTTGCATTGGTTTATTCCTTGTCTATACGTTTTGTGCTGTTCAGTGTCAAATATCTAACGCACAATTTTACACGTAAGATTGCGAAATATACTCTATTTCCTCTTCTTACATCAGAAAAAATGAATGGCGATTAAGGTTATTCTAACACTAGATTTGCTATTGCAAGCAATAGCGGAGGATGTCACCCCGTACTGGACATTGTCAAGGTAGTAGCAATCATTATGAGTGTACCAAAGTCAAATGGCACATCTATTATACATGCCTTTGATTCTGATTCCCCCCCCCCTCCCCCTTTTTCTCTTCTCGTAGAATAAGATTGATGTCTATATCACAGCTACTTTAGTACAAGTAATCTTGATGTACAGTTCTCAGATGCATATCGAATGTACATCTGTAAAGCTGTATATTAACTGTACAGCTATAAAGCTGTATATAAACTGTACATCTGTAAAGCTGTATATCAACTGTACAGCTGTATATAAACTGTACATCTGTAAAGCTGTATATCAACTGTACAGCTGTTAAGCTGTACATAAACTGTACATCTGTAAAACTGTTTGTAAACTGTAGAGTTGATATACAGCTTTACAGCTGTACAGTTTATATACAGCTTTACAGATGTACATTCGATATGCATCTTTAGAACTGTACATCAAGATTACTTGTACTATTGTAGCTGTGTAAGTTTGAAATGTAAATGCTATGATAGTTTGAACTTCTGACATCTCAAGTGTGTGTGTATGGAGCAGTAGAAGGGGCAAAGTAAGGATGCCTTGATGCATACATTACATGGGAAAGTGAGAAAAATAAGCAACAGTGTACATGTACAGTTATACTTGAAACAGTTTTAGGTAGATAACATCAAATTATTTAAATTAACTGCAATTCTACAGATGAACTTACTTTGATATCAGTTCTTTTTTGCAGGACATTCACACCTACATGACATACATGTTCAGCAGTGATATCAATCATTGTCAATACTGTACTTTCCTTTCATTTGGTTACAAGCTAAAATTGTATATATAAATAATTTAATCAAGAAGTCCAGACAAAAACTACATGTAGTATGAATTGATGCTCACTAATTTATACCTTTACTATATACTTTTACTTTTGAGTGAATTGAAACAAAATGTATGCAAACAACAGAAAGAAGATCAACAGTTAAGCTTATAAAAAATTAATATAAATATATGTGCATATTTTAATAAAAGAAAAACCTTTCAATGTACCTTGGCAATGGATAAATTTTCTGTCAAAAAGCAAAATAAACTTCAATAAACGGTTTCCCAAGCAAAGCTGGAAACGAACCCTGAACAGTTGGGGTAAAAATGAACACAATATTCAAGTTTGATATAAGTCTGAATTTGGATTGTAATCAAATATTTGACACATTATAGGGGGGAAATTTCTGGATCCGCCACTGGGTATTGAACCTTTAGATTAAAGAGTACCATACACTTTAACTAAAGTTTTTTGTCCAGAAACCAAATGTCTTTAAAGGACTACAATGTGATAGCAGTATACTGTGTAGCAGTATACGACCCCATATTGTGGTTGTATAAAAAAATTGTTTGTTCTTTTAAACTTTTTCATATATAATTCATCTACAAGAAATGTAGGCCTGTTTGGGATTGCTTGCAATGCAATTTTCCTTATAAATTCAACCTTATATAGTAATGCCGGATTTTGATTGGTTGGTAACCAGAGCATTTTTCGTACATTCTTATCCTTTTTACTCTATTTCTGTACTACTTCTTTACTCAAAAATTATTGTAATATTTAGGTAAGGTACCAGTATTTTACAGTACTTGTTTTGTACTAAAAATTTTGGTACAGAAATAATACCCACAGTGATCATAATATTCCATGTTTGAAAATCATAACTTTAAGAGATGTGAAATAGACAAACTATCAAAATGCTGAAAATGTAACGGTGTAATAACATGAATAAAAAACTGTAGTACTTAAATTTCAAGTACAAATCAAGTACCGTAAAATACAGGAACTTAATATCATGATAATTTTAAAGTAACAAAATGGTACTAAATATTAAAAGTAGATTTCCAGTACTACATAATTTTGGTACAGAAATAGTAGCTATGCAAAAGTATCTGTGTAACCAATGTCAAGTTCTTTGACTACATTTATTCAGAAAACTATAATGTGTCAAATATTTATTTACAATCCAAATTCAGACCTGTATCAAGGAATCAGAAACTTGTCAACATTTAAGTTAAGTACTAAGGAGTATTATTACTACAACTGCACAATATTAATGACTTTACCATAAGTTATTTTTTGGTTTCCTTAAACTGACCTCATCACAAATATCAACAAATTGTTTACGGTTTTGTAAAAAAAATAATTTGTCACTTCTAACATGGATAATTTTCGACTTGCCCACAACAAGAATCAAAACTTTGAACTCTATGACCTCAAACTTTAAAATAATCTTGGAAACTACATGTACAATAACATGATGTACCGAGTCTGACAAGAAAAAAATATTCAAATAAAGTCATCATTTTAATAACATACCTCTCATCACAAAATTATTCATTGACTACTGCTCCTCTGTGCTCATATGCACATAAATCAATATGACAATCTATGAAACCACTATATAATCTAGACATCAATGACATAAATGAATTCTGTTCTGTTGCTTAGCTTCTCCTACTTCTCAAAGTACTTGTACTTTCATTGAAAATGCTAAAAGAAATAATGGTTAATGAAATGAAGTTATAATATCTGCCAAAATTGCCTTTAATATTTGATCCGGCAAAATTGGCTTAGTTTGATCTTTTAAAACTAGACCAACAAACTTTCCCTGAAAAAATAGAGGCTTCCAAGAGCCTCAGTCACTCACCAGTATCCACTGTGGTTTTGGAAATCATGTAAAATAACGTTTAAATCATAATAAATAGTATTAGATACCCCAATAATGATTGTGGCCAAGTTTGGTTAAATTTGGCCGAGCAGTTTTAGAGAAGATTTTAGTAAAAGATTACAAAAATTTACGAAAAATGGTTAATAAAATTGACTATAAAGGACAATAACTCCTTAAAAGGTCAATTGACAATTTTGGTCCTGTCGACTTATTTGTAGATCTTACTTTGCTGAACATTATTTCTGTTTACAGTTTATCTCTATCTCTAATAATATTCAAAATAATTACCAAAAACTGCAAAATTTCCCTAAAATTACCAATTCAGGGGCAGCAACCCAACAACAGGTTGTCTGATTTGTCTAAAAATTTCATAGCAGATAGAACTTAACCTGGTGAACGTTTTAACCCCACGTCAGATTTGCTCTGAATGCTTTAGTCTCAGAGATACATGTGTAGGACTTGGAACTGCGATGGTACTCCGAAGTGCGATGGTCACGCCGAAGTGCGATGGTCCATGCTGATGTGCGTTGGTTAACACGCTGAAGTGCAATGGTCCATTGTGACACTAACTTGTTGTTAGATATGCTGAAGTGCGTTTGGTGGGTACGCTGAAGTGCGATGGTCTAACTGTGACGTTGTGTATACTAGCTAAATGTAATGGTCTGAAGTTGAAATCCCATTTTTAAATGTGGCGGTGTAGTGGTTAATGTGCTAGCCTCGCATTTGGAAGACCGGGTTTTCTGGTCAGGTCAAAATAAAGACTTTAATTTTTAATTTGCTAATGTTTTGCTTAGTATACAACAGTATGAGGCAGAAAATAGACTGGATGGCTCAGATTAAGTATAATGGATTCGAGTTGGGGGACATTGTTTTTATAATGAGCATTCAAGTGCGATAAAAAATAAAACGGGTATAGCACAGCGCTCTTTGTAGTACTAACTAAGCAGGATACATTTAATTTTATCAAATATACTAGTAACTTGTTCTTGTCATGTCAGTAGCTACGAAATTTCTCACAACACTCATGCATCTATTTATTTAATAAATCATAACAGTTTTTAAGAAATAAAAACTACTGATTACATTTATGCTTGACATATAGTGAGACATGACGCTTGTTCTGTCATTAGCTTGAGAATTAGCTGATTTTTCGCTAAGCAGCAGAAACTGAGAATTACAACAAGTTGGCACCATTTGGGTTTCTTTTGGCCTAACCCATAGCAGAATATTAATACTTTAAACAAAATAAAATAACCAAGATTGCCCGTTTTCTTACAAAGCATGCCGGATTCATTTCGAGAATAAAACAAAATTATCGCTACTTGATATAACGAAAACATTGCTAATAATTAATTTATTATTTTTAAAATTTGGCCACACAAAATCATGTGATGTTAACTTGAGGAGAAGTCAAATTTTATATAAGACCAAGACATGCTCAAAACTGTTTGGGACTTAAATCGTTCGTTTCATTCTGTTTCCTTTCCTTAGTACGTACGAAACCTTCATCTACAAATCTTATTCTCCTGCCTGTGAATCCATTTGTTTCATAACGTTGTATTTGAAAACGTCACAATATCAAACGTCATGCAAAATCATCCCACTTTATCGAAAGGACCATCGCACTTCGGCGTGGACCATCGCACTTCAGCGTCCCCATCGCACCTCCGAGTCCTACACATGTATAAGCCAAAAACTGCATTTTACCCCTATGTTCTATTTTTAGCCATGTTGGCATGTTAGTTAGCAGGAGAGGTCATCTGACACATATTTCTAACTAAATATCCTAATGATGTTTGTGGCCAAGTTTGGTTCAATTTGACTCCCTAGTTTCAGAAGAGAAGATTTTTGTAAGTTAACAGCAACGGACAACGACGACAGACGCCTTGTGATGAGAAAAGCTAATAAACAGCAGTGCCACGAGCGCATGATACACCCGTCGTCTTGTGTGTGAAGTTTTATGCAATAATCATAAATAGTTTCTGAGATACAGCGCGACATGTTAAAACCCCCCTTTTTTACAAAAAACTCAATAACTCTAAAATAAAATTTTGAATCATCACCAAAAAGTAAACAGATCTTAAGATTAATATAAATAAGTAGTGTGTAAAGTTTTAAGCAACAATAATACATGTTTTTTGAGATACGGCGCGACATGTGAAAAAAACACACCCCTGTTTTAGCTATAAAGTCTTGTAACTACGAAAGTTTAAATCTTATTTTCACCAAAAAGTATGCAGATAGTTTGACCATCATAAGAAACGACTATGTTAAGATTCATTAAATTTGGATAAGTGGTTCTCAAGTTACAGTGCGACATGTGGACGCCAGAGAGACAGACGGCCGGAAGCCAGACATTTGTATACCATAATATGTCCTGTAAAAATTTTGACAGGCGTATAAAAATGACTATAAAAAATCAAAGTATTTAATCATTTTAATGTTCTAATGATCTAATCCATCATATAAAATCCATATGACCCTTGAATGAAGGGATGAACAAAAGCGGTTATATACATGTATAATTGGATCTCTGAATCTGTCATGATTTATAATTCCAATCTTTGGGCATCAACTTACCATAAAGTTATTTTAATAATCATGATACTTTTTGAAATTTGAAGTCATTCAAAAATGTTTAAATTATACCAAAAGTTGAACTAGTATTTGATATTCATTGATATAAGGTAATATCTGAGAAATGGACTAAACGAGACAAGGTTTGGTGGTAAATACATGTACATGTACCTTGAAAGTTGTTATTGGCTTTGAACTAGCTGTTAGCAATTGGGAGTACTCTCAGATCTATACTTAGTCTTTTTAGTTTTGGGGATGTATAAATCTGCTTTAAAAGCCCTTTTCACACCAATATCCCAGCTAAGGTGGTTGGTTTAGTACCACAAACTACTAGTCTAGCCCCACCACAACCTTTTGAATGCGTCTGTCTCATGTCAGAAGCCTGTTAGTGTTATTCAGTGGTTCAGTTTGTCGTTTGTTGCTGTTTATAATATTTTGTTTTTTTGGTTCTGTTTTTTATATATTACATTGTATAAATTAGTCTGTTAGTTTTCTGGTTTGAATTGATTTACAAATTTGTGATTCTCATATAGGGTCTTTAAAACCTGACTATGCGGTATTGGCTTTGCTCATTGTTGAAGGATGTACAGTGACCTATTGTTGTTAACTTCAATGTCATTTGATTTCTGGTGGAGAGTTGTCTTTTCTCATTGGTGTAAACAATATTTTATTTTGAAAATAATTACGTAATTTAAACATTATTATCATTACAATATGACAGATTTATTAGGATTGAAAAACAAGTGAATTTACACTTTTAAAAATTCCTCTATTTTTTCTCATTGGCAATCACCACATTTTCTTATTTTTATATTTACATTACATACATGTAAAGCAGACCTTTCATCTTCTCGAGGAGTCCACTTCCTATGTACAACCAGGGGGCCCAAACAGCATCATCATGCATGATTTTGAGTCAGCTAAAAAAAGAATCAAATAGATTATGATACAATAAATAAATACATAAATTACATAATAATTTAATAATAAATAATGAATCTACAATCATATTTTAAGAAGTGATACATCATTTTAAATCAATAAATATCATATATTAAATTTCGATTTCTTTGTATCAGTGTCTTCTAATTTCTGGGTAGATAAGTAAATACGGGCGAGTTGGCAGACCTTTATTTTTTTTATATTCTATATTCATTTGGATTTTACCCAAGTTAGGCGAGTTGCCATTGTTGACAGGAGTATATTTTACGGATTTAACCCTTTTCATAAGTGGGGCAATTTTTTTTAAAAGCGGGGCGAGTTGGTAAGGAAGCCACCACTTGATTTTTATGGGGTGGGGGCTAGGATAAGAATGTTATCCCGCATTTTTTTTTAATTGAAATCTCTGTCCTGCCAGTTAATTTTTCACTATATTTGTTCCTGGTAATTCTTTACATAAATCCTAGCTTTTTTTAACTTATAAGTTGACAGAACTCCAGTTCCGCATATTTTTCAAATAACACACCCCTACCAGTACCCCCCAATAAAACTCACATGGTAGCTCCCTTAACAAGAGTGGGATATTTTTAAAAAGGGAGGCGTGTTGTTAAAAAAGTAGGGCGTTTTGCCAGTGGGTCGAGTTGACTTGCGTCCGTTCTTGACAATCTTTGACTGATTTTCGGGTTTGCATGCGATGACATTTATAAAGTCAATTTTTTTTCGTGAAAAGTATAGCACTAGCATCTTCTTAAATATGTACATGATAATATTTACCTTTCGTTGCGCTTTCCAAGTACAAAATATTGGGTACGTAATCTGTTAAGAGAAACACAACTTTCTTTCGTTCCCCGGTTTATCTGTTCATACTAATAACTTTTTGACCCATCGGTTTTGAAAAACCAGAGTTCTTTGTATTATCTACCTGACTATAATATATCTTTCCATTCTTTAAACTCAAGGATTTGTACAGTGACACTATACAAATCCTTGTTAAACTGTAAAACATCTTCAATCTTCAATCACCACATGGTAAAACATGAATTCAGCAGCAGACGAGCGTCCATGGATTTTGCGTCATAGTATAAAAAACGGCAACGGAGAAAATATTTCCGGGTTTTCGTATTCGACGTGTCAAGCTTTCGTACATTTACGATCATTTACGTATATGAGAGTTAGTCCGGAACCCGGTCTGGAATCAAGAATGGGGAATTAAGTAGAGATAATAATTACAAAAAAGTTCAGAAGTGGTACACTGAGTATTATATGCCTTTGTTATAATCAAGGATTTGTATACTCTACAAATCCTTAATATAAGACTATGAAGAATCAGAGACATACATGTACATTCGTACATGTCTCTGGAAGAAGTGAGAATAAAGAAAAAACTAAATAAAGAATATTTAATTATTTATTTATTATTTAATCTATAACTTATTCACTTATTTTACATTTTGTTCTATTCAGAATTAAATACAAGACTGTTTGCTGAGGGGGTGGTGCCGCGGAATTATGGAAAATTGACAAACGAGGATTACTCTTATCAGAGACATATAATACTTATATGTCTCTGCTCTTATCAAGGATTTGTATATTATTACTATACAAATCCTAGCTCTAATCAGAGAAGAACTAAAGGTTAAACAGTAACTCAATAATAAATAAAATATAAACATAGGAATGCTCTTGGTTACAGAATTGGCTTAAGGAGTCTATCAGTCTTGGCGGAGACTTAAAGGGGGGGGGGGGTCACTTATGTATTCATTTAAGTGCATTCGAAATTTTACTAATCGGACAGACCTTCAGTTAAGAATCCGTGTCAAGTTCTTTTGTAATCATGATTATTAGGAAACATCTTATAAGTTTTCCTACTGCCTCCTTGATTTACTCTATACAAGGTTCTACACAAGTATTATAATAGCCAGTGCTACATTATCACCCTGATCGATCCTTGAAATGGCTAAATTTTGAACTTGATCTATTGGTCCAAGGTTAAACAATATATTTTGTTTTATAATTCTCAACTTATGAACTTTGCTTGCAAATACTTTAATCACTATCTCCTATATTCAACGAAAAGCTCACCAGATCTTAGGGACGAGTCGACATCAAAAGTTCAATGTAGGATAATTCACTGACCCCCCCCCCCCCCCTTTTCACTTAATTTGGGAAAAATTGATTTGATATATATGTAAAATTGATGTTGGATAAACAAAACTTGCAGCAATTTTTACCCACCCACCCCACCCCCAAACTATTTGATTTAAGTTTTTTTTTTTATCCTACATCGATCTTATGATGTCGTCAGTCCCTTATGTTATCATGTTTGTCAAAATGTCGAATCAAATCAAAATTTTACTTACTAAATTTGCAATTATACTAAGACGTAGGTTGCCACATGTTGAGCAGCCCCGGGAAGTTCCGAACTGTTCACTACTATCACTACTTGAGTTCATTCATGTATTTTGGATGTTCATGTTGCACACAGAGGCGAATTTAGTGCACCCTGCCCCTCCCCTTTTTGTGGGAAAAATTTGATTGATTGTATAGGGATTATCACTTAAGCATGCAGAGGTGGATTTAGAGGGGCCAGGGGGGATTTGGTTGATTATATAGGAAATCACTGAAGCATGACCAGAGCGGGACCCTCACGGTTAGGCAGTCAGTGGGCCCCACTTATGAAAATATCTGGATCCGCCACTGGCATGACTAGTGAGGCCTGCTTTTTAACAGTCAGTGCCCCCACCCCCTTTATGAAAATTTCTGGATCAGTCAGTTTATGTGTAATGGTAAGTTATTGTTGTTTTATCTTTTATTCTCTGGCTTTTCTCGTTTTATTAGAATTTTGGTTATAAATTAATTTAATTGGTATCCTCTTTCAATTTCATCATTAACAATAGACCTACACCAAAAGGCCCTGTACTGTAATTTTCTATCTTGCCCAAAAATACTTTAAATAGTACTGTTTTCACAAATGCTTGCTTGAAACACAACTTAATAAAATAGAAGCACTGCAGGTAATTTGCTTTTATTCCACACCAAAGGAGAATAAATGTATGATAAAGTTATAATGTTACCGGCATTATTCTACATATATTCTGAGACTATTATAACACTATGTTATAGTCTGAGGTTATAGTAGTCTCAGATGCATTGTATAAGGGCGGGTATAAGGGACGAAGTAACACCATGTGACTATTGCATTGGTTGTCGTGATTTAAACACGATAAGAGTGTTTCCTTCCCCCTAAATCTTATGATCCTCATTCAGTCATTGAACAGGATAGAAACTACTTCAGACATCAAACAATCTGAAACTTTTCAAGTACTTTCTATATGCTCATGTGCAATTTCTTGTTAGCATAGTTTTGTACTTGGACAGATAATCAGAATGATCAACAATCAAGTATTGACAACAGTCAGGTCTATTTTCATTGGTCTCATTTGAAGAAACCAGGTATGCGCCATAATGCGGTAATTTTAATTCAGCCATGTACAATATATATATACATCCAGTCATTTTTACTCAAGCGTTACAAATAAGGTTAAATGTTAGATTTTTATATTCTTTTAACTGCATTCATGGCAATTAATTAGCCATCCATCATTAGTTGTTTGTGGGAAAGACACCAAGCACTCTTTGTATAATTCAACTTAATATTGCGAGGACAAGCTTTTAAAAATAAAATCTTTTAAAAAATATAAAGATTTTTTTTCAATTACATTTATTTCTTAATTAGGCCAAATGAAATAATATGTGTGTTTCCTATTACATCTTTGAAAAAATAGGATAGGTAGGGGATTTTTCTTATTTTACAATTTTTTTTTACATTGAGTCTATGGGCTGATGGGAGAGAAATTCTGACTTTAACAGTGCTTATTGATAAATCAAAAAAACTTTAGGGTAGGCTATTTCTAAGCTTAAAATATAGGGTAGTTGCGGAAATAAGAAACACACATATTTTTTTATTTGACCTTACATACAGGAAAAAGATATTTTTTTTAATTAACATTGTTTTAATTTTATATAATTTCACTCACAAGTTGACTCCTTTTCTAGATTTTTTTTGGAAGATATGTTTTAAAATGGTCGATGGAAAAGTACAACCATATCTTAAATTAAATAAATGGATGTTCATGATGAACATCAAGAAGCAATGAAAAAATTCAGTGTTTAGAAACTCACTATCTTTTTTATTATACATGTATGAAAGAATGAGAAAACTGTTGAATCATCGTGACTGTTGTTAAGAAGCTTTCCATTTAATTTTGTTAATTACTACCTGGGAACAGTCATGACAGTATATCAATATATATGTTCCTGTTACTATACACTTTTCATTAAATTTCTATAATTAACCCTTTCCTCTATAATGATGCCGCTGTGTTGTAGTGCATCAATTGAAACGTTTTCATGTACAGTTAACATTGCATTAAAGTACAAGTATTTTCTGCATTTCATTGAAAAATCCTATGCAAATGAAGTATATAAAAAAAAAAATGCTCTGGAGAAAAGGATTATAAATCAGTCATTGACATTGTCAGTTAATTATTTTAATATTTCATACTTTTAATTAAATCATGTGGTCTTTTCGGAAAAAGATCACTTCATATGTACTCATATTATGCAAATATTAAAAGTTATAGGCTTGAAGCAGAGATTCACTATACACATGTATGTCTGGCATGCAGAATGTTGAAAGCAAGTTAAGAATTTTACTTTATGCATGTATTAGCCGTTGTGCATATATCATGCATGGTACTTTTACATCTTTGAATAAGATATAGCCGTAATACGGATGTTGCAGAAACGTCCGTAATACGTATGTTTAAGAAACGTCCGTGAAACGGAAAATCCGTTTTACATCAGTTTTTACACGTACGTTTTACGGATGTATTTTTACAGACGTTTTACGGACGTAACCGTATCATCCGTAATACATCCGTATTACGGATGTTTTACGGACGTTTATTACCACATCCGTGAAACGTCCGTAGCTATTTTACCTGTGTATGATTGGCAATAAGGCAACTATACACCAAAGTTCAAAAGGCAGGTATTTCAGCAACAATAGATCACTGTATGGCATTCAACAATGAGCAAAAACTATACAGTAAAGTCAGCTATAAAAGGCCATAACATCCCAAAATATGAAATTTTTTTTAGCCTGTCTCAAGCTATAAACCTATAGAGCTGGGAGATGTTTCTTGAATTTAAGTTAATAACTTAAAGTACAGCTATGACCTGCTTCCCCTGAATTATTACACAGCAATTGTCAACTGACATCTGTATGGCAAGGTAATTATATATAACTTATGATGAGACCTTGTCAGCCATTTTTTTCTTGACCTCCACATCATATCATTCTCTAGTGTTTTAATGTAAAAAAACTAATAAGGCAGAAAAAAGTCAAAAATTTATTAAGAAAAAATACACATAACACACTGATAATGATATACAGACAACCAAAACTACAGATAAAATTAACTATTGTTGATTCATAACTGTTCTTTGGAATTTGTGTCTAAGGAGAGACAATGAATTATTTGAAGACCCTTGAGGAAATACAAATTTTTAGTTAATATAAATAGAGCAAATATAAACCATGATATTAGGTGTCATGGAACAAGGACATTTGTTCCATCAACAAAAATGATAACAACATATATAAATGAAATCAGAGTACAAAAAATCCTTTAAAAAATATAAGCATGTTTCAGTTACAAAAACTAGATCAAAGCTTAAGAAAGTACGCTCTTTGGTGTGATTTAGTTGACTGTGGTCAATATATTTAATACCAATGGATTCTACAGTTGAAGAAATTTCTTCTTTGGTCAAAGCTTTATAAGATGGAACTTGTAAATTATTATTTGAAAGAAATAATGTTTGCAGTTACTAATGATTAAAATTTACAAATATACTTTTCCTGTTTGTGTGACCTCAGAAAGATATGCATTTTTCAATTTTAGTAATATAAGAATGGCCAACACAAATATCAATTAATTAAATTAAACATTCTAAGAGCTTTTTTTTTTAAAGATAAATAAGAATATTTTGATTAACATATTTGTTATGATAATGATAAGGTATATTGATAGTATTGATTAACAACTGTCAGAAAGAGTTGCCCTAACTTAGTTAAGATATATGAAATCATCTATGCAGAAAAAGAAATATTCATTAAATGAACATGTATAAAATATAACAACCTTATTATCTTTGCAAAATCAGTTTAAAAAAAAAAAAAAAATGGCTTGAGGCAAAATTTTGGTCACTATAACCATGATGACCTACATCTCACACTTGTGGGATTTTGATTAATCTTATGTCATATATCTATTTCTAAGAAAACTATTATGATACTTACTGATGTTACACGGTTATGATCTTAACTTTTTTTGTTTGAGCATCACTAATGAGTCTTTTGTAGACTAAATGCTTGTCTGGCCTAAACAATTATAAGTCTGGTACCTTTTATGAGTTTTTTTTTATATAATATAAAACTGGTTTCATCAAGAATTAGTCACTGTACATGTGATGAACATTTAATGATAGTTTTTACCGACTTTCTGGTTTGTTGTTATTTATATTATGGTAATTATGTATAGAGCATGCCTTTTGTACCCTTTCACAATTTTTGAATTGAATTCTTTCCTTTATTACTTTCGTAGAAATGATAGCTGTTCCTTTTTTTAGCTCACCTGGCCCAAAGTTCGCCACAATCATTATTGGGATGTCTAGTTTAAAATACGTGTCCGATGACACCACCTGCCAACCAGGATGACTGACATGGCTAAAAATAGAACATAGGGTAAAATGCAAGTTTTGTCTATTATTTTAAAAATTGTGCTCCGCCTGGAGCAGCTGGATATGACCGCAGAGGTCGAACTCTGAACAGTTGGGGCAAGTATGGACACAATATTCAAGCTTGATACAGCTCTGAATTTGGATAGTGATTAAATATTTGACACATTATAGATTTCTGACTCAGACAAAATGTGGTCAGATAACTTAAAAATTTGAAATGGGACATATAATCTACTTAATGGTCCAATATCTAAAATCTAATTCCATGGTTAGATTCAGCATATAAAAAAAAAAAAAACGAATTCAAACATAGTTTAATTTTGGACCCTTTGGACCTTAATATGGACTAATTTGAAAACAGGGCCCAAATTAAAAATCTGAATGCACAGTTAGATTCAGCATATCATAGAACCACCAGAAATCAGTTTTTGATGAAAACAAGAAAAGTCTTGTTTTTGGCCCCTATTTGGCCTCTAGTTTCTTAACGATTAAAAAAGAGGGACGAAAGATACCAGAGGGACAGTCAAACTCATAGATCGAAAACAAACTGACAACGCCATGGCCAAAAATAAAAAGACAAACAGACAAATAATAGTACAGATGACACAATATAGAAAACTAAAGACTAAGCAACACGAACCCCACCAAAAACTGGGGGTGATCTCAGGTGCTCCGGAAGGGTAAGCAGATCCTGCTCCATATGTGGCACCCGTGTTGCTTATGTTATTACAAATCCGGTAAATAGTCTTAATTTGGTAGGTCACATTCATGAAAAGGGAAGGGTATTGTAGTAACGACATAAGGAACATATCCGATATCGGATATCATCTGTGAAACGGTTATTCCATAACGGTCAACCAACTCGTGATGGCGTCCGTAAAATTTACGAAGGGATGATTTCAACTTCACCATTTGGAACTCTTGGTTTAATAGCTTCCTTGTGAGCAGCAATCCTCTATCAAGGAAATCATGATAGGAAATTCAAGCCTGGGAATATCGTATCAATTGGGAGATATATACTCCGTATGCAGGCACTGCTGGAATGTTGCTACATAGAAATGGAAAGTTAACAATTGGGAAGCTGAAATCACAAGCTAAAGCCACAACCCACAAAATCGACCCCCAACCTTCTGTGTGTGGTGTGGAACATTGTGGTACAATTTCATAGAGATCCATTGACTAATATTTAAGTATTTGTCAGGAAACCAGAACCCCCCCCCCCCCCCCCCCCCCTTTTTGCCCCTAATTCCTGAACGGTTTGAGCCATAACTCCCCCTAATTCCTGAACCCTTTGAGCCATAACTCCCAAAGTCAAACCCAACCTTCCCTTTGTGGTATGGAACCTTGTGTTTCAATTTCATAGAGATCCATAGACTAATACTTAAGTAATTGTCCATTAATCAGAAAAACCTTGTTTTCCCCCCCCTTTTTTTGCCCCTGTTACCTGAATGGTTTGGGCCATAACCCCCCAAGTCAATCACAGCCTTCCCTTTGTGGTATGGAACCTTATGGTACAATTTCATAGAGATCCATACACTTGTACACAAGTTATTGTCTGGAAACTAGAAAAATGCCTTTTTTGGTCCCTTTTTGACCCCTAATTCCTAAACAGTTGGGACCATAACCCCCAAAATCAATCCCAACCTTCCTTTTGTGCTATTGAACATTTTGGTTAAATTTCATAGAGATCCTTTCACTCATACTAAAGTTATTGTCCAGAAACCAAATTTCTATGGATGACGACATGATAGCAATATACAAACGCAATTTTTTTGCGGTCCTATAAAAACCATTATAAATAGAGAAAATTGGACAAGGAAATAATGTTCAGAATGTTGAGCTCTACCAATTGTTCATAGACGTTAAAACTGTCAGGAGGCTTTTTATATGATTGAGTTATTGCCTTTAAATGACAAATTTTACTATTTTTTTCATTTTTTGCCTATTATCTTGAAAACTATAATAGATAGAAAGAAACTTTAAGTTGCAAAAATGATCAGTAAGTCTAGATCTAGGTATAAGTTTGGCATAGTAAAAATCGTCAGTCGACTCCTTATTAGAGATATAGCCCTTTGATGACTGTTTTTTACCAATTGTTTGCGTTTTTGCCTTTAAATGACAAATTTTACTATTTTTTTCATTTTTTGCCTATTATCTTGAAAACTATAATAGATAGAAAGAAACTTTAAGTTGCAAAAATGATCAGTAAGTCTAGATCTAGGTATAAGTTTGGCATAGTAAAAATCGTCAGTCGACTCCTTATTAGAGATATAGCCCTTTGATGACTGTTTTTTACCAATTGTTTGCGTTTTTGCCTAATATCTTAAAAACTATAATAGATAGATAGAAACCTAAATAATCAAAAATGATTAGAAAGACAAGATCTACATTTAAGACAATATGGAGGAAATATTATGGTGACTCCTTATTGGAGTTATAGCCCTGTAAAGCAATTTCTACCAATTTTTTTGCATTTTACTTTAAATGATAAAAATTATAATAGATAAATAGAAACTTTAAATAACAAAAATGATCAGCAAGGCAAGATCCACAAACAAGTCAAATTTTGCCGATATAGTAAGTAGACTGTCACTCTATAGGAGTGACTGCCCCTAAATGAGGATTTTTTTACCCTCTTTTGTGTTTTGAGCAAAAACTAAAGAAAATAGAGAGAAATTAAGCAGACAAAATGATCAGCAATACAAAATCAACAAAAAGTGGATCTTTGTCATGAAATCTATTCTGTCTACAATGTAAGGGTCCATTGTTGAATATGCACATAGACCTAGGTGAGTGACACAGGCTCTCTAGAGCCTCTAGTTTTTTACCTGTTTAAGGTATTGAGTTGATAATAATTATGTGAATGGTATGTTGGAAATAAAAGTAAGAGATCTATTTTTCCTTTTCTTATTAACCTATAATTAAGATTAAATAAAAAATTTGTATAAATGAGATTTGTCCCTGCTGGATGTTTGTTTACATAAAATTGTGAATATTGCTCATCTTAAAAAGACATCGCTACTAAATGCAGTTTAGCAACTTCATCTTTTGTTTCTATACTATCACAACCAATTTGTAACTGACCTTTGAGGTCAATATTTAGACATGAAGGTTTCTCAATACCATGACTTTCATTCAGACTAGAGACTAGATCACCACACATAGACAGGATATGAACAGCATTGCTGTCTCTATCTGTCACTAATATTATACCTTTTGATGTTGTGACCAAGTCATAAGGTGTAAAGTTATATTCAGTATTAATACAGGGATGACCATCATATGCCCATTTAAAGTTCCCCCATTCCCCTAAAACAACCACCCTGCCTTCCCAATTGTCACTTTTTGTACTATCTACTACACATATATCTCCATTTATATTTGTAGTGATTGCATCTGGTGATGAAAATAAGAGTTGATTATTTTGATCACGTTCAATTGTTCTCACATGTCTACAGTTATAGTCATATATCATAATCCCTCTTCTACTTGCCTCTGTTAAAGGGAATAAATCTTCTTTTTCAACAAATCCTATTAAAATAGTATTAACACTTGCATGAATACCTCTTGCATGTAGTGGTGATATTGAAATGAAAACTTCCACCTCACAACCAGGTGTAAATGTTGACAAGCAATTGATTTCTGAATTTGAAGCAGTTGTAAAAAGTAATTTATCTTGATCAGTTACAGTCATATCTATAATGTCATTACCAATTTCCTCTGCTATATTTGTAATTTGGCATTTATTATCCTTGAGTGTGAAGGTTTGAATGTTGTCATCTATAGGACACATAATATTGACACCATTTACCAAATTCTTAATCCTAAAAATAGCAGGCATATCAGAGGTAAATATTTCTCTTACTTTAAATGTTGGAATTGTTATAATAGAATCCAAATCTGATTTCTCATCTTTTGATTGTGAAAGAAGGACTTGCCTTTTTGACAAAAAATTGCCAGGTTTAGCAGGAAGATGTTTGCTTACTTGATCAGATGTTGTAAAAATGGTAGATGCCTTGTTGGATTGAAATGCCTCTTGAATTTTAGCTTTCTTTAATCTTAGGTCTGCACTCTTTTTCTTAATATCCTGAAGCTGTTTAGAAATTTCTGTTTTCCTGGGAACCCATAGTCTGTCTAATTCTGTGATAAGATTGCCTGTATGTTTAGTGATTTCTTCTTTTAGCTCGTATTTGCGTTTTAAAATTATCTGCTTTATTCCATTATGTTGTGTTTGTTCATCTGATTTAATTACTTGTAGATCTTTTTCACACTTTTCAAAATACGGCAGATCCTGACTGATTTTATTGTCCAGTTCTTGGAGTTCTTTTACTTTCTGACTGTACACTTCATCAATCTTTGTCAGTTTATGATTTTGGTGTGACTCCAATAGACAGACTGCACATGACAACACTTCACAATCCTGACAGTAAATAAAACAGAGTTCCTTGTGGTGAGTTGTACACTGAATGTCCTTCAGATCCAGATCACGGATAGTTTCACTTGCTCCTAAATTACTGAATTCCTTTAAATCAATCACCTTATGACTTTGATTTTTCTTAAGTTTTGTATGAATTTTGATTTTACATTCCTGACAGAGAATCAGATCACAATTGATACATTTCCATTTTGTCTCATTTGATGTTTCACAAAATTGACAAGTCATAAAATTTTGTGCCATATTTCTGAAGTAGTAGTTCTTGACTTTCAGTACTGATCTGAACAGTTTTCCTTTGAGTAATTATTGTAATAGGTATGACAGGGTAAATTATTTCATAACAAAATTGTGTTCAACTTGCTTTTACTTTAATATGGATTATGTCAGATCTACCCATGTATCTACTTTAATTAATCTACTAATAATAGTTGATCTTGATATACTTTTTTGGAATTAAAAGACAAAATATAAAAACTTTACCTGTAAAGGTATTAATGGAACAATCCTAGGTTATCAATTTTTACTTCCTTGTTCTATATTTAGAACTGAGCCTATTATTTTATGAGGTCAAAATATAGTTTGGATTCTTTAATACTTTGCTCAAATGTTGTATATATCATACTATTTCCAAAATCAAAGTTCAAAGTTTTACAATCTGTTGGTAGTTTCTTATATCTTTTAAGAATTGAGTACATGGAATATTATTTATATGTATGTGACCAAATAGATGTAGAGTTGAAAGTATGAATAAAAGGAAATGTTAAGCATCAGTCAATGAGAGCAATCCAATGACATACAATACTATTAAAGACACCCATAAGTCAATAAATTCTATGAAAATAAATCAAAATCTGCTCTATTTGTGAAGAATGATTTTTACACTGAGATGAAATATTATTTCCTTATTGAAGATAATTGAAACTCTTTGAACCCCTCCCCCCCCCCCCCCCCCCAAAAAAAAAAATAATAGCATTTCTATATTAAAAATTGTAATTTGAAAAAAAAAATGTAAAAATTATGTAAAGTGCAATAGGACCATCACAATTTCTTGACTTCTCTACTTTATATTGTGATACCTGTACAATGAAATTATATCACCAGCAGATGAAGTGAATGAGTAAATAAGTAAAAAGAAAAGAATAAGTTATGTGATTACCAAATATTTAAACCAACAAAGAATTTCCATTGTGATGTTCAGTTACTTCCTTTCTGTATATTTATTATTATACCCCGGCTTTAAAAAATTGGGGGTATACTGTTTTACCTCTGTCTGTCCATCCGTAAGTCCATCCATCCGTCAGTCCGTCCGTCCGTCCCATGAATATTTTTCATCACATCTTTCTCAGGAACAACATTACAAGGATTTCTGAATTTGGTTTCAGGGTTTATATGAGTCAGCTATATCGTGTGATGCATTTTCAGATTCATCACTCAACAACTTCCTGTTTACCGAATACTTGCATCATTTTACACATGACATCCAAGTTGAAAATTTTTGTCACGTTTTTCTTAGGAACTACATTACAAGGATTTCTGAAATTTGGTTCAGGGTTATATAAGTCAGCTATACCGTGTGATGCGTTTTCAGATTCATCACTCAACAACTTCCTGTTTACCGAATACTTACATCATTTTACACATGACATCCAAGTTGAAAATTTTCGTCACATTTTTCTTAGGAACTACATACAAGGATTCTGAAATTTGGTTTCAGGGTTTATATAAGTCAGCTTTACCGTGTGATGCGTTTTCAGATTCATCACTCAACAACTTCCTGTTTACCGAATACTTACATCATTTTACACATGACATCCAAGTTGAAAATTTTCGTCACATTTTTCTTAGGAACTACATTACAAGGATTTCTGAATTTGGTTTCAGGGTTTATATAAGTCATCTATACCGTGTGATGCGTTTTCAGATTCATCACTCAACAACTTCCTGTTTACCTTCAAGTATTTGGGCAGGGGTATCATCAGTGTCAATACAGCAGTAGCTCGCAGTTTCACTTGTTCTACTTAAATTACATTTTAAATTAAATTTGAAACATATTGTCCATCTTGTGCTGTAAAAAGGTAAATTTTGTTTAGAGGAGGCACATATATGCATATAAAAAAGAGAAACATGAGCTTTATGTAGCTCCTACAAATGACTATTCATTTTCCTGCAATTCTACAATCCATAAAGTTATTTGTATAGAAAAATCAAATAAACTTTGTGTTTCTTATTGTATTTCATCTCACACTGGTTTTATTTCTTTATCTTTCAGCATCAGGAAAGTATTCTCAAGAAGAACTGGTAGTATCAGGAGATACAGATTATTTGGACTTTGACAACATTACTGAGTCTGATCTGAAGTCACCCAGATATCTTATCTACAGTAATCAGATCTTACAAAGAGGTTCATTACAACAGGTTGTTGAAAACGAAAATCAATCACTATTTTTGAAAAGTACTGTTAGTCAACAGAGAAAAATGAGAATACCTTTGGTGTCTGCACCTGATGACATCCTGACAGAAAATGGTGATAACAGTTCTGTTCCCAGTTCTAAATCAGATGATGATGAGGAACAACCAGGTTTATTTAATAAAGATATGATTAAAGATAAGTTAGATAATGACAAATGCCTCAGAAACACGAAAAACATGTCAAACATAAATGAAAGTGATAGTCATATGAGTTCACCTACATTAACTTACTGGGAAAACAAATTATTAGAAAGACAAAAGTGTGGTAACATATTTATAAAGAATGATCAAGAATCATCACAAAGTAGCTCTGAGAATCGGGATGCAAAAGATAAATGCCATTATGTAAATGATAATTATAAAAACCAATATGCAGATAGAAGTGGTCCTTTTAATTCCAATATAATTTGGTTCAGTAATTCAGTAAAACAGAACCAAGAACAGCACACAGATAAAGTTAGAAATGATGATGACCAAGGGCATAAATGTATTAAAGTAAATGTTGGAGGGAATTCATTTCATACAATTTCAACTATAAATCCTAAAATAGAAACATGTGAAAATAATATTTTAAAAGAAGATAAAAACCAGGGATCAAAATGGGGAAAGTATGCTGATTTTGATGATGAAGATGACGACTTTTTAACCTTTGATCAGTCATTTAGTGTACCAGGTGTGACTGACCAAGCAGAGACACCTACAATTTCATTACGGCCTTGGACGAAACACAATGAGACATTTAATGGTGACGAGTCATTAGATGTTCCAGAATTGACTGACCATAAAGAGAATCCTGTAATCTCATTACAGCCATGGACAAAATGTAATGATAGATTTAGCATGCCCAACATGCCTCTTCAAGCAGAGAAACACACTTTCTCATTACAGCCTGAAAAAAGTCAAGACAGTTTTGATTTTTCAGATTCAAACCCATCAGATGCAATTAAAGAAAGCCGGTCTTTTAACAAGAATGAACTCATTGTTTCATCTCAGAAATTTCAGAGCACTTCACACAACATTAAGGAGCAATTTTTGTCCAGGCATATATCAGAAAAGCAATATTTATCTCCAGTTATAGCATCTTCAAAATCAAACAGATATCAGATTGCAAACAATCAGAATTTTAACCAAAATACACAATCCACAATAACTAGAACAAATGAACCAAACTTTTCATATGGAAATCCTTCAAATGTAGAATCTATGGAGGAGGATTCTGTAGCATGTGTTCCTTCTAGTGATAACTACAATCCAGTGAAGAGATTTAAATGTCCAGTACCACAGCTTACATCTTGTATTCTGAAAGGAACAAAGGTAACAATTATCACTACTATAAGTTACAGCAATTCTATCTAAATCAGTCTAGTTGTAATTTTTTTTTACATTCAGGACAAGTTATTTCAATATATTTTCAGTAATAGTAATCCTTTATGATTTCGTTTTTTTGGATTTTTTGTAAAATACAAAGGACCATATGCTGTGCTGATTTTTTGGAAGGGTGAACATGAAACCATAATTTGCAAATAAATAAAATGTTGAAATGGTTATCCTTTTTTGATTTCAGTTATAATTAATTAGAATTTTTTATTAGATGATACTTAAATAGGATAAAACATCATCTAAGATTTAAAGAACTCATTTCATTGTTTACATTGTGAATGATGTTACAAACATGACATAAAAGCATGATCAACAGACTTCATCTTCTTCCACATGTGACCCCTGCCTTATATTATTAGTATTTCTTAATTTTAACAGAGAAATTTAGGATCAGATTTACAGTTCCCAAGTATACAAGAAATAACAGAAAACAGTCAACTAGTTAGAGAGATAGAGATTCCTACTAGATTTACCTCCCTTGGTAACTACAAGCAAGTCTTTACAGCTGCTCTAAAAGGTATGAATAAGACAAATATTCAACTGATAATATTTATCTAATTTGACAATTGGACATCATGTGAAAGTATTCCATAGATATATATTTTAGAACATTTGAATGTTATCCTATTTGACCTTGGTGTATATATTTTCAGAGCTTCAGAGCATTTAAACATTGTCCTTTGAGACCTTGGTGTATATAGTTTCAGAATAAACATTGTCCTTTATGACCTTGGTGTATATATTTTCAGAGCATTTAAACATTGTCCTTTGAGACCTTGGTGTATATATTTTCAGAGTATTTAAACATTGTCCTTTGAGACCTTGGTGTATATAGTTTCAGAATAAACATTGTCCTTTGAGACCTTGGTGTATATATTTTCAGAGCATTTAAACATTGTCCTTTTAGACCTTGGTGTATATATTTTCAGAGCATTTAAACATTGTCCTTTGATACCTTGGTGTATATATTTTCAGAGCATTTAAACATTGTCCTTTGAGACCTTGGTGTATATATTTTCAGAGCATTTAAACATTGTCCTTTGAGACCTTGGTGTGTATATTTTAAGAGCATTTAAACATTGTCCTGTGTGAACTTGGTGTATATATGTTCATAATAAACATTGTCCTTTTTTACCTTGATGCATATATTTTCAGAATTATTAAACATTGTCCTTTGAGACCTTGGTTTATATATTTTCAGAATATTTAAACATTGTCCTTTGAGACCTTGGTGTATATAGTTTCAGAACATTTGAACATTGTCCTTTGAGACCTTGGTGTATATATTTTCAGAATATTTAAACATTGTCCTTTGAGACCTTGGTGTATATATTTTCAGAACATTTGAACATTATCCTGTTTGATCTTGGTGTGAAGTATCATCATGCTTTATCTAAAATAGATACCACCTCATATCTTCCAACAGTGCAAGGTATAGATATGTATTTCAATAAGTTATTGAAATGGGTTATGAATAAGTATATAAATGCATGTATACTTGAAACATGAAGTTGTTATTATTTTACTTTTGCACTGAAGATACATAGGGATATACATTAATGACACATTTAGAACTTCAAGCTTACATACAGCCCTTTTCAAACTTGTAAAATTTCTCTTTTCCTACAATACCAGAAATTCTATTCAATTTTAAGCTTAAAGTCCCAGTCACAGATTAGTGCTACAGAAAAACTTGTAGATGCCATTGAGGATAAGAAGTGTCAATATAAACACAAAAGAAGATATGGTCAAGTTTGTCACAGTGAGAGAATATACCTTATTGGGTTCATTATGAAAGGTTAAGACTGACATACCTTAAAAAAAAACAACATGGCACAATATATTGAATCATGCAACCTAACTTAATCAGAAATAGTATGATTCTAAACTTTAATGAGTTGATAAACATTTTTAAAAATACAGGTTAAGGATACAGAAACAAAAAAATTCATTCAAAATTGATTACCTTAAGATATATGTTATTTTGATTAAATTTAGTATGTGATTTATCTCTTCATAAAGAATGTTACTAAAATGAAATAGAAAATAGATAAAAAGTTGGGTTGAGAAGGATATTTGAAGTAATAAAAAAACACTACCATTTTTTTGTTCATCTACATGAAAATAGAAGTAAAAAGTTGAAAGAAATTTATATGGATGTAATGTCATAGACTTATTTTAAATAATGACTGTATATGATTTATTCGTTCAGGTAAAGAAAATAAGGAAACAGTAAACAGTAACCCATTCTGTAAATGTGGAGCTCCATCAAAGATGATACAAGTTAAAAAGTCTGGTCCCAATCATAACAGATTCTTCTATGCTTGTAACGCTGCTAGGAACAGTCAATGTAAGGTAAACACAGAAACTGTCCCAATCATAACAGATTCTTTTATACTTGTAATGCTGCTAGGAACAGTCAATGTAAGGTAAATGCAGAAATCTGACCAATCATGACAGATTCTTCTATACTTGTAATGCTGCTAGGAACAGTCAATGTAAGGTAAACACAGAAATCTGTCCCAATCATAACAGATTCTTTTATACTTGTAATGCTGCTAGGAACAGTCAATGTAAGGAAAACACAGAAATCTGTGCCAATCATGACAGATTCTTCTATACTTGTAATGCTGCTAGGAACAGTCAATGTAAGGTAAACACAGAAATCTGACCAATCATAACAGATTTTTTTATACTTGTAATGCTGTTAGGAACAGTCAATGTAAGGTAAACACAGAAATCTGTGCCAATCATGACAGATTCTTCTATACTTGTAATGCTGCTAGGAACAGTCAATGTAAGGTAAACACAGAAACCTAACCAATCGTAACAGATTCTTCTATGCTTCATAAACTGAGTATTTTTCCTAAATTTACAATTTAAAGTATTTCTATATGAATTTCAGCATTTGCAATTTAGTATCAAAATTATATTAACAGTTTATTTAGATTGGCCTGAGTTATCTATCAGATTAGTCTGAGTTATCTTTTAGGTTGGTCTGAGTTATCTTTCAGATTGGTCTGAGTTATCTTTCAGATTGGTCTGATTTATCTTTCAGATTGGTCCGAGTTATCTTTCAGATTGGTCTGAGTTATCTTTCAGATTAGTTGAGTTATCTTTCAGATTAGTTGAGTTATCTTTCAGATTAGTCTGAGTTATCTTTCAGATTGGTCTGAGTTATCTTTCAGATTAGTTGAGTTATCTTTCATATTGGTCAGAGTTATCTTTCAGATTGGTCTGAGTTATCTTTCAGGTTGGTCTGAGTTATCTTTCAGATTGGTCTGGGTTATCTTTCAGATTGGTCTGAGTTATCTTTCAGGTTGGTCTGAGTTATCTTTCAGATTGGTCTGAGTTATCATTCAGGTTGGTCTGAGTTATCTTTCAGATTGGTCTGAGTTATCTTTCAGATTAGTTGAGTTATCTTTCAGATTGGTCTGAGTTATCTTTCATATTGGTCTGAGTTATCTTTCAGATTGGTTTGAGTTATCTTTCAGATTGGTCTGAGTTATCTTTCAGGTTTGTCTGAGTTATCCTTCAGATTGGTCTGAGTTATCTTTCAGATTGGTCTGAGTTATCTTTCAGATTGGTCTGAGTTATCTTTCAGATTGGTCTGAGTTATCTTTCAGATTAGTCTGAGTTATCTTAAAATTGTTAGGAATTGAGTTGTCTTGGTCCTATTTGTTTTTGTCAGCTTGGTTTTATCCACTTTAAAATAATGAAACTTGGCCTTTATAATTCTTTATATCCAGGTAAGAGATTCAGGCTCCTTTGAGTCTTTAGTTTCATTTGGGCATGGCTTGTATGAGGGTAGAACAAGAATGAAGAATAAACAAACAATGTCTGACCAAGCCTCCATGCCTACCTTTATAATACATCATAAATTGGAGAAATAAACAAATTACTATTATCCATGGCTTTATTAATACATATTTGTCATTGATTTATTTTCAGTTTTTCCAGTGGGCTGATGAGAAAGGAGGTGGACAGAACAAGAAATGTGGAATAGACAAACAAATAATGTCTGACCCAGCCTCCATTTCTACATTCATAAAAAGTCATCATCTGTACTTCTACTGTGATTGTACATTTATAAAGAAATCAACAGAAAACATCATGACACATTTCAGGAGGAACACACCAGTAAGTACTAGGGAAGGTAATCAATATGAAACATCATGACACATTTCAGGAGGAACAAACCAGTAAGTAGTAGGAGAGGTAATGAACAGAAAACATCATGACACATTTCAGGAGAAACAAACCAGTAAGTAGTAGGGGAGGTAATCAACAGAAAACATCATGACACATTTCAGGAGGAACACACCAGTAAGTTGTAGGAAAGGTAATGAACAGAAAACATCATGACAAATTTCAGGAGAAACACACCAGTAAGTAGTAGGGGAGGTAATCAACAAAAAGCATCATGACACATTTCAGGAGGAACACACCACTAAGTAGTAGGGGAGGTTATCAACAGAAAGCATCATGACACATTTCAGGAGAAACACACCAGTAATAACTAGGGGAGGTAATCAACAGAAAACATCATGACACATTTCAGGAGGAACAAACCAGTAAGTAGTAGGGGAGGTAATGAACAGAAAACATCATGACACATTTCAGGAGGAACAAACCAGTAAGTAGTAGGGGAGGTAATCAACAGAAAACATCATGACACATTTCAGGAGGAACACAACAGTATGTAGTAGGGGAGGTAATGAACAGAAAACATGACACATTTCAGGAGGAACAAACCAGTAAGTAGTAGGGGAGGTCATCAACAGAAAGCATCATGACACATTTCAGGAGAAACACACCAGTAATTACTAGGGGAGGTAATCAACAGAAAACATCATGACACATTTCAGGAGGAACAAACCAGTAAGTAGTAGAGGAGGTAATCAACAGAAAACATCATCACACATTTCAGGAGGAACAAACAAGTAAGTACCGTAGAAAGGCTTGTATAGTCCGCGGTTTTATTCTCCAAAATTGGACCTTCCAGACGGGGTGCGGACTATAGAGTACAATAAGCAAGAAATAAGAGAAAAATTTCAATTTCGCGGGCGAGGTGGTTTGTTTACTTTCCGCCATCTTTGTTATTTATATTGTAGAGGGCGCTCTTATCATTTTTCAAACTAATAATTTTAACTCATCCATATTAATAAGTTATTTCTATTCAATATCAAATTAATACTGATAAATATAAAAACTAAACCTTTCATTACAAATTTCTCGTTTCTTTTCAATGCATTGGTTGAAATAAACTGGTATCTGCTTGATTGAAACGATACAAACATAGTGAAAAAGACAACCGTAAACCAGCTTAGAATTTGTAAACTACAAAACGTAATCGGTTATTGTTCGTTCCGTTTTGGTGTTTCATACTGACTAATATGGTTTGTATTAGCTTAAGACCCTTCAAATATTAATGTGATAGATATATTAAAGACTGTTTTACAAAAGGATGGAACTGTTTTACTTTCAAAGTCGTATTATAGTGATATCTGTTATGTACGGATTTCGACTCACACCGGTTAGTTTCTTCTTTTACACGTGCTTTTTAAACTTCCTGTTTAAACATACATAAGTTTCTAAATTGTTTTTTAAGTGAATTAAACTTATTTTAACAATCATGAAGCGTTCTAGAATCATTCACAAGCAGTTTCAGCTTCTGTTTGATGATGGAAAACAGGTTTTTCCAAGAAAATACAGCAAACGACCGCACAGGCTTTGAAAATACCGGAGTTTCATTAGACCTTTTCTAACAGTTACAAAAAGTTTTTTCACCTAAAATTTCGTGGGGAGAAGGGGGTGCGGACTATGTACCAGTGCGAACTATACAAGCCTTTCTACGGTAGTAGGGGAGGTAATCAACAGAAAACATCATGACACATTTCAGGAGGAACACAACAGTAAGTAGTAGGGGAGGTAATGAACAGAAAACATGACACATTTTAGGAGAAACAAACCAGTAAGTAGTAGGGGAGGTAATCAACAAAAAACATCATGACACATTTCAGGAGAAACACACCAGTAAGTAGTAGGAGAGATAATGAACAGAAAACATTGACACATTTCAGGAGAAACACACCAGTAATTACTAGGGGAGGTAATAAACCGAAATTATTGTGACACATTTCAGAAGAAATACACCAGTAATTACTAGGGGGGGGTAATCAACAGAAAACATTATGACATATTTCAGGAGAAACACACCAGTAAGTAGTAGGGAAGGTAATCAATAGAAAACATCATGACACATTTCAGGAGGAACACACCAGTAAGTAGTAGGGGAGGTAATCAACAGAAAACATGACACATTTCAGGAGGAACACACCACTAAGTAGTAGGGGAGGTTATCAACAGAAAGCATCATGACACATTTCAGGAGAAACACACCAGTAATAACTAGGGGAGGTAATCAACAGAAAACATCATGACACATTTCAGGAGGAACAAACCAGTAAGTAGTAGGGAAGGTAATGAACAGAAAACATCATGACACATTTCAGGAGGAACAAACCAGTAAGTAGTAGGGGAGGTAATCAACAGAAAACATCATGACACATTTCAGGAGGAACACAACAGTATGTAGTAGGGGAGGTAATGAACAGAAAACATGACACATTTCAGGAGGAACAAACCAGTAAGTAATAGGGGAGGTAATCAACAAAAAACATCATGACACATTTCAGGAGGAATACACCAGTAAGTAGTAGGGGAGGTCATCAACAGAAAGCATCATGACACATTTCAGGAGAAACACACCAGTAATTACTAGGGGAGGTAATCAACAGAAAACATCATGACACATTTCAGGAGGAACAAACCAGTAAGTAGTAGAGGAGGTAATGAACAGAAAACATCATTACACATTTCAGGAGGAACAAACAAGTAAGTAGTAGGGGAGGTAATCAACAGAAAACATCATGACACATTTCAGGAGGAACACAACAGTAAGTAGTAGGGGAGGTAATCAACAAAAAATATCATGACACATTTCAGGAAGAACACACCAGTAAGTAGTAGGAGAGGTAATGAACAGAAAACATTGACACATTTCAGGAGAAACACACCAGTAATTACTAGGGGAGGTAATAAACAGAAATTATTGTGACACATTTCAGAAGAAATACACCAGTGATTACTAGGGGGGGGGGGGGGGGGGGGGGGGGTAATCAACAGAAAACATTATGACATATTTCAGGAGAAACACACCAGTAAGTAGTAGGGAAGGTAATCAATAGAAAACATCATGACACATTTCAGGAGGAACACACCAGTAAGTAGTAGGGGAGGTAATCAACAGAAAACATGACACATTTCAGGAGGAACACACCAGTAAGTAGTAGGGGAGGTAATAAACGGAAATTATTGTGACACATTTCAGAAGAAATACACCAGTAATTACTAGGGGAGGTAATCAACAGAAAACATGACATATTTCAGGAGAAACACACCAGTAGGTAGTAGGGGAGGTAATCAATAGAAAACATCATGACACATTTCAGGAGGAACACAACAGTAAGTAGCAGGGGAGGTAATGAACAGAAAACATCATGACACATTTCAGGAGAAACACACCAGTAATTACTAGGGGAGGTAATAAACAGAAATTATTGTGACACATTTCAGAAGAAATACACCTGTAATTACTAGGGGAGGAAATCAACAGAAAACATCATGACACATTTCAAGAGGAACACACCAGTAAGTAGTAGGGGAGGTAATCAACAGAAAACATGACACATTTCAGGAGAAACACACCAGTAAGTAGTAGGGGAGGTAGTCAACAGAAAACATGACACATTTCAGGAAAAACACACCAGTAATTACTAGGGGAGGTAATAAAAGTAAATTATTGTGACACATTTCAGAAGAAATACACCAGTAATTACTAGGGGAGGTAATGAACAGAAAACATCATGACACATTTCAGGAGAAACACACCAGTAATTACTAGGGGAGGTAATCAACAGAAAACATCATGACACATTTCAGGAGGAACAAACCAGTAAGTAGCAGGGGAGGTAATGAACAGAAAACATGACACATTTCAGAAGAAACACACCAGTTAGGACTAGGAGAGGTAACCAATAGAAAACATCATGACACATTTTGAACAGATATATCATGTTATGGAGGGGTATTTGCAGAAAATACCAGTCTAGGGACGGTGAAATTTCCCAAGCCGCTTGGCGAGGGAAATTTGGTCCCAAGACTGGTATTTTTCGCAAATACCCCTCCATAACATGATATATCTGTTTAATTACAACGAATAGATTTTGATTGCTGTACATGTGAAGGGAAATCGTAGTACCGCGGGAATTATACATGTACTTATATGCGTTAGTGCTGTCTTTTTGTAACGTCATGGAATCTATATGTGTAAACGTCATTGTTTTTCCATCATTAAATCGTTCATTTGTAAAGACATTTTTTTTCCCTCTTTATATGTATATTTCTGACAGTTTTCGGTTTAACCCAATCAATAGTGCTTAACCATGTTGTCGGGATAAAGTAATAAGGTTCCGAATAATTTTGGCGGGAACAGGCTCGTGAGGGTAAAAAAGGAATATCCAAAATGGCAAATACCACGGCAGAGAGGGGAATTTGAGGCAAATTCACCGGCAGTGGTGAAAAAAAAGGTAAATTTGTTTGAAATGAGGAAAAATTGTTAGAATATGCGAAAAATACACTGGCTAACAACCAATCAAAATCTGGCATTCTTATATAAGGTGTAATTACAGGAGGAACACAACAGTAAATACTACAGACCTGCCACCTTTGAAAATCCCCATAGGAGATTTAGTGCGAGACCAGATTTTTAAGGGTTTCAATTTTTGTGGCATTTTTGTGTGCACTGTTTTTAACCCTTGAAATAGTCTCATATCTCTTCTTTTTTCTTTAAGATAGAGAAAAATAGCCCTTAAAAATAAAAGATACAAAGTGAAGACCCCCCCCCCCCCCCCCCCCCCCCCATTTTCCCCCTCCAAAGACCTTATCTTTGCACCATGACTCAAAAGACCTAAACCTTATTGTCCTAAAGTTAGAAGGATGAAGACAGATCTAGTGTCTATCAGTATTAAGGAGAAAATGGATAAAATTTGAGTTATCTTTCTTTGTGTTCAGAGATGCTCCTACTGGCAGAGGCTTATACACAGTAGAAGTGAATACAATATGGCTTCGATTTTAAATCAGAACTGGACAGAAACACATCTGATTTCAAAAATTTTAACAAATTTCAAGATAAACGATGTTTTCTCATAAGTACATTACAGTTTTCATCTTTCAGTTAATTACGATTTTGTCATGAAACCACGGTAAACGTTGCAAATTGTGATAGTATGATAAATTGATTAAAATTGAAATGCCGACTGACCATTTCTGTTTACAAATTAATTAATTTTTAGGATCGTTATGACTCATCAGATAAGCAGATTACCTGTAACAACAAATTATGACACCTGTTGTGACCGTTGATTAGCTTGGGGTTGTAAACTTGTCATGAATATGTTGCCAGGTAAAATTATAGATTTACAGAAATTGATCAGAAAAACTTCAAAATCGGTAACCAATAATGTTTTTCGGGTAGATTTTGACTTGTTTTACCAACCCGATATTGGGATTCGGGTTGAGGCATGAAAATTGGAATGATACTGCCAAAATCGTGATAGTTGGCAGGTCTGGTACTAGGGGAGGTAATCAACAGAAAACTTGACACATTTCAGAAGGAACACATCAGTAAGTAGTAGGGGAGATAATCAACAGTTAATCTCATGACACATTTCAGAAGGAACACACCATTTAGTAGTTAGGGAGGGAAATTCTATTTCCATATTAGTATCAAAAGTCAAAAAAATTTCCATTTATTATTTTATCTTTAACAGTTGAAAATTGAAATATCTATTAAGGTCATGCCACTTTTGAAGGTGACAATTTTGTCTTGTGCTCTCAAAGAATATAATTATTTTATTGCTATAGAAATGACTAATAGACAGCCCACATGTTCTTCTTTCAGTAGGCAAAAGATAAGGTTTGTCTTACACCAAGCACTAGCAGGTTTTGAATTTTCAAAGTGCATTTATAACTACTTAAGGGGTGTTTAACAACCTTGACTACCCATGAGGGTCTCACAAGGTCAGTTTGAATTTATAAAAGATGTAGTTGCTGAAATGTTATTCTAAGAAGTAGTATTTGTGTGTTCCTTGCACAATACTCACTTTGCTAAAAAACAAACATGCATTTTTCCTTGCAGAATTGGGTAAAACAGAAGATGGGTATGGATATTACAGGCAAGAAAAAGATGTACATACAACTATCAAGGAAAGATAACTCAGGTTTATACTCCAAAGGTAAGAAAAGATGCATATAGAATTATCCATGGATTATAGTAACAAGTAAAGAAAATAAAAGAAAATAAATACTTTCTGTAGTTGCCAGCTTTGTTTTGATATTGTGTTGTTTATATACCAGGTAACTGTTTTGCTTGTACTTGTGTTTTAGTTATCTATTATTCCATTAGTAAAGAGGTAAGATTCTTTTCTTGTACTGAATTCTTATTATGAGAATATGGAGATGTGGTATAATTGCCAATGAGACAACTTTCCACCAGAGTTCAAATGATCTGGAAGTATAGTACAAGCTTATAAATTAAAAGAAGTAGAACAATTGTATAATAAGACTATAAATTTAGTATTATATCTCAAACTAAGAATTACTGACAACAAATTTATTGAGGTTGTTTGAAGAAATGTATATCAACATCATGTTTTATTACAGATGATCTATGGATAATATCCAGACATCTTGACTTCCGTCCTTCGTCCACTGTTCTGTGTAAGAGTACATATTATGGACCAACATCAGGGAATGAGGTAGAGATAGAGCCTATAGCCAGTTTCTGTCCATCTAACTGGTCTAATGGAGGTATATTTTATTTTATAAAGTTTTATTTTAAGAACTCTTTCTTAAGAAAATGATTTTCTGTATTTAGATATTGTAGGAATTACTAAATAAATATAAAACAAACACATTTCTTATTTATCAGCCTCCTTTCATTTTATTACTATTAAAAAAGATGCTCATGTAACATGTGACTAAAGCATAGCATAGCATATAAAAATCTGTTGTCAGTATCATTTTTCTGGCCATTCAATTTATAGGCCATAAGTATTGTTATTCATTCATTTAGCTATTCATTTGTCAATTGGTAATTTTTAGTACCATGTATTGAGATTTTTAGATAAACCAAAGCTTATATATTATATGATAAAACCAGGAAGAAAAATGTATAATTTAAAACTTTTGTCTTATTTCAGAGAAATGTCATGCCATACTAGCAGGAAACGTGACTGGAGAACTAAGTTATCTGGTGAACTTAGAGGAAAATGTCACTATAACAGATGTTCCTGTGTTGCAGTCATTACTTGCTAGGTAAAATAACATAAGTGGTCTGATAGAATTGTTTTTGCTTTTGATTGAGTAAGGTGGTAGGTTCCATACCAAGCCATGTCAAACTTGAAATTAATATTCTTGTCAAGCACATGGCATTCAGGACTAAGAACTAAGATTTATTGACTAAATCAGAATAACATGTCTGGGAAGAGTAGGATGACTTGTCTTCCTGTATATATAACTTACCATAAGAGTTAGCTTACTAACAATCTGACTCGGCATGTCAGAGAAGTATAAAGCAGGGTTCATTCATATCAGATTCACATGATATAATACTTGATATACATGTAATGTTTGATGCTTGACAACAAGCAGGCAGCAATCTATCAATGAACAGTAGTTATTACATGCTTACATTCACTTCATAAGAACTTTGGTGGATAGTTGTCTCATTGGCAATCATACCTCATCTCCTTATTTTTATAGTAGTTATGTCCTCTGAAAATTTTCTAAATGGTAGTGCATTCTTGTAGCAGATTGGTGCTGGAGAAAAGTTAGATATATTTCAAGTACATAGAATTATTGCCTTAAAATCAGAATAAGTTTTTTCTCAAAGTAAAATAAAATGAAATAAACACATAGGGTAAATCATGTGAAAAGTTATACATTATCAACATAAATATGAAATTGAATGAATTTATTGAGGATTATCCCCACCTGATTTACAGGATTTGAGTACTTAGTCAATTTTTCCTGACTGGGCCTAGTTTGAATGGGAATGTTCTATTTATAACAAAAGAAAGGGTAATGAATGAGTCTCAGAATGCGTACGACGTAGTGTTCAGAATGCTTTGCATTATGTTTGTGGATGACACAAATTAGATGGTTAGAAACCCTTGTCACAATTTAATAAAACTGTTCTTCAGTTTTGAAGTTCATTAGCCACATCTCGTTAGGTCACTTTATAGGAGTAACAACTGAACATGGATTATTTTAATAGAGCTTTGATTTTATATTTATACAGCAATACAGAAAGAAGCTCCTCCACATTTACTGCTCCTATTAAAGTCTCAGAGAATACCAATATTTATGTTCCAGAAAATTATGTGGTAAGTACAAATAAAAGGAGGTGTGTGGTATATGTCATTGAGACAGCGAACAAAATGGTTAAACCAACCAATTGACATCTAGAGGCAAACAATTAATTGTCTGAATCCAGCAGAAGTAAATATATTAATGGGAATCCACTATACTTCATTAGAATCTGCATTAATGTACAAAACTTATTTCACTGTTCCAGTTTATAAAAGTTGAATTCACAAGATGAATTTTTTTACAAAGTCATAACAGTAAACACTCCTTTGATGGAAGGTTTGTAGAAAAAAATAATGTTTTTACCTAATATCAGCGACATATCAAAGTTTGTTCATATACAATATATGTACATTGTCGGAAAATATAAAATTTATTTGTATGAGCTTTAGAAACAGGACGAAAAGCGAGGCTCACCAAGCTTTTCTCCTGTTTCGTAGTGAGTACAAATAAATTTTATATTTTCTGAAAATGTACATATATTGTTTTTATCCTGAATTTTACACCCAACACTTGAAACTTTAGTTGTTAAAATCTAAATCACTGTCTCTAATTTTTCAAAGAAATCGACATAATTTAAAGGCAGACCGCGAAAAGGACCCAAAAATGAACTGGTACGCAAAAAGAAATATCCATATTACTGCTTGCTCAACATGGAAGCGGGGTAACAGGAGACTTTATTTGTACAAGTACAAGTACAAATAAAGAAAAAAATTATTTGTGTACCTGTTATTTGTACAATAGTTAGCTGATTGCAGGATAAAATTGTTTACTATGTTTTAAATTGAAGAAAGTGAGAAGATAAGATGAAGGATTAACTAATGAAGGTGAAACTTAAGTTTGACACTGTCATGAAATAGTTTCCCTGTAAAGGTGTTAAAAGAATGATAATTTCAGACTTTATATATTTTTACATTATTTTAGGATGAGAAGGTAGAAGAATTAATAGACCTGTATAAACTGAATGAGGATCAGTCTACAGCATTAATTAGAGTGGCCAGAATGTTTACTGACCGACAGAAAGATATCTTACTTATACATGGTATGTCTCTACTAAAGGTTAAGGGGCATTAATTAGAGTGACCAGAATGTTTACTGACCGACAGAAAGATATATTACTTATACATGGTATGTCTTTACTAAAGGTTAAGGAGCATTAATTAAGAGTGGCCAGAATGTTTACTGACCGACAGAAAGATATCTTACTTATACATGGTATGTCTCTACTAAAGGTTAAGGAGCATTAATTAAGAGTGGCCAGAATGTTTACTGACCGACAAAAAGATATCTTACTTATACATGGTATGTCTCTACTAAAGGTTAAGGAGCATTAATTAAGAGTGGCCAGAATGTTTACTGACCGACAGAAAGATATATTACTTATACATGGTATGTCTCTACTAAAGGTTAAGGAGCATTAATTAAGAGTGGCCAGAATGTTTACTGACCGACAATAAGATATCTTACTTATACATGGTATGTCTCTACTAAAGGTTAAGGAGCATTAATTAAGAGTGGCCAGAAGGTTTACTGACCGACAGAAAGATATCTTACTTATACATGGTATGTCTCTACTAAAGGTTAAGGAGCATTAATTAAGAGTGGCCAGAATGTTTACTGACCGACAGAAAGATATCTTACTTATACAAGGTATGTCTCTACTAAAGGTTAAGGAGCATTAATTAAGAGTGGCCAGAATGTTTACTGACCGACAGAAAGATATCTTACTTATACATGGTATGTCTCTACTAAAGGTTAAGGAGCATTAATTAAGAGTGGCCAGAATATTTACTGACCGACAGAAAGATATCTTACTTATACATGGTATGTCTCTACTAAAGGTTAAGGAGCATTAATTAGAGTGGCCAGAATGTTTACTGACCGACAGAAAGATATCTTACTTATACATGGTATGTCTCTGCTAAAGGTTAAGGAGCATTAATTAAGAGTGGCCAGAATGTTTACTGACCGACAGAAAGATATCTTACTTATACATGGTATGTCTCTACTAAAGGTTAAGGAGCATTAATTAAGAGTGGCCAGAATGTTTACTGACCGACAGAAAGATATCTTACTTATACATGGTATGTCTCTACTAAAGGTTAAGGAGCATTAATTAAGAGTGGCCAGAATGTTTACTGACCGACAAAAAAGATATCTTACTTATACATGGTATGTCTCTACTAAAGGTTAAGGAGCATTTATTAGAGTGGCCAGAATGTTTACTGACTGACAGAAAGATATCTTACTTATACATGGTATGGCTCTACTAAAGGTTAAGGAGCATTAATTAAGAGTGGCCAGAATGTTTACTGACCGACAAAAAGATATCTTACTTATACATGGTATGTCTCTACTAAAGGTTAAGGAGCATTAATTAGAGTGGCCAGAATGTTCACTGACCGACAGAAAGATATCTTACTTATACATGGTATGTCTCTACTAAAGGTTAAGGAGCATTAATTAAGAGTGGCCAGAATGTTTACTGACAGACAGAAAGATATATTACTTATACATGGTATGGCATGTTTTAAACAGTTAAATTGGTGCTCAATGAATTATAATGAATCCACAGCATCATATTTAATATGCATAAAAGAAAGCAAATATTTTGATCTTGAATGTAATTAGGTCTTTCCACTTTTCTGTGGAAAGACCTATTGTATTTGTTCTGATTATTATTAGGTCTTTCCACTTTTCTGTGGAAAGACCTATTAATAATATTTGTCCTGATTATTATTATTATTATTTTTTTTTTTCTTCTTCCGCCAAACCCTTTTCTTGCGGTATAAAGTTGTTTCGCAAGATGTTGCTTAGATATTTTGGATATTATATCGAACAGTTATTGCGCTTTTAAAACTCATCTTGGTTAGGCAAAGACTTGTTATTGTAAGAGTTATCTCCCCAAACACTGTTTTTCTTGTTAGTGTATCTCCTCCGAAACCAAAAAAGATAACGACAAAATTCTTTTTCATATTTGTTCGTTACATCCTACAGAAAATTTTGGCTGATTTGGATCGAAGCGATCCGGTGAAATTTTATAGGAGTTATCTTCCTTTTTCAAATAAATTTTGTCTTAAAGTTTTTGTAACTCATAAACCATAAGCCGTTTAAACCTACAGTCTTTTTATTTGAGGTCCTTGGATGCTAACTTAGAAAATGAGGTCAAGGTCAAAGGTCAAGGTCATGTTCTGAATTTTGTTTTTTGCTTGTTTTTGCATTTTCTCCGATATTTTCTCCGATATATATAAAAGAACTAGTGCAAAATGTTTGTTATATTGTGATGAAGATATGATACATTTGGTCTGAGACAATCCAGGAGTTATTGCCCCTGAAATGTTTTATTTTAAGGTAAATTGATTATTTCTTCAGATTGGTACATGATAAAGCTATTAGATCTTTTGCAAAATGTTGGGTGACATATGACCTTGAAAAATATCAACCGGAAGTGACCTTGAGTGAACCGGAAGTAGTCATTTTTGCACTTATTTCATGTAAAAATACATAGAAACCATATATTTTTTGAATGGTCATTCATTAACCTATCATTTGAAACCGGAAGTGACATTTTATAAACCGAAAGTAGCATTTTATCTCCCTTATTACAGGCATAAGTATATACAAACTATATATTTTTGGAATCAGTGTGGATAAAGCTATTATATGAGACCGGAAGTGACATTTTCTAAACCGGAAGTAGCCAATTATCCCCCTTTTTACAGGCAAAAGTATCTATAAATGATATATTTTTAGAATCAGTGTGAATACAGCTATCATATGAGACTGGAAGTGACACTTTCTGAACCGGAAATTGGCAATTATCTCCCTTATTTCAGGCAAAAGTATGCAGAAATCATATATTAATTGAATCAGTATGAAGAAACCTATGATTGAATGCCAAAAGTAACTTTATGTAAACTGGAAGTCGCTTCTTATCACTTATTTAGAAAATTGATGTGGAAAGACCTTCAATTGTTCTCTGAACAATTGTTTTTTAATTTTTATTAAGGTTTTTTAAACTTGAAAATAAAATATATTTAGCATGCAATATTAGAACATTTGTTAATATACCATTATATATTTTAAGGTGTGTTTGGAGCTGGTAAAAGTTTCCTGTTGTCAGTAGTGGTCGTATTTTTAGTTTGGCTATTTGAGAGGAATGATACATACACCCCTGGAGTTCCGTTTCCATGGAAACTTCTAATAGCATCTACCACTAATGTTGCTGTAGACAGAATACTAAATGGGTAAGGATTTCCTTAGTTCTCTTGTCAAGTTTTATCTAGTTAGTATGACTGTCTATTATAAAGTGAATTTAGGGAAAATAAATGTCACAATTTTTGTACAATAATTTTTTTATAAATTGTATATAAATATATATGTCATAATTGATACATTTAAAGTTGGATAATTGTTTGACTTTTCACATTTTGTCATGTTGGGGCTTTTATAGCTGAGTATATAGTGTGGGTAATGCTAATTTTTGAAGGCTGTACTAAGACCTATAGTTGCTAAAATCCTTGTTTACTTTATTTAACAATAGGTGATTTGCAGTCTTATCCAGTCTAATTATCTCCCCTGAAAAGACTTTTTTTGTGTGTGCAAAAGTTGTCTCCTTGGCCAAATTGCTTTATTTCTGGTGATTGATTTGATTGAATTTTGGTGTTTTAACGCCACTTTTAAGCACCGCTTTTGGGCTATTTCATGGCAGCCAGTTTTTATTGGTGGAGGACGCCGGAGTGCCCGGAGAAAACCACTGACCTTCGATAGGAAAACTGACCATCCTAGTCAATTAAGATTGGAGTCAAGTGCACCCGCACGAGCGGGGTTCGAACTCACAACCTCAGTGTTGACTGGCTAGTGATTACAGTAGTAACTACTTAGACCACTCAGCCACCGAGGCCCCTTTAATTCTGGTGTATTCTATTTTAGGTTTAATTGAGAATATTTGAGAGATCATATTAACTGTTAACATATCAAAGATACTCATGCAGATATAAATGAAATTAAATTTGAGAGGTGACCTGAAACTCAATAAAACAAGAAAAGTTCACCTAAAGAGCAGCATTCTACATTCAATAGACATACATGCCATGCTTTGTTTAACACTATTAATTTACATGACATTGAAATATAAACACTTTATTATAATTTTTTACTCTGAATAATGTTATTTAAATTTGGCACCCACAAATGAAAAAGTGAAAAACCCTGGGCAGTAACACTTTATATCTTACAAAAAGAGAGTTGTATGATTTGTTAACTTCAATTTGTTTTAGTTTCATTGGAGTGATAATTTATGGACTAAAAAGTACAATATATTTACAGATTATTAGCCATTGAATTTGAGGAGTTTGTAAGAGTTGGTAGTGTTAAAAAAATATCCAAACCTATATTACCCTTCAGGTTAGTAAGTTGTTTATTTATAACCTTATCAAACAAATAAATTTGTTGTTCACAGTGCATTTATATGAAGTTTATTATTTTCATATAAATATTTCAGAATTTTATTTTTTTTAAACCAAGACTTTGAGTTGAAGAACTATTATGCATTTCATTATTTTTTTGGTAAATATAAACTCGCCATAACTTGACAATGTTACCTATTATGTCTGTTTTGTTCACGCATCGTTGTAAATATAATGGAATTTGATGCGACTGTCATACAAGTGAGAGGTTTAGCGCTATAAAACCAGGTTCAATCCACCATTTTCTACATAAGAAAATGCCTGTACCAAGTCAGGAATATGACAGTTGTTACGTATCCATTTGTTTGATGTGTTTGAGCTTTTGATTTTGCCATTTGATTAGGACTTATATCTAGAAATTGACTATGAGGGTCAGTTGAAAACACAACTTTATGACAAGAGAGATGATTTCAGCTTCCCAATTGTGACCTTTTCATTTTTAAACCAAGAGATCCAAATGGTGAAGTTGTAATCATCACTTCGTAGATATTACGGAAGCCATCACAAGTTGGTTGACCGTTATGGAATATTCGTTATACAGATGATATCGGATATGTTCCTTATGTCGTAACTACAATCCCCTTCCCTTTTCACGAATGCTACCCAATTAGACTACTTACCGGCTTTGTAACAACATGAGCAACACGAAGGGTGCCACATGTGGAGCAGGATCTGCTTCCCCTTCCGGAGCACATGAAATCACCCCTAGTTTTTGGTTGGGTCCATGTTGTTTTTGTACCCCTATATGTGACATTTTGTTCACGCATCATTGTTAATATTATGGAAATTGATGCGACTGTCATACAAGTGAGAGGTTTAGTGCTATAAAACCAGGTTCAATCCACCATTTTCTACATTTGAAAATGCCTGTACCAAGTCAGGAATATGACAGTTGTTGTCCATTCGTTTGATGTGTTTTATCATTTGATTTTGCCATTTGATTAGGGACTTTCCGTTTTGAATTTTCAATTAGACATTCTCATGCTGCTTAAGGATGTACTTAGGTGAAATTAAAAAAATCTAGAATTTAAAATTGATACTATATGTCAGAAGAGCATTAGATAAGGAACAAAATATGCTAAAAATATTGATAGCTTTTGGAGCTCCTTTTCGAGATATTTAATTTTTAAAAAATGGCTTGAAAAGGCTAACTCAGACTTTTACCTTATATTTGCATTGGTATTATTTGGGTCTCAAATCGAAAGAAAAGAAATGTAGAATCTGCTTAAATTTTGGTAAATGACCTTTTATGAGCTATTGAAGTCTTATATGAAAGAAAAATGGGTGTTATTGGGCAAAATATTTTACCCTTTATATTAGGAAAAAATCCAAGGAGTCCAAACATCTGACAAAAATTCCTAATAATAGATATACAACTACTTGCAATATCTTTCATGGTTATATATCTTTGGAAAAACCTTTTCCATCGTATTTAAACTTACTGTATAAATTCTAACAAATGAAATAATAGAGATGTAAAATCATTTCAGTGTACATGCCACTGGATCGGACAGTCAGGAACTGAAAGATCTACAAATGATGTTACGTAGTGGTGAACTTACAGCTACAGAGAAACAGTGAGTATATTAGATAGGTAATTACCTCTCAGTGTACATGCCACTGGATCGGACAGTCAGGAACTGAAAGATCTACAAATGATGTTACGTAGTGGTGAACTTACAGCTACAGAGAAACAGTGAGTATATAAGTTAGGTAATTACCTCTCAGTGTACATGTCACAGGGTCAGACAGTCAGGAACTGAAAGATCTACAAATGATGTTACGTAGTGGTGAACTTACAGCTACAGAGAAACAGTGAGTATATTAGATAGGTAATTACCTCTCAGTGTACATGTCACAGGGTCAGACAGTCAGGAACTAAAAGATCTACAAATGATGTTACATAGTGGTGAACTTACAGCTACAGAGAAACAGTGAGTATATAAGTTAGGTAATTACCTCTCAGTGTACATGTCACAGGGTCAGACAGTCAGGAACTGAAAGATCTACAAATGATGTTACGTAGTGGTGAACTTACAGCTACAGAGAAACAGTGAGTATATTAGATAGGTAATTACCTCTCAGTGTACATGTCACAGGGTCAGACAGTCAGGAACTAAAAGATCTACAAATGATGTTACATAGTGGTGAACTTACAGCTACAGAGAAACAGTGAGTATATAAGTCAGGTAATTACCTCTCAGTGTACATGTCACAGGGTCAGACAGTCAGGAACTGAAAGATCTTCAAATGATGTTACATAGTGGTGAACTTACAGCTACAGAGAAACAGTGAGTGTATAAGTTAGGTAATTACCTCTCAGTGTACATGTCACAGGGTCAGACAGTCAGGAACTGAAAGATCTACAAATGATGTTACATAGTGGTGAACTTACAGCTACAGAGAAACAGTGAGTATATAAGTTAGGTAATTACCTCTCAGTGTACATGTCACAGGGTCAGACAGTCAGGAACTGAAAGATCTACAAATGATGTTACGTAGTGGTGAACTTACAACTTCAGAGAAACAGTGAGTATATAAGTTAGGTAATTACCTCTCAGTGTACATGTCACAGGGTCAGACAGTCAGGAACTGAAAGATCTTCAAATGATGTTACGTAGTGGTGAACTTACAGCTACAGAGAAACAGTGAGTATATTAGATAGGTAATAACCTCTCAGTGTACATGTCACAGGGTCAGACAGTCAGGAACTGAAAGATCTACAAATGATGTTACATAGTGGTGAACTTACAGCTACAGAGAAACAGTGAGTATATAAGTTAGGTAATTACCTCTCAGTGTACATGTCACAGGGTCAGACAGTCAGGAACTGAAAGATCTTCAAATGATGTTACGTAGTGGTGAACTTACAGCTACAGAGAAACAGTGAGTATATTAGATAGGTAATTACCTCTCAGTGTACATGTCACAGGGTAAGACAGTCAGGAACTGAAGGATCTACAAATGATGTTACGTAGTGGTGAACTTAGGACTACAGAGAAACAGTGAGTATATTAGATAGGTAATAACCTCTCAGTGTACATGTCACAGGGTCAGACCAGGAACTGAAAGATCACCAAATGATGTTACGTAGTGGTGAACTTACGGCTACAGAGAAACAGTGAGTATATCAGATAGGTAATTGCCTCTCAGTGTACATGTCACAGGGTCAGACAGTCAGGAACTGAAAGATCTTCAAATGATGTTACGTAGTGGTGAACTAACAACTATGGAAAACTTGTGAGTTATGTATTAAAACAATTTAAAAATAATTCTATTCAGTTTAGCAATTTTCAATGTTAGATTTTCTGCTTAAGTTAGTTTGATAGGAACTACTTGTGATAGATCGTTGATATTTAATGTAAAGTTCCATTACTATCAGTACATTTCAGTTTGACATCTATTTCGAGGCCCTGCCTCCTAGGTCATGGTCTAGTGACTTTGAATTAATTAGCAATTTTCAATGTTAAGTTTTCTGCTTAAGTCAGTTTGATAAGAACTACTTGTGATAGATCAATTTTGTATAAAGTTGCACTACTATCAGTACATATCAGTTTGACGATTATTTTCAGGCCTTGCCCACTAGATAATGGTCCAGCGACTGAATTAATGTTGCTGTCCATCAGATTGTCTTTTTTTGAATTTTACGCAGACAGACGAGACATATCTCAGTTTATTTGTTATATTATTTGATCAATGATTTAAATAAGATCAGACACAAGTTTTACCAACTTGTAAAGTCTTCTCATGTATACAATGTGATAACAATATTACATTAAAATGAGCATGCACATACAAAACTAATGAATTAATACACGAGTATAAGTAAATGATTGGATAAATTGTTTGATATGATAACTACTGTTATGGATTCTGGGAAGTAAAAATGGTGAAAAAATGAAGGTTAAAAATTTAGATTTGCTGCTTTTAAGCAAAAATAAGGAGATGTGTTATGATTGCCAACGAGACAACTATCCACCAAAGTTCAAATGCAGTGGATGTAAGCAATTATAGGTAACTGTACGGCTTTCAACAATGAGTAATACCCATAGAGTATAGTCTGCTATAAAAGGCCCTGAAATGAAAAATATGAAATAATTCAATTGAGAAAACTAATGACCTAATTCATAACAAAACAATTTACAAAAAAAAAATATGACAGACATGAATTAACGAGTGAGAATAGGATATTGCTTGATATCAACTCGAGATATTTAATTTCAGTATAATAAAGGTCGTTTATTACTATTTACTACTAAATAACTCGACTTGATATCCAGCAATATCAAATTCTTATAAGTTGTTAGACCTATTTCTTTTATAGTCAACACATTCATTGTGTTATATTAAAAATTCCGCTAATCGTTGATCTAATCTTTTGCACATACCAGTATGTAGTCATATTCTGGCGTCAAATGTTAACATCAGACATTTAAAAACTTTTATGCTTCAGAATGTAAGAAAATTTGACAAAAAGCAGATTTTGAGATTAAAAGTGTGAGTGTTTTGTATATTATTGAAGAAATCTCATATGTCTGTTGCCATGGACGAAATATTTTTTTTAATGTACATCGTCTTAACCTTTGATAGTCATCAATGACCTAACGAATAGCCAATGATGTGTGATACGAGAAATATCTCTTCATGCAAGAAATAGATAACAGGCCACAACCAGAAGAGAATGTAGAGTTACAATGATTATTATGTCCACACAATGATGATTAATTTGTTTTTAATATTTTTTTCCAGAAATGTCAAGCAAAGTATTGAGAAACACAAACTTGGAGAAAATAAAAAGGTATTTAGATTTTCTTTACTTCTGTAATAAATTTCAATTATGTTAAACACGTAAAATTCCAAGAAAACTTGACTGTCCTAGGTAAAAATAAATGAGCAAAAATTTTGCTTACAAATTAAGATGTTAAATTAAAAACAAATGTTTTTGTTGTATGATTGTTTTGAGTTTTGTTTTCCTATGACATTTGCTGGTTTTGAAAATTTTTAAACAAATAAATAAATACAATTTGGAATAAGTATTTCATTGACTTGCTTGCCACAGTTACAGGTGTGAGACAATTGGAAAAGTAGCAATAATATTGCCTATTAAGCAAAGAAATTTCTGAAGCGAACATAAAAAAAATGATGCATTTAATCAGTTGTATTTTTTTTTTTTTTTTAATCTATTTATTCCTAATCTTTCTTTTTCAATGAAATAAAGGATTGGAACACAGTTCCTAGTTCTTTAACGTCAATTAAAGACCATGGTGTTTTTAAAGCCAAGTTTAGGTTATATCTTAGAAATAGTTGGAAGTATGAATTAATTAATATCTAAATATCATCTTAAAGAAAAATAAGATAAAATTGTGCCATTTTGCTATACATTAAAAAAAAAACATTAGAAATAAAGGAGACGGTTTTATGGGCAATCCTTGGAAAGATATCAATTTATAAGTGCCTGTTCGCATAATTTTAGTTAACATTTTTATATTCCATATTTTTAATCACACTTTTAAATATTTATATCATTCCTAAATGAATTTGACCTTTTACCTTACAGAAACTGAGTAAAGTGAGAGTTGTTGGAGTAACTTGTGCTTCCTGCTCAGCTAATTCTCTCAAGGATATGAAGTTTCCTGTAAGTTTATAAAGTCTGATATATAGGAATAGTCACACTCATCATACAAGTTATATACAAACTAAGAGCAGTGTGCATATATCTAGCTCCAGGACTGTAGCTCTTATGGTCCTTGTGATATGTTTTCTTACAATATGTGAATTGCAAATATGTCAAAAAATATCAAAAAGACCATAAGAGCTACAATTCCACAGCTAGATATATAACATTAAGGATGTTATCTTCTCTTGTTTTTTGAATTTTTGTCAGATATTCGGAATCCTCTAGTTTTATCCATGTAGTGCCATCAAAAATTTTGCCCACTAAGCCCTACTTTTCTTTTCATAATTTTATTACATATAGTTCAAAAAGCCATATTTGAAAATCTTATAAAATCCTTGTTATTTTTTCATAGTTTTTTAAAGGAAAAAGGTGCCAATGTTAATTGTATGAAAAATATAGAGAGAATCATTTCTCAATGGCTTATATCTCGAAAACAAGCACACGAACCCTTCATTTTTTTTCTGCTTTTTAAATTCTGTTATTTATATACTATAAATTTATAATAGTCTTTTAAAAAGCTTGTTATTTTGAAACAGAGTAGCGATCATTCTTAAGGTGATAAAACGCTAGGCAGACTTGAATGTAAGGTAAAATTATTCATTTACGTAGACCTTACACTTCACTTTTCAAAAACTACAAACAAAAAAGACAACAAATTTAAAAAAAAAAGATTTTCAAATCATTGTTTATCCTAAATAGGAAGATATAAACCATATTTGATTAGCTTCTTTTGCATTATCTTCCAGATACATGGGAAACCTTTGTAAAAATAGATTGTTCTGTACTTGTTGTGATGTGTTATAACACATAAACACCGTCAAATGCTATTTGTTGGTGTGACTAAATTATTGAGATATTTGTTAATTTACCCTGTTCTAGGTGAAATAAGCTGTCCAAAATAAAAAACACAAAAAAAAAAATGAATTGTTTGATAATTATTTCCATTGATAGATAGTGCTGTTAGATGAATGTTCACAGATGACTGAGCCAGCCTCTATGTTACCTGTGGCAAAGTTTAAATGTCAGAAACTGGTTCTAGTTGGTGACCCAAAGGTAAGAACATTTCAATCATTAAACTTCATACAATGTACTCTTCTATCACATTTATAATAAACAATTTCATGTTAGATTTCCTTTAATAATAATCACCAATACTGATGCAGTAGCAGATACAAAATCTTTTAAATGAGTACAGTCGAACCTGTATTAAGCATTCGCTCTTGGGAAGTATCGAAAGTGACCGCCCAAGGGAGGTTGCCGTTTTAAACGAGATTCTGAATTATTCTGATCCCTACATTGCCATGGCCAGATCGGGGAAAATTGTTTTAGTGTTTTCAATTGGTAGAGTTATCTTTCTTGCGGCAGTGAAAAAAAAAATGGTGGATTTCGGTGCTGTAAATTGAATCGGTGAGAAATAAATCGGTGAGAAATAAATCGGTGATACGGTTTTTTATGGAAATTGAAAGGTGTGTAACACAAGGAGTTCACTTATTCACCTCCTATTGCGTGATCTCCTTTGCAAACGGGTTCCGATTTTCTTTTTGACTTTGAAACTGACACGTATATTTTTCATCATGATTATTTTATAGTTAAAAATATTAATATGGCCGTTGTTAAAAGTTGAAATGAGGATTTTGTGCGAAAATTAGGTGACCGCTGAAACGAGTTAAATTATACAGAGAATACATTTGGGAGGGTTTGAAAGTGAACGTAAGAGGCAGGTGACCGCTACAAGGAGGTGACTGTTAAGGCAGGTTCGACTGTAGTTTTAATTTGTAGGGTTTTATTCAGAGAAAAGTAGGCTTTTTTTTACATTTTTTTTTTACATTATGTCTTTTTAATTTAAAATAAAAGGGTTTCAGATTGCTGAAGTTCTCTAGATTTGTCGCTGCAATTAGCTTATACTTTGTGGAGACACTTTTAAATATATGTAACACTCAGAAAATGTGTCCATCCCACCAAACGTGTTCTATTCCCCCAAATGTGTCCATATGGAATCCCTGAACTGCAAAACATGTCTAGTTGCTAAAGGGTGCCAAAACATGTCCTTTTTATGAACACCCAATCGTGTCCATTTAGATAAAATAAAAAACACAAGTGTGTTGAATCCTTCATTGAATTGTCATGTTATTGCTAAAAGCTTTGAGAAATTTTGGTGTTTTAAAATGGACATGTTTTGGCGAATAACAATTATCAGACACATTTGGGGGATGCTAAACTGGACACTTGGGATTTTAAGGACACATTTGGTGGTAATGGACACATTTGGGGGGATGGATACGTTTGGGAGTGTTACATATATATGGACTCTTTTTTAAAAATTATTCTTTGAATTTCATATTTTAGTGCACTTCACAAACTGAAAACTTTGACTTGCATGTACCTCAATCTTTAACATGTCCTACAAAATGCACCCTAAGAAACAAACAATTAAACTGACCTGCAACACAAATGTTTCATACATTGACTTATGTGTCAACAAACTCATATTGCTATGGATATTTTTACATACATTTTCAGTATATTATCTGTATGAGAACAAATGAAGAAGCCAGAACAAATTTAAGGCAAGAAAAATTATAACTTACCAGCTACACAATAATTTAAAAGTTTGTATTCGTCACATAGAAAAAAGTTTTTGGTGTATACATAGATAAGACAGCAACTTAACAACACAAAATCACAAGATCACCAAAAGACATCTAGTTTATGGTTTACATGTACCACAATAGACAAGTGGCCACACACTATCAAGCCCAACATAGACTATAAAACATCTATCAATACCAAATACCCTGAATGAAAAAAAATTACTCATTCACATTGATTCTCTTTCCAGCAACTAGATCCTACAATACAAGGCAGTGAAACATCAACAGTACATGGACTGGAACAGACTCTCTTTGATAGAATTACACTTATGGTATTTACTCTTGTGTTTTAATTGTACCCCATTCTAGGAGTTAGGCTATATTTCAATAACCATGTCTGTCCATTCATCCAATAAGTATTTTCACATTTTTTTCTTACATACTACTCAACAAAATGACTTCATATTTGGTCAGCATGTTTAAAAGAAATGAGTTGTAACATGTGAGTGCTATTTAGCCTGTAAGATACATACTTCCTTTTTTTCAATACTTTGATTCACAAGTGCAAGCAAATTCTTATTTAAGGTTGCTGAGGTGTCTTCCTCCATCTTGGATTTTGAAGTAGCAGATAACAATTGGTCTAGATCTTTAATGAAATGTGCAAATTTTGAGATTAGTATGTAATTCATGTGTAAGACTTTTCATGCTAATATAGCTAATGTGTTTTATCATATTTACGGCTGTATTTTCTAAATAACACAATATTTTTGTTTGATTCATTTTTTATTCCAACTTTGCCACTTAAGGGGAAATAACTCAGGTAGTAGGGGAGATAACTTAGATAAAGTAATTTTTATAATAGAAAGTGTTGTGAATTTACCTAATTTAATATGTAGCAAGAAAACAAGTCCGTTGACCCCATTTTTAGCTCACCTGGCCTATAGAAGTCTATGGGAAAATTGTAAAAAAAAAACCAATTTCAATTAATTCAAATGGTCGGATTAGCCGAGGTCAGGGGAACCAATGCTGAAATTTTTTTGAAGGGTGTTCCAAAAAAACATTTTAAGGCATTTCCAACATTATACAGGCCTTGGTGGATTCAATAAAGCTTCATTTTTAAACTTTAAACACTTTAAAAACCATAATTGTTAGGAATATAGCATTAGAAATATTAATGTTGCTTTGTATAATGTATCAATTTTATTTAAAAAGATAACAGGTGAGCGACACAGGCTCTCTAGTTTTTTAGCTCACCTGGCCCAAAGGGCCAAGTGAGCTTTTCTCATCACTTGGCGTCCGTCGACCGTCGTCAGCGTTAACTTTTTACATTTTGAACTTCTTCTAGAGAACCACTGAATGGAATGAAACCAAACATGGCATGAATGTTTCTTATGAGGTGCTAACCGATTGTTGTTACTTTGAAGCCGATCCATAATCCAAGATGGCCGCCTGCAGGGGGACTTAGTTTAACATGGGACCCTATGAGAAATACATACAAATGTCTTCTTTTAGAGAACCACTAAATGGAATGAAACCAAACATGGCATGAATGTTCCTTATGAGGTGCTGACCGAGTGTTGTTACTTTGAAGCCGATCCATAATCCAAGATGGCCGCCAGCGGGGGACTTAGTTTAACATAGGACCCTATGGGAAATACATACAAATGTCTTCTTTTAGAGAACCACTGAATGGAATGAAACCAAACATGGTATGAATGTTCCTTATGAGGTGCTGACGGAGTGTTGTTACTTTGAAGCCAATCCATAATCAAAGATGGCCGCCAGCGGGGGACTTAGTTTAACATGGGACCCTATGGGAAATACATACAAATGTCTTCTTTTAGAGAACCACTGAATGGAATGAAACCAAACATGTCATGAATGTTCCTTATGAGGTGCGGAACAAGTGTTGTTACTATGAAGCTGATCCATAATCCAAGATGGCCGCCAGCAGGGGACTAAGTTTAACATTGGACCCTACGGGAAATACATACAAACATTCTTTTAGAGAACCACTGAATGGAATGAAACCAAACATGGCATGAATGTTTCTTATGAGGTGCTAACCGAGTGTTGTTACTTTGAAGCCGATCCATAATCCAAGATGGCTGTCTGCAGGGGACTTAGTTTAACATGGGACCCTATGAGAAATACATACAAATGTCTTCTTTTAGAGAACCACTGAATGGAATGAAACTAAACATGGCATGAATGTTCCTTATGAGGTGCTGACTGAGTGTTGTTACTTTGAAGTCAATCCATAATCCAAGATGGCAGCCAGCGGGGGACTTAGTTTAACATAGGACCCTATGGGAAATACATACAAATGTCTTCTTTTAGAGAACCACTAAATGGAATGAAACCAAACATGGTATGAATGTTCCTTATGAGGTGCTGACCGAGTGTTGTTACTTTGAAGCCAATCCATAATCAAAGATGGCCGCCAGCGGGGGACTTAGTTTAACATGGGACCCTATGGGAAATACATACAAATGTCTTCTTTTAGAGAACCACTGAATGGAATGAAACCAAACATGGTATGAATGTTCCTTATGAGGTGGGGACCAAGTGTTGTTACTATGAAGCTGATCCATAATCCAAGATGGCCGCCAGCAGGGGACTTAGTTTAACATTGGACCCTATGGGAAATACATACAAACATTCTTTTAGAGAACCACTGAATGGAATGAAACCAAACATGGCAAGAATGTTCCTTATGAGGTGCTAACCGAGTGTTGTTACTTTGAAGCCGATCCATAATCCAAGATGGCCGCCTGCAGGGGACTTAGTTTAACATGGGACCCTATGAGAAATACATACAAATGTCTTCTTTAAGAGAACCACTGAATGGAATGAAACCAAACATGGCATGAATGTTTCTTATGAGGTGCTGACCGAGTGTTGTTACTTTGAAGCCGATCCATAATCCAAGATGGCCGCCAGCGGGGGACTTAGTTTAACATGGGACCCTATGGGAAATACATACAAACGTCTTCTTTTAGAGAACCACTAAAGGAATGAAACCAAACATGGCAAGAATGTTCCTTATGAGGTGCTGACCAAGTGTTGTTACTTTGAAGCTGATCCATCATCCAAGATGGCAGCCAGCGGGGGACTTAGTTTAACATAGGACCCTATGGGAAATACATACAAATGTCTTCTTTTAGAGAACCACTGAATGCAATGAAACCAAACATGGCATGAATGTTCCTTATGAGGTGCTGACCAAGTGTTGTTACTATGAAGCTGATCCATAATCTAAGATGGCGGCCAGCGGAGGACTTAGTTTAACATAGGACCCTATGAGAAATAAGTACAAATGTTTTCTTTTAGAGAACCATTGAATGGAATGAAACCAAACATGGCATGCATGTTCCTTTTGAGGTGCTGACCAAGTGTTGTTTCTTTGAAGCTGATCCTTCATCCATGATGGCTGCCAGATGGGGACAATGTTTAACAAAGGACCCTATGGACAATACATACAAATGTCCTCTTTTAGAGAACCACATACTGAATGGATTGAAACCAAACATGGCATGAATGTTCCTTATGAGGTGCTGACTAAGTTTTGTTACTTTGAAGCTGATCCTTCATCCATGATGGCCGCCAATGGGGGGACTTCCTTTAACATAAGACCCTATGGGAAATACATACAAATGCTTCTTCTAGAGGTGCACTGAATGGAATGAAACCAAAACATTGCATAAATGTTTCTTATGAGGTGCTGATTAAGTGTTGCTAATTTGTTGCCGATTTACTGTTCAAGATGGCCACCAGGATTTTTTATTAAATTACAGGACCAATATTAAACCAAATTTGGCCTCACTCATTATTAGGGTATCTGTTATGATTTTAATCTATTTTTACATGATTTCCAAAACCAAAGTAGAATCAGGTGAGCTACACAGGCTCTTGAGAGCCTCTAGTTTTCTTATCTGAAAACATGTTATAAGAGCTATCTTCTCACATTTAATTCTATGGTGTAGTTTTCTTTTTATCACACAAAATTGGATTTTCCATGCATAATTACAAAATCTGACAATTTTGCACAACCTGTAGTGTGTACCGGTGACCCATACTTTTTATTATATTTTGGAGAAAAGCATGATAAAAACTACATTTTGACAAATTATTAAAAAATTCTATGGATTTTATATAAGACCCCCAACCACCTCAGTGTTTGTAATTTATATAGAAGTATAGAAATATTCGTTTAATCTCTGTTTTCCTTAGAAATAAATAATTGAAAATTTTTTTACATTGAAATCACAAAAATTTTATCCTGTGAAAATTGATTTTTTTTGCAGTTCATAAAAATAACTTCACTAGAATTTCATGTGAGAGAATGTATATTGAATATTTTGCAGGGTCACAGTCCTGTCATGTTACACACACAATACAGGTGTCATCCATACATCAGTCAAGTTTCCAACTCTCTCTTTTATAATAATGTATTAAGGAATGGAATTTCTGTAGAGGACAGGGATCCAGTCATGGTTAGTTGATTTATACTAGATATAAGATTAATCAAAATTATAAACTACAATACTCTTTGATACTTAGTTATTTTGAATATGAAAAATATGGGAGATATGTCAATGAGACAGAGACCAATTGAAACAAAAAAATGTAAATTTTCTAGAAATAATAGACTATTGTTAACCCTTTCACCGATAGCCGCCAAAACGGAAGCTACTCTGAGATGATGGCTTCCTTGGTTATTGTGACACAAGTGGGAGAACTTCATATTAAATATCAATAAAAACTTGTCTGTAGTTATTTATGTCTTTATTTTATTCACTTACACCATGGACACAGTTTTATTTACTTTTTATTATTAAATTTTGTGTCCGAAAATATTCAAAATTGCTAATTTTCGGCATTGAAATACATAAAATTCATGAAATTCATCTTTTGGACCCAAAATCATAAACTGTTAACCAAAAACTGCAAAAGTTTGAACATTTTTATGAGGTTGGACAAATTCCTTACACTGAACCATGTCCATTCCAAGTGTTTTTGTACATAAAAAAGCATTTATGTCAAAATAGTATACTAGTCTGGCTTCAATTCTTCCAAATTCTTTCCAAAAAAATGCCCCTTATTTCAAATTCCAGTGAAATCTGTAAATTTCAGTTGATTTTGTCACGGTTTTCAACAAATCGAAGCACCATGTTTACACGTTCATTTGGGCAATAAACAAAGAAAGATAACTTGTGGTCGCAAGGTTTTTCAGCGGGAAATATAACGGGACTCATCGTGAATTCCAGGAAAAACGAGGTTTGTCGGCAAAAGGGTTAACATCTGTGTCCATGGGTATATTCCTGTATGGGTCTGTGGCAGATATAAATATATACTGATTTAATTTGATGTGAAAAGACAGATTTGAGAGTCTGCATTTAGATGTGAAAGTAAAATGGTCCAAATATCAAAATTAACAGGCTGTATCAGTTTTGTTTAACATCAAACTTTAGTTCCAGGATGCTACATGACCTATAATTATACAACTTATATATGGAAGTATTTAATTTAGTAGAACAGTACCCACCTAGTATATAAAATATATATCTTCCAGCAAGCTCAGAAAACTTCATGAAGGACCATAAATATGAAGTTTGAAGTAAAACTTAGTATTAAACAATAAAACCATTCATCTGTAAGGTATAAGCCTGCAGGATGTGATCACAGAGGAATCCAAAAGATGTCTGCATGTAAAATAAGGGCAACCCCAGTATTGTGTTTCCTTTAGTTTGTTGGATTGTTCAGGCAATGTTTTTATGCATATAGGTAAAATCTGAATAATTTAAATTTGTGATTTCATGGTTTTGACATGTTGACCAGGAAAACTAGTCAATTTGAAATTTTTAAGATTCTAAGTTGATATGAAAGTTAACAGAAACTATTATTTTTTAGGATGAGTTACCTGCCCTTTGTTTTTATGATGTATGTGATGGCATAGAAATCAATGACAGAGATGGAAGCTTTTACAATGAAAAAGAGGCACAGTTTATTATGTTTCTGATTGAAATATTGGTTGGCCAAGATGTAAATCCTGACAGGATTGGAGTTATCTCTCTTTATAAATCTCAGATGTATAAAATTACAAACTTACTCGGCAGCAATAAGTAAGTATAAAATAAATCTTTGTCTTGGATGCAGTAAAAAAGGATTAACAAAACTATCAAACTCTAAGGTAAATTCAAAAAGGGGAAGTCCTTAAATATGGACAAAATCAAACCTTAAACTTTATCAACCAATAGAACGAATGGAAAACAAGTCATAATCCTGACTTATAAAGCATAGTGTAAGTAAGTGAAAGCTGCAAAAATTATAAAATTTGTCTCAGTATAGGTTTGCTAATCTGACATTTTCAGTAACTACAACATAAACTAACATGAAAAGTTTTGGGCAATCCACATGGACAAAAATAATGCATTTGTAATACCTTTCTATTATTTGTGATTAAACTTTATTTTGACAGAAACTGTAAAGAGTTAAAAGGAGTAATGGTTTCTACAGTTGACGCTTTCCAAGGAGGAGAGAGAGACGTGATCATACTATCTTGTGTCAGAACCAGAAATGTGGGATTTATTGATAACAAAAAGTAGGGAGAAGTGCTACAATATTAAATCATTTCATCATTTGTTTTTTTTTTTTTACCATTTCACAATAAGCCAGAAGTTTTATTTGTATGTATATAATATACTCACTTCTACTATAAACTTCCTGAGAGTCATAAACTTTTAAATTTGTAATTAAAGCCATAAAGAATTTTGTTAAAATTTAATAAGAAATCAGTAAACAGTATGTGTACAATGTTCTGTCATCTACAGGAGAACCAATGTTGCCTTGACCAGAGCCAAACATCATCTATTGATTGTGGGTAATGAAAATAACCTTACCAAGAATAAACTGTGGCATCAAATCATACAGCAATGTAAAGGTAAGAGGTACACACTCACACCCACATCATACAGATGTGTATGTTTAAGCAAACAAACACTTATACACACAAACACAGAAAAACAACTTATGCAGGTACACACATACAGATATCAGGGGGAGGGGGCTCCATCTATGTAAAGGTATACACAGGTGTGCCACTGGAATTGATCACCATTTAGATATTCACATATATCAATGGGGTGCAATTTTACCAATGTAATATATATCAATGGGTAGTAATTGAATGTCGATGGGTCATATATTTTCATCTGATTAGATGTCTGTTTTGACTATGAAGCACTCCTTATATCTTATTAATGACCAATTTCATATGGTTATCAATTTTATCTCCTGAAACTTTATTTTACATAAGTTAAATAATTCTTTTAAATCTAATTAAGGCAAAGTAATGGTAATTGTGAGGTATTTAAAAATTTTCTGAAATTTTGTATGCATTTAGAACTGCATCTGAAAATCGAAAATTGATATGTGTAACATTCATGCTTTTAGAGATACAATCAATTAAAAAGCTATGGAATCTATGAATGTGTAGAGTGTATATCATAAGTTTCTAAAGTTACAGTTTTTCTGCCGCCGCTGCAGTGAAGGGGGCATTAAGTGTTATCCTAAGTATGTATGTCCCAAAATTAGTATTCGTTCTATAACTTTAGTTTTCCTCAACCAACTGTTGTGAAACTCATACACAATACTTTATACCAAAAAAACATGGATCAAGTTCGAATTTGGGTGGCATCACTTATACCATTCTAGAGTGGGGGCATCAACAGTGTCCCATGGACATATTCTCCATTTATTTAACATTATTTTGTTTAAAAATTTTGTTATTGACGTGAGCATTTTAGTTTCAATGAATTTCTTTTGCTTTCAAAATCATTTCAGCATGAATAATGTATTCTGATAGCAAGCTTAACTGACTGACATGAAATAATGTCTTCCTACACTCTAATATCAGCAGCTGTACTGAGTAGATTTAATAAAGAAACTTCAAAATCAGAACAGTGAGACCTCAACTTGTACAAAATCTTGGATAACATGTGTATAAAAGTAATGGAATGATTGCCATTGAGACAACTCTCCACCTTAGACCAAAAAATAAGATGTGGAATGATTGCCATTGAGACAACTCTCCACCTTAGACCAAAAAATAAGATGTGGAATGATTGCCATTGAGACAACTCTCCACCTTAGACCAAAAAATAAGAAGATGTGGAATATTTTCCGATGAGATAATTTTCCATTAGAGACAAAAAGACGTAGAAGTTTTATAGTTTGTTTTCGACAGGAAACAGGAAGTTCCTCTCAGCAAGTCTTTGACTTCTTTCTACGCCCTACACAGAACATTAACATCAATACCAATACATTCTATAAATATTGTCTTTATATTACAACATTTTAACATTAATTATGATTCAGTCAGGTAAAACTGCCCACATAAGGCTTTGATCATATGTATTTCTGCTTAATTATATACAAATTGTATCAAATTTAATATAAATCAATCCACTGACAAATCAATTTTGAGTAGTTCATCTCATTTCCCAAAAAATATCTGAAATAACTTTTAAAATAAAACAAAACTAGTGGGTCATTTGTGTTTTTATCAGAATTGTGTTTGTACGGTAAATCTGCCCATGCGCAGTAAATATGTATGGAGGACCAGTTTATCATATATTTATGAAAGGAAAAGGTGATCTATTAATAGACCACTTATAAAGGGATTCCAGATAATCAAAAAAAAAAAATTTCAAGTCAGAAATGAGTTTTCTAAGCAATAATATGATTATTGTTAGCTTTACAAACTTTATTATATATATCACTAGACATTTTAATTAATAAAGGATTTTTCTTTAAAATTTGACATTCGGTGATGATAAGTACTGTTCCTATGAATAAAATAGCAGACGAAATATTTAGGGAAGTGACAAATACGGAAGTAAATGGGAGTGGGCAGGTTTACCATACGGGCAAAATTACCAGACACTACTGTATTCCATCAGACATATTTTACAACTTGACAGACTTTATTGTTGATAGATTCCAGTCCCCAAGGATTACAGAGTGCAGACATTATCAGAGAAAGATTAAAATTAGAACCAAAATCTACTGAAAGTTCACGGAAGAAAAAACGTAACCACAACAACCAAGAAATATTTACAGATGATGCTTCAAGTAGTCCACCGATGTCTCTTACAGGTATAGGTAATTTCTAGAATGTAACTTCGTAAATTTTATTAATGGAATATGTATTAAAATTGCAATACTGGTCAAGTAATTACAAAATAAAGATACAGAATAACGTAAATTGTAAATTTCAAAGTTAAACTCAATGCTTCTCTTCAAAAAAGTGTCCCAGGTTAGGGATAGTTGAGTCATCATAATTATGATTATTCCTGCCACGTTCTATATGTATATAAAATGAGGAGATGTGGTATGATTGCCAATGAGACAACTATCCACCAAAGTTCAAATGGAGTGGATGTAAGCAATTATAGGCAACCATACAGACTTTAACAATGAGAAAACCCATAACATATAGTCGGCTATAAAAGGCCTCGATATGAAAATATGAGAACAATTCAATAGAGAAAACCCATGGCCTAATTTATAACAAAACAATTTACAAAAAAACAAATATGACAGACATGAACCAACAACAACCACTGAACTACAGGAGTCAGTTTCACAAAAAAACTTACGACTAAGATTGATCGTAAGTATACTGAATTATTCATGACTTACGATCAGTCTTAGTCGTAAGTTTTTTTTGTGAAACCAACTCTAGGCTCCTGACTTAGGACATGGACATAAAGAATGTGGCGGGTTAAACATATTTGTGAGTGCTCAACCCTCCCCTAACCTGGGACAGTGGTGTTACAGCACAACATAAAAACAAACTATGAAAATCAGTTGAAAAGGTCTAAACTCATCAGATTGATATAAAGCAGAAAATCATCTAACAAAAATACAGACCAGACGTGGCAGGGTATTTATACAACCCTAATTACAATACAGACCAGATGTGGCAGGCTATTTATACAACCCTAATTACAAAGCAGACAAAGTACACAAGTTTCTGACAGCTAGTTCTAAGCCAATAACAACAAATAACAAGAGAAAAAAATCATGTACCTAAGCCTAAAATATCAATCAGTACACATCCAACATTCATTGATTTAGTGTAAAGACATCATTAATAGAAAAACATGACCTTGTGCACTGCCAAAATATAGGTATAGACAGATTGTTGTACTGTCATAGTGTATACATGTATGTGTACAACAATAAAATTTAGTATGGCTTTAATTAACTAACAAAATCAATATTTATACCAATAAAAACAACATTCAAAGATATAATTACAGTGTTGAATTGATGTCTGTCCCAAGTCAGAAGCTGATTTGTTCAAGACTTTTATATATTAGATAGGGTTTGCTGTTTTGATGGGAGAGGGGGCATTTAGCCAGATCACTACAAGCTTCTGAATACTGGTTCGTGATGTGGGTATTGATTTGTTTTTATGACATAGATATAAGAGGATGTGGTATGAGTGCCAATGAGACAACCCTCCATCCAAGTCAAAATTTATAAAAGTGAAACCATTATAGGTCAAATCAGGGCTTCCAAAATTATTTTTAGCCAGCCGGACGTTTTATATATTATCCCGATTTTAATCCCTTAAGACTAAATAAATAAAAGGCAATTATGGTAATCAGTTGCCGAGTTGGCCATCCCAATGATTGACATTAAAAAAAAACCGATATTAAACTTTCTTTGATTCAAATTCGAAGTTCTGACGTAAACTGTTAAATTGGCAGTGCATCATTGGAAGTGTGCAACATCAGTGTACTTATATCTGCTTAGACTCTTTATTTGTGCAAAATAACGTTGTCAAAAACTTTACTTTCGTTTTTAAATCTAAACCGGATGTTATCTTGACAATGGTAAAACATGGACCAGAGACGGATACGTAAATTCTGTGTACGTTTGCAAAGCATGAATGAGTGTAAGTAGCTCTTTCTATGTTATTTCTTCAAGAAAATATTCGAAATAAACGTGAGATAAAGGTATCAATGACAATTTAAGCATTTTTTGAAGAAATTAGGATGCATAATTAAATTTCACACCTGCGCACATGCGCACACGTGTACTAGTTCAAACAGAGACATGTCTCAGGTTCAAACAATGTGGTTATGACGATTTTTCATTTTCACCTTTTTAATTTTTTCATCAATTCACATTTGTAAACGTATTTCTGATAATTTAAATCTTTTTTACTAAATTAATTAGATGCAAACCGCTGAAATGTAAGAAAATAACTTTGAATAGACCGATCAATGTCCGGTTCAAAATAGTTTACCTGTCACCTGAACAGGTAAATTTCAGCTGTTCGACAACTAATTAGCCTTGATTAAAATGAGAAGGTATTAAAGTAGGGGTTGTTTTGATAGTACTTAATGATCATGTCACTTTTATGACCGGAAATGTGTGGCTGTTAAAGGCAAAAGATAGGGTCAAAAAGATCGCGAATTATGTTAAAATGACCGTCTCTTAAGCCTTGAAAACTAAAAAGTAGATGTCCGTTTCATGCTTTGCCCAGCCGGAATTTTACCGGACATTATACAAATGTCCGGAATATATGACCGTTTTGGAAGCCTTGGGTCAAAGTACGGTCTTCAACAGGGAGCCTTGGCTCACACCGAACAGCAAGCTATAAAGGGCCCCAAAAATTACTAGTGTAAAACCATTCAAACGAGAAAACCAACAGTCTAATCTATATAAGAATTGAGAAACGCATGCTTTGGGAGGTTTTACAGATATGAAAGTGTTAAATCATCTCTATTGCTTCCTGTTTTGAAGTTTTACAACAAAAACAGGTGTACATAGGTGATTATACTTTCTGTTGTAATTTTTTCTCTCTCGGTTAAATATTAATGTGATTATATTATTTTTTGTAGATTCTTGTAAATCTTCATTATCAACAGATAGTTTTAATATACAGCAACTGGATCCTGAGTTTGTTTCTTTAGAGAAAGGGGACCAGTGTTCAGAAGTGATGGACTTCAAGGATGGTCTTACTTTTAAGGTACCAGGTAGTGTTGGTCTTAGACAAAGAAGAAAGAGGAGAAAAATAGACCTGTCTTTGTTGGAGATTGATGAAAACTATAACAGCGATGATGAAGAATTGCCTAATATATTTAATTCTTGAAGAAACTAAATTATTTATTGAACAGTACATGTTGTTAAAACAAATATGATAGGGTAGACAATAAATACAGGATATACACAGATATTTTGTATTTAAAGCCATGTTGCTTATGAAATTTGAGGTTGGGCCCTCAATAAGGTCATATTTTTTCATATATAGTTTTGTTATGGAGATAATTACTAAACTATGTTACACATTTATGTTGTTTTGAATGGATTAGTGTTGTATAAGAGTAAATTGTGAGTCTGTTGTTATAGAAATGTATAATTCTAATGCTGATAATAAACAACAATAATAAAGTTTTTTTATTTGAGTATAATTATAGACTTGAGCTCAGGCTTTAAATGTTTTCCATTTATGGATATTTCCCAGCTGCTCAGAAACACACAAGATTCAAACTTTGATTTATGAACAAACTGCCTCATTTGACATGGGGTCATTTTGAGGGAAAACTTGTCAAAGGACATCGTGACCTAAAGATTTTTGTTTGTGATGTCAAATATTTTGGGAAAAAGCACCAATTGGAAGGTCATGTATTGATTTTCAGATGAAAACTGATTTTGTATACTTAAGATTTCAAAAGTTTACTTATAGAAATGAACATATTTTAAAAAAAATTGAAGATGAGCTTTTGGTATTGGCCAAGGAACTGTTTGTGCTGTCGACCTTAGCTTCTGTTTGTTTGTCTTTTTCATTCTTCTGATGGTTTCAAGTAAATAATTTTGATTCATCTAGTATCTCCCACTATAGCACAAATCACATGACAATGGTGTTTACTATTTGTATAATAAAGCTTTATACTTCAGAAGGTGTAAGACATGATGCTTCATATCCTTGTAAAACAGTCACTTTATTTTACAAAGTTTTCATCTGTCATCATGGTCATATGCTCATTATATATATATGTTTCATTTCATTTTCATGGTTCAGTGACTGCTTAAAAAACTAGTTTTTTGAAAAGTAAATTTGTCTAATGAGTAATAGGATAACAATATTAAGTATATGGAATCTACATGTCTGTCAGACACGGTTCAACTGACTTTGACCTCATTTCATGGATCAGTGATCAAGATTAAGTGTACATGGTCAAGTCTGTATTTCAGACCGTTTAAGCAATAGGTATACTATATTTGTTGTATGGAATGATTGTAAGATGTACATGTCTGCTGGCCAAATTTCATTTGAGCTTATCCTCAGTTGTATGGTTCATTGGTTAAAGTTTTTCTTGTAGTTAAATCTGTTTCTCAGATAATATAAGCAACATAACTATATTTAATGTATGGTGTTCATGTCTGTAATGTATGGCAGTGTTTATCTGACCGTAATCTAATTTTTAATTGCTTTCATGCTATAGCGTATGGCCATCTTTGTGACGCAGATCAGAGACTCTGCCCAGATCAAGCCAAAGTTTTTTTTAGCAGATTCCTGGTCTGTCATTCTAAAACTATGCATGTTTTCTAATGCAATACATTATTTGGAACAGTTGAAAAACATTAGTGGATTTGAGAAGTTTCAACATCTGTTCTTGTAGATGTATTTTTGTATTTAAGGGGACAACTGTTTGACTATCAAAGAACATAAAAGTCCGAGTGAAAAAAGTGCATTTTTATACCTGCGATTTCGTAATTGAGATGTTTCAACAAAATATTGAATCATGTCAGTAGTTGTTGATTTAATATTGAAAATTGGACTGAATTATCTCTTATACGGTTTTATGTTGTTTAATTCATTTTTCTTTTAGAAAGAGGTCAAGTTGCTTTTTTTCATTCATTAAATTATCGTTCATTCATAAAATTATCATAAAATCACTACGCACATTATAGTAATGTCATCTTATCTCGCATTATTTGTTTTAAATTAAAAGTAGCACAGTTTACCCATTCTAATTACTCTGACCATGTTTTTAATACTTTCATGAAATTACGGGCCCTGTTATTTATTAAGGAGTTCCTTATTTGCTGTTGATACTGATAGACTCCACTCTGTAAACAAATGATATAATGACAGTGTGAAATATCATAATAACCCTAATTACTCTGTTTACGTATCTAAAAATAGACAAACATAACTGACCTTGTTATTTTGTTTGTGCAAATAATTTTGCGGAACAAAACCTGTGCTAAAAACACATAATAATAAGTCTGTTTTCCTTTTTAGCTCACCTGGCCCAGTGAGCTTTTCTCATCACTTGGCGTCTGTCGTCCGTTAACTTTTACAAAAATCTTCTCCTCTGAAACTACTGGGCAAAAGTTAACCAAACTTGGCCACAATCATCATCGAGGTATCTAGTTTAAAAATGTGTCCAATGACCCCGCCTGCCAACCAACATGGTGGACATGGCTAAAAATAGAACATAGGAGTAAAATGCAGATTTTGGCTTATATCTCTTAAACTAGAGCAATTAGAGCAAATCTGACAAGCGGTAAAGATGTTCATCCGGTTAAGATCTATCAGCAATGAAATTTTCAGACAAATCAGACAACCCGTAGTTGGGCTGCTGCCCCTGAATTGGTAATTTAAAGTAAATTTTGCAGTTTTTGGTTATTATCTTGAATATTATTATAGATAGAGATAAACTGTAAACAGCAACGTTTTTCCGTTATGCCTTTAATGATTTAAATTATAATAGATAAATAAACACTTTAAATCACAAAAATGATCAGCAAGGCAAGATCTATTAAAAAGTCAAATTTTGCCAATATAGTTAGTAGACTGTCACTCTTCATAGGAGTGATTGCCCTTAAATGAAATTTTTTTTTACCCTCTTTTGTGTTTTGAGCAAAAACTAAAGAATACAAGATCAACAAAATAAAGATTTTTGTCATGAAGTCTATTCTCTTCTACAATGTGGGAGAGTGTCCTTTGTTTGATATGCACATAGACCAAGGTGAGCGACACAGGCTCTTTAGAGCCTCTAGTTTGTCATAATTCCATAAGATTTATCGATCATCTTATAGATGTAGTGGACCTGTCTAAATGTGAAATATCCCAAGTTAAGAGTAAGCAGTATTCACAAACAATTTGGAATTTTCTTATTTCATAGATTGAAAAAAAAACTTTGTCCATTTGGATACCAAAACGGGAATGCATGACAAATGATGAAACTGATATCCTCAGCTTTCCAGTGGATGAGTTTACTTCGTTTTTGACACAGATCTGGTCAAGTCGATGTGTTTGCAATTTTATTTCACATGTTTCGTGAAAGTTGATAAAAAGCAACGTGGAGCTGTTTTTTCTTGTTCGTGAAATGACCATTTGATTTCATGTTTGTCCGTGATACTCCCTTTTTCGAAATTATATGATGATGGCACTTATTGTATGTTTAAAACAGCTGAGTAATAATGTTTGGGACTAAGACTTAAGAAATGATGACAAAGTAGCATTACAAAAATATTGTTAGTAAGCTGAAATATATATTTATATTTTACCTGTATATGTCTCGTAAGATATTTTTTTATCATGACCTACCGACCGCTATTCTAACTCCTTAACATAGTAAAAATACTCCAATAAATAGTTGTTATGTATCAAACATGCTGGAAAAGATGTTTGAAAATTTTTACTTAGCCATGGTATTTTGACCCCCCCCCCCCCCCCCCCTGCCATAGTATATTGAACCCCTACTATACACCTCCAATTAAAAAAAAATTACAGCTATTTTAACTCTTTTATATAGTAATAATACTCAGATAAGTAGTTGTTATCTATTTAATATGCTGGAAATTTTTGGAAAATTTTACTTAGCCATGATATTTTGACCCCCCTGCCATATATTGACCCCCCCCCCCCCCCCCTACACTTCTAATTACAAAAATTCTAGCTATTCTAACTCCTTTACCTAGTGATAGTACTCCAATAAGAAGTTGATCTGTATTTAACATGCTGGAAAAGATGTTAAGAAAATTTTACATAGCCAGGGTATTTTGCACCCCCCCTTTTATACACCTCCAATTTCAAAAATTCTAGCTATTCTTACTGCTTTACATAGTAATAATACTCCAATAAGTAGTTGTTATTTATAAAACATGCTGGAAAAGATGTTTGAAAATTTTTACTTAGCCATGGTATTTTGACCTCCATGCGATGGTATATTGACCCCTCACCCCCTATACACCTCTAATTAAAAAAATTACAGCTATTCTAGCTCCTTTTCATAGCAATAATACTCCAATATGTAGTTGGGATGTATTTAACATGCTGGAAAAGATGTTTGGAATTCTAACTCCTTTACATAGTATTAATGCTCCAATCAGTAGTTATTAGTATGTATTAAAGATGCTGGAAATGATGTTTGGAAAATTTTACTTAGCCATGGTATATTGAAACCCCTCCTATACACCTTCAACTTGAAAAAAAATAGCCAACTAACATATTGCACATTAGATAATCTACAATACTTTTTATCTAAAACAGGAGGGTTCAATTTTCCATGGTGGGGGTTCAAAATACCATATGGGAAAAATGACCCTGAGGTCAAAATACCATGCGGTATAATGACCCCGGGGTCAATTTTCCATATGGTATTTTGACCCCGGGTTCACTTTTCAAGGGGTTCAAAATACCATATGACACCGGAATTTTTCATGTGAAAAATTCGTAAACCAACAAATTAAAAAAAACCCTGGTCTTAGTGATGAAAGGGGTAAAGCGCAAGCCAGTTCCCAGGTTGACCCACAGTTAACGTGCATTTCATGAAAATTTAAGAAGCTTGTCCCATCTTCAAAATCTTAAATCGGTAAGTATGTATGAATGATTGATTCTTATTATAAAAAAGATATAGTTCGGTAGAACCAGAGACATATAATACATAATAAAGTATTATATGTCTTGTAGAACATTCGCGTCACGGAAGTTGAAATCATCAACTGAATGGCTAAATTTAAACCAATTATGATATAATTAAAATCAAAGCAATAAAGATAATGAATCCTGAAGATGCATGGATTGTCATGTAAATTATTTTATTATTGCCTAGTAATAAACACCCTACAAATGGATATTCTATTATGATTTCTTTGAGTTATTATGTTTCTTCACATATATTTACCTCTGCCGTTAGCCTGATAAACGTGTCGTCCCCCTGGGAAATGTAAAACATTTTAAAAATGACGTTCTGCTGGATAAGTCTTTTATTGATATAAAAAGTTAAAACATCCTTACTTTTAACTAGACAAGACTCCCGTCAGGTTTAATTCTTTTACATGTGGATGAAAAATAAAAGTCACAAAAACATTAACTTGGCAGCAATTGCTTTAACAGCCTTTAAGGCTTTGATTATGGTCCATTAGTCAACATCAAGTGTTTGTGGTTAGGTATGTTTCAGATACTATAACAGGCACTTGTCTCACAATTTTTTTCCCCTATATACCTTAATATAAGGTATATAGGGAAAAAATTTCTGAGACAAGTGCCTGTGTACTATAAGCAAAAGTTGAACTGTATTTAGTGTATGGAATGATTCCAAGGTGTAAATATCTGTTTGGCAGTTTTCATATAACCTGGATGTCATTTACACTGATCATTGATAATGTCAAGTTAGTATGATATTTTTATTTAACTTTCAAATTGTGTAAAACACTTTCGATATCAATTCACTAATCATCAGTAAAGAATGCAAAACATCACAGTGAGTGCCATCTTGTTGAGATAATAGCTGCTACATTTCTGGTTATTTATAATCAGGTTATACTGCTGATTTCTAGTCCCATCTTCTTGCGGATAATAGGAAAACATGATAGAAATCATAGCAATCTATTTTTGTTTGGACATAACTCTGATTGAATTTCAGCTTTTTGGTGACTGTTACCTGTTTTGAAATGATGTTCCTTTTTTGGATACTATGTTACATATTTAAAACCTGCTAGGTATTATTTTTTTCTTATTCAGGAAAAATTTCCCTGATAAAAAAAAACGTTGATTGTAAGGTTTACATATCTTTTTATTATACTTCAAGTAAAAATGCAATATTTTGATTGGCTTATACGAGGGTGTCAATTTACTCTTTTCTATGATAAATACTCTATTACCCTTCACGGAGACGCGTTGATCAAGTGTGCGCTTTATAAAATACGACTCTATCCTATGGCAAATACTCTATTACCCTTCACGGAGACGCTTGATCAAGTGTGCGCTTTATTAAATACGACTCTATCCTATGGCAAATACTCTATTACCCTTCACGGAGACGCTTGATCAAGTGTGCGCTTTATTAAATACGGATGGTTGTTATGTACAAGACGTCATAGTTTATTACTTTGAATTTGAAATTTAATCGACATTATTAACCAACTTACTACAATATGTATAGAAATGCCCATGCTTTATAAAGGGAAAATTTCGACAACTGGTCATTATGAACGGAGAAATTGCTACATCCATGCATTACGAAATCTCAGTCATGCATTACGAAATCACACCCGTGCATTACGAAATCACATCCATGCATTATAAACAGATGAAACGGGATATCGATTAAATCAAAATGTCGTTTATTTCTTCAAATAAGTGACAACTTTTTTCAAATTTTTTTTAACTTAATATCATAAAAAAAAGTTTAAATGATGTTCAGTGTTTTGTAACGACTTGAAACGGAAATATTACACAGCCTTTTTCGAGTACGACTTTCGATTATTATCACTGTTTCATTTTCGTTTATCAATTATCAGAACGCAGACTACTCAGAGTAAGAATAGTTAACTGTCTGAATTATTCTTCCCAGCTACTTTATATTTGCTAGATGAAATGAATTGTAATAGCATAAAATAAAGTACTTGGATGAGAAATCAGAAATTACATCTGACAATGTTGACCAAAAACCCATCGTGAATGCGAAAAGACAAGTTCAGCTATGAATTCCTGTATCTTCTTCACGGTAAGATTCTTATTCTTTGTTTAATCGAAGAATTAAAACCACTTACGGTAATAAAAGTGTTATGAACTGGCTTTTTTTTTGTATTGGTCCTGTTATAGATTCGTGGTTAGCTTTATTTGGATCCGAGACTCGATGACTGTTCTTGTCTTGAATGAGGTTGCCTTAGTTGGTTAATAAAAGTATCAATATATGGACTTTTTCATATTGGCCCTGTAACATACCCTTGGTATTAATAATGGCCTCGGACAGTTGTAATGGCCCTCGGCGCTGCCTCGGGGCCATTACAACCATCCTTGGCCATTATTTATACCTCGGGCATGTTACAAGGGCAATATGAAAAAGTCCATACATTAATACTATAGTAATAACAGAACATTCAGTATAATAAATTAAATAACACATATCTGAGAGGGTGATAGAGCAGATTGTTACCCATCGAAAAGACATTGTCAACCTTGGCTTCGCCTCAGTTGACAATGTTTTCTCGGGGTAACAATCTGCTCTAGACCCTCTCAGCTATGTGTTATTTATATAGTGGCATTTTCATCTGACCTTGACCTGATTTTTATGGTTGATTGGTCAATGTTTAGTTTTTGTAGTTTGGTCTATTTCTCAAGTACTATAAGCTATAGAGCTTTTATTTTTGGTGTATAGAATGATAGTTAGGTGTACATGTCTGTTTGGCATGTTTTATCTGACCTTTACCTCATTTTGGATCAACTATTAGGTAAAATTAAAATATTTAAAATAAATCATTTATTACACTTGTAATGAAGATTTGATCTCAATCAAAAATGATTTCATCACTACAAACTCTATCTGACAGGCCATACAGGCTCAGATGAACCTCAAGATTTGATACATGTTAGCTTTGTTGTTAATAACCACAATTTAGTTTGCTAACTCTTTGGATGAATGGGACACATAATGATAAATATTAGAATTGACGGATTGTTCTAGACGTGATCACTATTGTATGTACAGTCCGCTCCATGGTAAGTACTAACAGGTTTGTTTATAACAGAGGTAAATCCTTCACTTTTTAAAAAATGCATAACCTCTGCCTCATAATCACGTTTGAAGACGACGGGATCGCGTGCTAGTACAAATAAAGTAGCCTTCAAATTGTCAGACACTAGAGCGTATTGATATTTGTTGTCTGGTCCGAATGTAGCTGGTCCGAGTTTCATTACCCAATCTGAAAAAAGTGCAATAGTTTATTTTTTAAAAAAATCCATAAAAAGATGATATAAAAGATGCACAAGTCCATTCCCGTCCTTTTCGTATCGAATAAAATCACAACAAATTGATAATTCACTGAAAGACTATTTTAATGTTTTTGTGCCATCTCTCTGCAAGTTATCAGAAACTAAACTACGGGTTTTGCTTATTGTTAAAGGCAGTCCAGTGACCGATAGTTGTTCACATCCTCATCATTTGATTGTTGTTTCACTGACAATTATACCGCATCGCCTACATTTTAAATTTCATCTTAACCTTTTACAGCTATTGTTTCTATCTTCCTTATATTTATAGACATTTTGCTTTTGAACTCCTTATCTCTAAGTATTCCTCGTGAAGTCTGGTTAGTCCACTGTGACAAGCACCAAGCGCCAACATTGTATGTTAATCACAGTGCCACTGTGATTAACATACAATGTTGGCGCTTCGGTGCTTACCATCATATATAAATATAATTTGACTAAATATTAGTTGATCATGTTTGTATTTAGCTAAGGCAAAGACTTTATTTCTATTTGGCAAAGTTGGACTTTAGATTGGTTTGGCTATTTTAAGCTCCAGTTCATTTTCACAATATGTTTAACCTTTTGTTTGGTTATAATTCCGACTTGCACAGGATTCTAACACCAAACTTCCAAGTATAAGGCACCTTATAAACGTTAGATTTAGATATTAAATAATGCAAAAAAAAAAACTTTAAAAAAAAACCAACAAACAGAAAAAGCACAAAATATAATCAAAACATCATTATCCGTACATAAAATCCGAGCCTAATTTCTCTACTTGCAAATCCTTGTTTAAACACGAACGAAGATAAGAAGTGAGATTGCTTCTTCGGAAAGAAAATCTGGACATAGATATAGGAAGATAAAGTATAAGTGCCAATGAGACAACTCTCCATCCAAGTTACAATTTAACATCTAGCAAGACTTTCAAAACAGAAGAACAATCCTGAGAGCTGAAGTTGTTATTATGTATACTACTTACAAGGTGCATTAAATCCTACTGTTTCCAGATGGACGGTTAATTTTCCGACATCTTTGGTTGGTGTAGCATATCCGTGTATAACTTTCAGGTCTCCCTTAGCTTCACTGAGTCTTTCAGAGTTAAGGACATTAATATGTCCACTCCCATCAGTTGACATAGTATCTGAACAAACATAAAATACATTGTGTAGACTACTTTTACATGCATGGAAAAAATCAAATATGTGATCTAAAATTTGCATTAATTGTATTTTTTGCCCTTGGCGTTAGGGGCATAGATCCCCCTTTTTTCTATTCTTTTTCGGTGTTTTTTTATTGTTATTTTAACTTATTTATACCAATTTAATGTGTTCTTACTCTTAAGTTGATAAAAGAATAGGGGTCTAGTCAGCAGACAGAAACCTTATAAAATATCCCTTGTAAATTCTATAATGATCACCATTAAAATAATTGCCAAGGTCATTTGATATAAAATCACCATAAAATCTGTTTGATGCTTTTTTACGACGTGTTGTTAAAAAATGTCATGAACAGAGAGTCAAATTAAACGTACATTCAGAAGGATATAAGCGGTGTATAATGTATATTAAAAACGGCTATAAATTCTAAAAAGTCTATGACGGAAAGATGTTTCTTTTCCATTTTGAACAAAAGAAAAAGCTAAATAAACTATAATTAACTAAGATAAAACGTACAGTCCGCAGTAACACACACGGCTTTTCTTTCGAATGTAGCATAAACAGATTGACTAGCGTACATTTGGAACCATCTTCCTAAATATTTGTTCACGTCCAGTTGTGACACTGTCGGTACAGCAGAGCCTAATCCAAACGAATCCAACAGGAAACCTGTCACTGTAGGCAACAGCACAGTTGTTAGTAGAATGGTATACATTTTGTTCTGTGTGGGTCTTGTATAACTGTTTGATTTTATAGTAGTGGTTGTGTAATATCTGGACAGGTCATGTCACCTGACACGAGTCTTGAACAGGTTTTTGACAACGTGATGATAAGAATTGTATAATTACATAAACTTGCCTTGTTTTGAAAATTGTGAAATACTATAAAAATAATTAGATGTTATTACATTTAACGAAAAACGATCTACCGTTGAAATATAAGGGATTTGATAGAATAAAAGAAGATGCTTTATTTCATGCTATTACCCATTTGTTTCTTTTTATCCCAAACCGTTGGTGTCTCTTTTAATCAGAAAGGTATAAAATAGAATGAAGCTTTTCATCGATCCACATCATTGATTATTAGGCAGACTAAAATTAAATAATCCAGCTTTCGTTTGGCTAAAACAATATCCGATAAAGGGTCTTTAAACCACTCTCATCAAGTTAAACAGCAGATTGACGAAGAACAATATTCGTTCTTGATTTATGACATGTATAAATGGCATGTACCGAACATGTCTATTTATGCATAAATTTAAGATTTATGCTTGGATGGGCCGAACGGTTTTGATTTTTAGTGGACTAAAAAGGATAATTAAATTTAAATTAGTTTTCAAATGCATTTTGCTACTTAGAGTGTTGCAATATGCTACACATGGCCGTCGAAAAGTACTCTATTATTGGTTTTTAAAGTAAAAGATTTTTTGGTACTTGAAACGTCTTTAAAAAATTATTTATTTTAAGTTTTTCATTTTTTATTAATATTTGTTTTTTTAGTTAGTTGAAAAAATTTCAAATACCGGTACATGTCATTTATACATGTCATAAATCGAATTTGAGAAGGATAATACAAGACCGAGATATATAAAAACATATGCGCAAGCAACATTAAATCATCAAAGAACGAATACTTGGGATAAACTCGTCAATCACGACACTGAACAATTTGGAGTACTGCAAAACCGGAATAAATCAGGTATTCCAAAAAGGGTGTTTTCATGTTTTCATCCTGCTGAACATGTTTCTTTATCATACTCCAAGGAATGAATGAATATGATAAAAATACAGAACTCAAAAATAAATTAAAAAGAAGTCCATAAAACCAAACAAAATCAAACTGTCATAATCCTGACCAGCATGTTCCGAAGTTCTCCTTGTAAATTGATCAAATAGTCATCATTAACAACTAAGTGTGTCCCATTATATCTGTATAAATTACTTTCTTAAGTACGTTTATTACAGTGCCTTATTGCGTATTCACTTATGCGCAGGACCAGCCTTATTGCGTATCCACTAATGTCCAGGACCAGCCTTATTGCGTATCTATTATTGCTCAGGACCAGCCTTATTGCGTATCCACTAATGCTCAGGACCCAGTTCCTGACACGGAGATTCACTTGATTACGAGCCCTTTCAATAGCTTTTCAACATTTGGCATTGCGCCAGTACCGTCTCATTAATATATCATACCGTATTATTTAAAAAGCTGGATATAATGGATGTAAACAAAGCAGGTCACATTCTATCTCACCGAATAGTGTGTCAATACACCCATATCATTTAACCCAATGTGAATAACAATGAAACTCGAGAGGAAGCGATTACGCAACCATTGTCGAAAGACTCGGTTAAAATCGCACCATTCCATGCCCATTTGACCAATCCAATTAATATAGACACCTCATTCTGTAGGTCAAAGTGAAGTCCCCCAAATCTAAATGAAGGTTTTACATTCTCCCAATACACTATCGATTATCCTATTAGCCAATTGTTTTGAGACTTACAATTGATATATGTATTATTTCAATGACAGTTAATGTGGTTTAAAATCAATAAACTTAAATCGTCCAGCGAATGTATTTTGTATTAGCGTTGGATGTTCGTCGACCCCATTTCTGTAAATGTGTCGTCATCCCCTCCTAACCTTTTTGCTTAATTTTTTTTGCCCCGATTTTAAAAGAATGCGCTCCGAAATAAAGTCCACTGACCTCGCAAAACGACAAATTCTTCTTTAAAATAGAAGAAAATTGAAAACTTGTAAGAGTTGACCCATCAAAAATATATGTACAAGTTATTTTCGGGCGGAGGATAACGAATTTGCCAAAAAAATCTTAAGTAAATGAATCCGACACACAGATATGTCCTTTTGCTGACGGACAATCAAAGTTATAGAAAAGAATAGTTGATCTGTTTTAAAACTTCGAATACTTCGATGAAACTCATTGCTATTTTACCAATGCGAGTTAAAGCGAAAAATCTAAGACTGAAAGCTGAAGCAAACACAACTGATTAGTACGAAGATTGCAAACACATTGTAGCGACCTTATCAATTTTCCTTATAAATTAATCGAAATTGGTATCCGCAAGTCAGATCTTAAGGTGTTGACCTTTTTAGTCCTTCTAATTTTTTTCCGACTCCGACTTAAAGGATGTGTGCACAAATGAAAGAATGTTTCCGAAGGTAAAATAATGTAAAAAGGGATGCAAAACATGCATCAATGCAATAATCACCCAGCAACACATTAACTGATGATTTAAATATAGTATGCATAATATCTGAGAAATAAATTACCACAAAAATTTATTATTTAGAATATCTTTTTTACATGAAAGACTATATCAGTTAAGTTTTTTTAAGAATGATTTAAATGCGAAAGGACTTATTTATCCAATATAAGTATATATATCCAATATAAGTATATATATCCAATATAAGTATATATATCCAATATAAGTATATATATCCAATATAAGTAGTATTACTCATTTAATTTGATTTGTCTCTAGTGTATAAGATATGTGACGAAAAAGTCTTCCGTTATGGAACTTTAACTAAAGTGTACACACGTGTGTTTGTGCTGTGTTGTTGGGTGTATAAGTTTCAGGTCGTGCCTTTCACTCGTACACGGACGACAAATGCCAAGTATACTCTTTAACAGGGTTAACCTTGAAATCTACTGGTAGCGCGATTAAGGGAATCCTGGTCACATAAATAAATAAATGGATCCTGGTGCAGTCTGAACGAAGTCTTGAAAGTGAACATAAACACGAAGTCGAATAAAAGTTCAATACTGTATTATCAAAATCACATTATACAAGTATAACAAAATGTACGTCTAACTTCAGGCTCAACAATACGGTTCTCCTCTCTACTCTACAAACGTAACTGTCCTCTCCTCACTATAAATTCTCTCTCCTCCTTTATCTCACGCTCTTTCTCTCTTTTATATCTCTCCTACAAGCCCGGATACAAATATAGACTACTAGGGCAACCGGGCTCCGTGTATTCCGTGCACCGATAATCCGGGTGCTCCGGATATCCAGGCTCCTAGTGTTCCGTGCTCCTTACATAAATTTACTAGGGCACCATATGCAAATCATAAGGGCTCACTAGTCAAACAAAGAAATCTAAATATAACTCTTAATTAATATCTCTGATGATCTCTAACTGTATTAAATGGCTATGTGTGAAAATACAGATGTATGTAAACCTGATACAATCAGATAACACGCTTGACCTAACATATAAAAATGTTACACAGCCCCCCTCTTAACTATGAACTTCCACTGTTCAGTATACAGCATTATATAAAAAAAAATCTAATTAAATACTGTTCTTGAGCACCTTATAACAAATACACACGTAGCCAACAAGTAGTACATGTATATAAAAAAATGTATATATATCAAAAACATATCATGGTTTGCATCAAAAGAACTTCTAAGATAAAAAAAATATATATATAAACAAAAATGTACATGTACCCTGAGATAGATGATAATAAAAAAAACCTTATCATAACTTTTTAAAATATAAAAATAGCACCTCTGACTAGTTTTGAGTATTATGCGATTCTAAATAACAAAACTTAACACAACTTACAGAGATATCATATTTTTATCATGGTATATAAAAAAAAACCATCGGAATCCAAGATTTGATTCTTTAAAATGTTTAAACGTACACTCAAAATTGGGCCAGGTAACACCAAGTAAATAACAAGGGTCACAGGGCTCCATATAAACAAAATTACTTTAAACTAATTATGCAAAATGTAAGTCTATGTAAAATAAGCACCACTTATTAAAAATAAGAAATATAACAAAAATACAAAAATTATATAGTGCCGACAATGATATATTTTAAGTCTACATAATAGTTTTAGATTTAAGACTTTCAAAACAATGGAGTTTACTGGTCTTAAAAAAAATGTAGTTAATCATTGTTTAATGGGCATTGAGAACACCATGATTGAAGGGTTTCAAGCGACATATTGTAATTTTAAAGGGCTTCGAGACACCATAAAAATGTATTTAGGGTTTCGAGCACCAAATAAAGCTAAACTTCTACTTTATAAACAAACACAGAAAAACTTCTGTATAAAACAACATAGTTTACACAATAAATAAACAACTGTTTATAAAGTCACTTGGTTTATTCACTATCTTCTTCCGTCGTTTCATTGTGGGTTTTTTTCTTTTCATTAGACCGTCCATGCCGGATGACCGACACCTGGCCTCTGGTGTCGATCTCCTCTGCGTAAATCTGTCTCTCGAGAATCTCTACGGTCCCCTTCTCGGTTCCGGAAATTCTGGTGGACGATTTTTAAACATCGGGGATCTGTCTCTTCCATGCCATATATCACGGTTATAGAATCGCCCTTGGGATCCTTTACCGTTATTCCGTGGGTAATTATCAGGAACTTTAATTATTTCTGTCGACATTTTCTCTTCGTGTTCCTTCTGCTTCTGCAGTTACATCTTCATCACTATCCCCGTCTTCAACTTCAAATATAGGCCGCTGAACTGGGTTGAAATGCTTGGCGAGGTCCTTTTCTCCTACTCTTAAGCATTCTTCCTGCATTGAATTAATTACCGCCTCTTGCAGGGTATTAGGTCTGGTTCGCCGCTTGACAGCAAGGCGAAAATCTTCTGACTGTCCGCACTTGTCAAGGAACGCTTTAATAGAGTTCTCCTCTACAATCTCAGGATTGCCCCTGCCAAATACCTTTCTTTCATCGCCGTATGTCCAAATCTCTCTTCCATCTTTCGTTTAAGGCGATTATAATCTCTCTGTATTATTACTGGCATCCCATGTGCATACGTCTCCGCTTGTCCCATAAGAGTACTAAGTAGGACCCTTCGTGAATTTTCATTGTTCCATACATTTAACTCGGATATATTCTCAAAGTATTGAATAAACTCATTCCAAACACTATTCTTTGCTCCGGAAAAGGTCCTCCGAACAGGATATTCATTAGATGGAGGAACGTTCCGTCCACGGATACACCAAGTATTCGGATATTCCGTAGTCGTTCCGTTTATATCAGTACATTAATTTTCCCGACTAACAGACTCTGGCAATTGAACATGTCCTGGTGATAAGCCCATGTTTTCCGATGTATGCCCGGGTGACTCAAGCTCCATTTGCCTTTGCCCGTTTATAACAGGGCAATTAGGCCATGGGCTCGAGTACGAGGGCATTTCATCTGAGTCATAGGGCGTACCAGTATCAGTGATAACATTATCCGGAGTACGGCTTAGCCCATTATACATATGATTAGGGCTTCGCCTGTTCCTGGACCATGTATATGCAGTGTTTTCTGACTAATAACCAGTAATGACGGAATTCCATACTAATTTCAAAACTATATCGTTGAAATTATCAGGCATATTATCGCTAATAATCCAATCACTACATATTCCTGAGACTTCTGTACTGCCCTATTGTTAGGAAAATAAATCCATGCTGTTGCAACGATGCCGCTACTGAAAGTAAGCAAACTAATCCATATTTTGCCAAAATTTCTTCCAACCATTTTCTTTACCACTTTGCGTATTGCTCATCTCCTGGACAGCTCTATCCTGATTGCTCCTGGGTGAAAAATGCCCGATTCTCCGGCGATACCGGACATCTGGCATAGTCTCCGTGCGAACATCATGGAGAGTACCAGTGGCAGGCGAACTATCTATTAACTCAGAATCTTCTGGGGAAAAAAGTTGATTTCTGAAGCAATTCTGCCTTACCCGAGAGAGCATTGGAGCCTGAGTTGATGTGATAATTGTCCTTCTTGGTGTCTCCATTGTATTATAAAACAAATACAACTATCACCTATAAGTTCGTTGAAGTCACACACAGTAAATCCCACCGCTGCCACCAATGTGACAAAAAAGTCTTCCGTTATGCAACTTTAACTAAAGTGTACACACGTGTGTTTGTGCTGTGTTGTTGGGTGTATAAGTTTCAGGTCGTGCCTTTCACTCGTACACGGACGACAAATGCCAAGTATACTCTTTAACAGGGTTAACCTTGAAATCTACTGGTAGCGTGATTAAGGGAATCCTGGTCACATAAATAAATAAATGGATCCTGGTGCAGTCTGAACGAAGTCTTGTAAGTGAACATAAACACGAAGTCGAATAAAAGTTCAATACTGTATTATCAAAATCACATTATACAAGTATAACAAAATGTACATCTAACTTCAGGCTCAACAATTACGGTTCTCCTCTCTACTCTACAAACGTAACTGTCCTCTCCTCACTATAAATTCTCTCTCCTCCTATATCTCACGCTCTTTCTCTTTTTTATATCTCTCCTACAAGCCACTAGGGCAACCGGGCTCCGTGTATTCCGTGCACCGGTAATCCGGGTGCTCCGGTTATCCGGGCTCCTAGTGTTCCGTGCCCCTTACATAAATTTACTAGGGCACCATATGCAAATCATTAGGGCTCACTAGTCAAACAAAGAAATCTAAATATAACTCTTAATTAATATCTCTGATGATCTCTAACTGTATTAAATGGCTATGTGTGAAAATACAGATGTATGTAAACCTGATACAATCAGATAACACGCTTGACCTAAAATATAAAAATGTTACAGATATATCAAGATAAGAAGTGTCACTATCTTATCAATTTGAAAATAAAATAAACATTTTGTAGTTGATTAGTAGACGACAAAAATACACGTTGATTTCCGTTTGTGGTAATTAAACAAAAGTTTGCCAATACTATATATCACGAATGTTATATCCGTATTCGACACGGTAATAAGTGTATGCATGTATATAATACATAGATAATTTTCGGTTTAAAATTCAACGTTGTATAAAATTTTATGTATTCATTTGTTCATTCATTTTGGTACGAAGATTGTCATGAGAAATTCCAATATCAATGTCTACAAAGACCAACGGTCACTATTAATATTGCATTTAATAACTTTGAGTTGAGGTGCATACATTTTATACTTGTACATTATAGGGATATCACAGCAAATATTTCGGCACCCATTTGCCAATATTACTGCTCATTGTATTCATAACTAACATAATTTTCAAAGGATTCAGGACGTTTATTATTACTACAATTTCAATGGGCACTTTGTTTTATCATATCGCCTTTGGCTTTACATTTGTGTAGATGAAATTATTTGAGGGGTTGATAGAAAAATAGACATGCCGATTTGATAAATATTTAGGAAGAAGACACTTTTTACAACTGATTTTTTTATAAGTGTCCATTAGTTTAATATGGCGTACAAAAATAGCATGACAATATGTGTTGATATAAATGTATGTAAGTGTCTGACCATTTATTATTGTATAATATTACATTGTAAGACAATAAAGCATACATATAATTAACCCTATCTGTAGATAAAAGTGATAGGTTACCTTGAACAGACATTGTGTTGAGGTCATCCTTTTCCTGTAGTTAAAAAAGTGTGAAACAGTATAAACTAATATTGAAATATGGCGATTCGATTTGATGGGAAGAGAGCTCTCGTTACCGGTGCTGGGAAAGGTAGGTTTATTTTGAACTGTTTTGATGATGCTATTGATCGGAAAACATATGTATAAAGTAATAATTATAAACAGGTTTCGCTTACAAAAAAGTTTGCTGTATCATCAATTTATTTCCGCTGCTGTTTTAGTGTTTCTTATATTGGGGATGGGGGTAGGGTAGGGGTAAACTGGTAGCAGGTTTAGGTGTCAGACCACCAATTATACTCCCTCCAATTTAGAACGTATGTAAAAGTAGCCCTACTCTTACACAAAGTAGTTCTTTTGATGTCATTGTTTACTTAAGACTAACCAACAAATTTGCAAAAATGAAACTTTTGGTGAAAGAGAAATAAATTTAGACCATTTTGAGCAACAAATTACTTGTCTATGAGTTTGTATCAAACATTCAGGAGTAATGCGCTCCATAGTGATATAACGGGGCTTTATTCTGTGTATGCTTTGGGACTATACATTATTTCGGAACTATGTATCCGGGATCAATAACTCCATCTTGCCCGTTAGCATAGAGAACTAGCTAATGTAAAGTTTCTCCGTAAGCTCACTAAGTACTGTCTGCATGTATGTATAACGAAGTCTGCTTAATGTTCACATATTTAATCGTGTAACAGTACATGTATACATGATATTAGTAAAGGTTCACAGTTATAAATTCCAATATAAAACGTTACTTAATTCCAACTCTATAAAACATGTTACTTCATTATTATCTATAATACAACTTGTTACTTCAAGCTACTACTCCAATATATCTGACCAATACATAAAGTTTCTCACAAGATCGTGCTATAAACAGCTGTTCTTAATTTAGATTAAACATTGTTTTATGGTCTTAGATTATTTTGATAAACTTCTAAAATGTTATTGCAACTGTACTGTGCAACCCATGTACCGTATAAACTGTCACATTAATCAAGATGAAAGATCATTAAACTGATTAAGTATTGACCATCAAATCTTTGATGTAAATGACCACGCCACATCATACTAATTTAAGATTTCCAGAAAACCAGGGGTTATTTTGGTAGTACCTATGTTCCGAAGGTCAGATTTTTCTTATAAGACTTTAAAGGTAGATTGAAAATTGCCATGTAGAAAGGTGATACATGTACTATTCAAGATATACCTGGTTTCTATGAAGTTAAACTTAAGGTAAAATATTTAGAAAGCTGTGAAAATTGCAAAAGCTGTGAAAATTGCAAAATTTGGTTGAACAGATAGGGATTTTTAATTAGTGGTCTGACACCTATAGGTCACCGTAATTTGTTTAAATTATGACCAACACTCAAACTGCATAGTGAACTATTAAAACTCACATCCGTTATACTAAACAAACAGCCTGAGTTATGAACAAAACAATAAAAGAAACAAAAACATAACAAAAAAACAAACGACAATCACTAAATTACAGGCTCCTGCCTAGGGATAGGCAAATACAATGTGGCGACTGCTCAATCCTCAACCGAATTCGGGACAGTGGTATAACAACACAATAGTAGAACAAACTGTAAAAAGAAGTTGAAAACGGTTTGACTCATTAGAAAAAAACAAAGCTTAAAAAAGACTAAAGACACAAAGTACCAAGCTAACAGAGCTCGCTATTACTGAAAGTTAGTTCAAATTCAATTACAACTGATAAATAAATCATGCTTCCCAGACAAAAGGTTCCATCTGGCAAAGAATATAGTTTTAAAGACGCCATAACAGTTTGGGGATGCCATGACCTTTTGCAATGCCAAAATATAAGTATCAATAGTATATACAATGTAGGACCACAAGTGTTCATAACTATAGGAATGCATTTGTAGTTATGTTCTGATTTATTAATCAATAACAAGATCAATGATAAGACCGACATAATATTCAAAGTTCTTCCTACAGTATCAAATTGATAACATTGTAGAATAAGTTTATTCAAATGATCGATAAGTTTACATAGATCGTATCTAAGTTTATGGGCTCTAAACAACATCGCCGTAAACATTAGGATGGGATATGCCGTTTGTTATAAATTTTCAGCTATACTTCCAAACCATATCTTTGTATCTAGGAAAGAATCTTATGACAGTTATGAGTAATCTTGGTTGACATCATTTACTGTTAATTCGTTACAAGATTAGGCTTGCATAATTGGAGATGATTACATTATCGACGCTTCTGACCACACTCTTTGCATGGATATCGGAAATGAAGGAATGGTACTTGAAATTTTAACAAAGCAAAGTCCTAAGTCATAAGGTGCCATTTCAGAACCTGTTCATATTTTTTTTATTTATGATTTCATAAATTATATCAAAAAGAGACAAACAATACCAAAAAGACAATCAATATTCACGATTAAAAAAAAAAAAAGCAAATGTTGCGACAAAGAAGACAAACAAAACACTAAACTTAACAATGAAGACTGAGCAACAAGAACCAAAATCATTAGGTTTTAAATGAAAAGTGTGATGACTTGTTTTTCGTCTTTTTTCAGGTTCGTGATTTGGTCTTAGTTTCAGGTCTTTTATTGTCAATTAAATTTTCTGCATTTTAATTTAATCTTTCTTGAAATAAAATCTGCATTCTAAATTTATTTAGAAAAGTGACTCCTTATAAACTCCAAAAATAGATTCAAAGCACGTAAGGGATGATTAAATTAGAAATATTTTACTCAAAGAACTGAACAAATTCTAGTATCTACAATACTGCTATGTCTTTACTACTCTGTAAACGAAAAGAGATGAAGTTTGAATATATGTGATATAACAATACATTCCATGTTGTTGTTTCATCATTAGTTGACAGGGCACGCGATTTTTGAGTTGCTGTGATAAACTTATATTAAGTTTTTTGTCCATAAATTTGAACTCTGATGTTTGAAACTTCTTAAGACTTCAGTAAGAACTTAAATAATATTTCTTTTCAAATACATATGAAATTCTACTACGATATAAATTGTAGGATTTGGTAGAGCTATTGCGAAAAAATTAGCAGAATGTGGAGCAGAAACATTTGCACTTAGTAGAACACAGGCAGATTTAGATAGTTTAATATCGGAGGTAATTAGATAGATTAAAAGACAGGTAATTAGAAATAGAATCAGAGGTAACTTAATATTAATAGAGAACGTATATAAATACATTTTCAGGAAGCATTTGTTTTTCTACTTAAATAATATAATTATCTTAATACCTCAAACGACAAAAAAAAAAAATCCAACATGTCTAAATAAGTTTCATTTTTTAATTATTCGTTGGGAAATACAGAAATAAGAAATATAATCAACACAGCTAACAAAACGTCTTGCATACCATATAAATAAACGGATCAATTCTATTAAATAAGAAGAGCTAAGGGAAATTGGGGTTATTTCCTACCAATCGTTATATGAACAGTCTCTTGCGTTTATTTGTATTGTATTCCTGTCACGTAATGTTGTCCTTTTAGCAGTATTTTTAACATTGCCATGAAAGCGGGAAGTTTGCTAGCCATAAACCGGGTTCAACCCACCATTTTTTCTTAAAATGTCCTGTACCAAGTCAGGAATATGGTAGTTGTTATCAAATAGTCCGTTCCTATGAAGGTTGGCGTTTGCTGTTGCTGTAGTTAAGTGTTTCTGTTGTTCTGTTGGTTTCCTCTTATAATTGATATGTTTCCTTCGGTTTTGGTTTGTGACCCGGATTTGTTTTCGCTGAATCGAATTATGACTATTAAACAGCGGTATACTACTGTTGCCTTTATTTAAGTACAAAACATCAACATGGATTCAAAAGACTGGGATAAAACAAGAGAGGAACTCAATAAGATCAGACACGTCGACCTACTGGTTAATAATACTGTTGTTTATTGTTTTAGGTACCAAACATTAACGTGATTAATGTAGACTTACAAGACTGGTATAAATCAAGACAGGAAGTCAGTAAGATCGGACACATAGACCTACTGGTAAACAATGCTGGTGTAACTATGAGGTCATTATTCATCGATACTCCAAAAGAAAACATTGACAGGCAAGATATAAAGCATTCCATTAAACTAATTTTCATATATTTTTGTAAATGTAAGTTTTATTCTTATATTTCACCCATTACAATCAATGCATTAAATTAGATGACCGCTCGAGGTGAGAAAACATACTATTTAATGTTTTGTACAAGTTTTTTTCTGAACAATTCAAAAGACAGGTTATGAAGATGTTTACGCTTAATTTTTTCAGATATCTGGGTTTTTGAGGAAGTTATCTTCAGTGCATCTTATTGAGATATCATCATATGATATGCTGGAGACAAGATGTTCAAAATTCAGAAAAATAAGATGTTTTAAAGCATTATAAAAGCACTTAACAGAAAATTAAAGCTATCTCAAGTCGAATTTGTCGACAGGAATCAAAACATTATTATAATACAATGACATAAATGACGTATAAAGAATAAATGGATTTTTTAATGCCTTACAATATCAATGTAATGGACAATACATTATAGGACTTAAAGTAAACATGCATCGGCTCATGAGTAGTAGACGTATTTGTAAACGTAATATTTAAGCTGCTGTTATTCAATAATTAGATCTGATATTTTTGGTATGGCATTTAGTTCGGTAATTTCTAGTTTGAAACAAGACAAAATGTTTCTTTAATTCCTGTTGCTTTCTTATTATGTACATATAGTTGAGATGATATAATATCATTTTATTTCTTTTTTAGTTAGTATTCGTTTACATTTTGAATTTGAGTTCAAAATATAGATAATGTGTCCCGGGATCATGCATATGACAAGTTGATCAGAAATGTACAAAATTTCGATCTGGTTGGGTAAGAAGGGATGTGCAAGGGAACCAATCCTATGATAATATCAGAAGATAATCAATAAATCATTTGTTGTTTACTTTAAATAGTACTATTTTTCCAGTATAAACTAAATCCGATTGAAAATTTATAAATATCTGACCTTACATTTTTAATTTCTATTATAGAATATTTGACATCAACTTTAAAGGAACTTTCAACGTGTCTCAGGTAAACTTAAAAAAGAACAATTAAGTGCCATATTTGTCATAAAATGAAAATTTCTCCAATTTGCAGAATGTATTATTTATTCTTTCGTACTTTTGTATTTTAAGCTAAATAGGAAAAAGATACGTAAATGTCAATAAAAAGCTAATATAAAATGAAGTAAATGCAATAAAATGGCAAAAAAAACCGCACCAAATTGCACGTTTTGTTTTATATGACTATCCACACCGAAGGCAGCGCTTCCGCAATTTCATGTTTTAAATGATACATTGTGACTGTCTTTTTTAATCAATTTATTTTGTAATTAATATCAAAACTAGAGTTAAATGTCTCCTGAATGCAAAGTTTACCTAGAGTGGGTTTTTGTCTGTTTGGTTAAAGCCCTCTCAGTTTTTACAAAAGTATTTAATAATTTATCTACTTCTTTTTTTTATTTATACTGTAAAGTCAAATATTTAAGGTCTGATGGCTTGAAGATTTTGTAAAGAGCTAGCACGGGACTTACAACGGCGATTAATATGATAAGTTTGTTTAACAGAAAGCATTTTTTTGACTGGTAAGATTTGTTACTGCAGGACTTCTGATAGATTACAACTGGACGATTTTGGTAATGAATTGTGCGACAGGTTAAGTAGGTACAATGTACTTAGTTTGATATCATAAATGAATCTGTTGAAGACATATAACTTTTTGTTACCAATAAAATTTGTGAAGACATGAGCACAAATCAAACCAACCAATGAGAAACTGAAACCAAGTTAGATTTAAACAGATTTAACGATTTAATGTTTGATAGCAGACGATTTTTTTGAAACGGTATATTACCATTATTTTAGGTTATTGCTAAGAGGATGATACAAAATGGAAAAGGTGGAAGAATAGTTAACATATCCAGTATCTTGTCTGAAAAAGCTATATCTGAAGGATGTGTCTACTCTACAACAAAAGCAGCTATTGATATGTTAACTAAATGTATGGCATTAGAACTGGGACCTCATAATGTAAGTACATCTCATCTATACAGATGAATTAGTCATTAAGAAAACTACTGAAAAAAGGTATTCATCGTATTCCTCACACCTGGACTTTGTTTGATTCGTATTACCTAATTTTGTTTTGTCATTTAATTCCAAAAAACTGCTTTTCATTCTTGAGCATCTGAGTTCAACCGGATTTTGGTGTGGTAATTGTTGTTTAGTCTTGAGTCTGGATAGTGGTGTGTAAATTGTTGTTGGTCTTATTTCCTTTTGGTCATGGCGTTATCTGTGTAGTGTTGTGTGAATTATTGTTTGTCTTATTTTTGCTTTGTTCATATTGTCATCTGTGTATTATCCTTTTTTTCTGTGTCATCTGTGAATTATCCTTTTTTTGCCAGGATGTTATCTGGATAGTGGTGTGTAAAATGTTGTTCGTCTTATTTCCTTGTGACCATGGTGTTATCTGTCTTTTTCTGAATTATGATTTTATTTTGTCACTTTGGTATCGTCTCCTTTTTCAAATAACAATACCTATTCCTATTAAATATGATGTATGTTTTCTTACTTTGTTCTCAGAATTGGAATCAATATTGTTTTTTAACATGCAAGTTATTCTTGAGTAAGTCATAGGCTTGATACGGGTTATGTTTTTCTCATATATTTTATGATGGTATGATTCTAAACCCCTAACGGGAGGGATTGTGCTTGATTTTAAGATGATGAAGACATAATCTTTCAATCAGTTTAATTAAGGTCTGGAGCTGGCATGTCAGTAACTGCTAGTAGTCCTTTGTTAATTTATGTATCATTGTCATTTTGCTTAGTTTCGTTTGTTACCTATTCTGACATCGGACTCGGACTTCTTTTAAACTGGTTTTTACTGTGCGTATTGCTGTGTGTTTCTTTATTCTACATTGGCTAGAGGTAGGGGGGGGGGGGGGGGGGTGGGGGGTGGGTGGGGGCGGGGGTAGGGGTTGAGATCTCACAAAACAAGTTTAATCCCGCCGCATTTTTGCGCCTGTCCCAAGTCAGGAGCCTCTGTCCTTTGTTAGTCTTGTATGTTTTTTTAGTTTTAATTTTAGTTCATTTATATGTTTTGGAGTTGAGTATGACGTCCATTTTCACTGAACTAATACACATTTTTATAAGGGGCCAGCTGAGGCCCACCTCCGGGTGCGGGATTTTCTCGCTGCGTTAAAGACCCATTGGTGGCCTTCGGCTGTTATCTGGTCTTTGGTCAGGTTGTTGTCTCTTTGACATATTCCCCATTTCCATTCTCAATCTTATTTTGTATATTTTACGTTCTTTGTTATGATATGTTGTTCTAACTTTAGATAAGAGTGAATTCGATTAACCCTACTGTGGTGTGGACAGACATGTCACGGCCATACAAGGAAGAATTAATGCCACTACTTCCAATGACACCAATGGGAAGATTTCCAGGTAAGAGTTAATACGATTAGCTCCACTGTGGTAAGGACAGACATGACTAGGCCATAAAAGGAAGAACTAATGCCACTTTCCCAATGACACCAATGGGAATATTTTTAGGTAAGAGTGAATACGATTAACACCACTGTGGTGTGGACAAAAAAAAGGAAGAAATAATGTCACTACTTCCAATGACATCAATGGGAAGATATCCAGGTAAGAGTAAATACAATTAAGAAAACTTTGGTGTGGACAGACAATAATCGGCCATAAAAGGATGAATTAATGCCACTATTTCTAATGACACCAATGGAAAAATTTCCAGGTAAGAGTAAATACAATTAACCCCACTGTTGTGTGGACAGACATGACTCGGCCATGAAAGGAAGAACTGATGCCCCTACTTCCAATGACACCATGGGGAAGATTTCCAGGTAGGAGTAAATACGATTAACCCCACTGTGGTATAGGTAGACATGACTCAGCCATAATATGAGGAATTAATGCCACTACTTCCAATGACATTATTGGGAAGATTTCCAAGTAAGAGTAAATACGATCAACCCCACTGTGCTGTGGATAGACATGACTCAGCCATAAAAGAAAGAACCAATGCCACTTTCCCAATGACAGCATGGGAAAGATTTCCAGGTAAGAGTAAATACGATTAATCCTACTATGGTGTGGACAGACATGACTCGACCATAAAAGGAAGAATTAATGCCACTACTTCAAATGACACAAATGGGAAGATTTCCAGGTAAGAGTAAATACAATTAACCCCACTGTGGTGTTTACAGACATTAATCGGCTATACACGGATGAATTGATTCCACTACTTTCAATGACACCAATGGGAAGATATCCAGGGTAGAGTAAATACGATTAATTCCACTGTGGTATGGACAGACATGAATCGGCCATAAAAGGAAGAATTAACGCCACTACTTCCAATGACACCAATAGAACGATTTCTAGGTAAGAGTAAATACAAATAACCCCACTGTGGTGTTGACATACATGTCTCGTCCATACAAGGAATAATTGATGCCACTATTTCCAATGACACCAATAGAACGATTTCTAGGTAAGAGTAAATACAAATAACCCCACTGTGGTGTTGACATACATGTCTCGTCCATACAAGGAATAATTGATGCCACTATTTCCAATGACATCAATAGAACGATTTCTAGGTAAGAGTAAAAATACAATTAACCCGACTGTGGTGTTGACAGACATTACTCGGCCATACAAGGAAGAATTGATGCCACTATTTCCAATGACACCAATGGGGCGATTTCCCGGTAAGAGTAAATACGATTAACCCCACTGTGTCGCGGACAGACATGACTCGGCCATAAAAGGGAGAATTAAAGCCAAGACTTGCCATATCACCATGGGGAAGATTTCCAAGTAAGAGTAAATACCACTAACCCCACTGTGGTGTGGACAGACATGACTCGGTCATAAAAGGAGGAAATAATGCCACTACTCCCAATGACATTATTGGGAAGATTTCAAAGTAAGAGTAAATACGATCAACACCACTGTGGTGTGGACAGACATGACTCAGCCATAAAAGGAATAACCAATGCCACTTTCCCAATGCCACCATGGGGAAGATTTCCAGGAAAGAGTAAATACAATTAACCGCACTGTTGTGTGGACAGACATGACTCGGCCATGAAAGGAAGAATAAATGCCACTACTTCCAATGACACCAATGGGAAGATTTCTAGGTAAGAGTAATACCATTAACTCCACTGTGGTATAGGTAGACATGACTCGGCCATAAAATGAGGAATTAATACCGCTACTTCAAATGACATTATTGGGGAGATTTCCAAGTAAGAGTAAATACGATCAACCCCACTGTGCTGTGGATAGACATGACTCAGCCATAAAAGAAAGAACCAATGCCACTTTCCCAATGACAGCATGAGAAAGATTTCCAGGTAAGAGTAAATACGATTAATCCTACTATGGTGTGGACAGACATGACTCGACCATAAAAGGAAGAATTAATGCCACTACTTCCAATGACACCAATAGAACGATTTCTAGGTAAGAGTAAATACAAATAACCCCACTGTGGTGTTGACATACATGTCTCGTTCATACAAGGAATAATTGATGCCACTATTTCCAATGACACCAATAAAACGATTTCTAGGTAAGAGTAAATACAAATAACCCCACTGTGGTGTTGACATACATGTCTCGTCCATACAAGGAATAATTGATGCCACTATTTCCAACGACACCAATAGAACGATTTCTAGGTAAGAGTTAATGCAATTAACCCGACTGTGGTGTTGACAGACATGACTAGGCCATAAAAGGAAGAATTAAAGCCACGACTTCCCATATCACCATGGGGAAGATTTCCAAGTAAGAGTAAATACCATTAACCCCACTGTGGTGTGTACAGACATGACTCGGTCATAAAAGGAGGAAATAATGCCACTACTTCCAATGACATTATTGGGAAGATTTCAAAGTAAGAGTAAATACGATCAACACCACTGAGGTGTGGACAGACATGACTCAGCCATAAAAGGAATAACCAATGCCACTTTCCCAATAACAGCATGGGGAAGATTTCCAGATAAGAGTAAATACAATTAATCCTACTGTAGTGTGGACAGACATGACTCGACCATAAAAGAAGAATTAATGCCACTACTTCAAATGACACAAATGGGAAGACTTCCAGGAAAGAGTAAATACAATTAACCGCACTGTTGTGTGGACAGACATGACTCGGCCATGAAAGGAAGAATAAATGCCACTACTTCCAATGACACCAATGGGAAGATTTCTAGGTAAGAGTAATACCATTAACTCCACTGTGGTATAGGTAGACATGACTCGGCCATAAAATGAGGAATTAATACCGCTACTTCAAATGACATTATTGGGGGAGATTTCCAAGTAAGAGTAAATACGATCAACCCCACTGTGCTGTGGATAGACATGACTCAGCCATAAATGAAAGAACCAATGCCACTTTCCCAATGACAGCATGAGAAAGATTTCCAGGTAAGAGTAAATACGATTAATCCTACTGTGGTGTGGACAGACATGACTCGACCATAAAAGGAAAAATTAATGCCACTTCTTCAAATGACACAAATGGGAAGATTTCCAGGTTAGAGTAAATACAATTAACCCCACTGTGGTGTGGACAGACATTAATCGGCCATACACGGCTGAATTGATGCCACTACTTCCAATGACACCAATGGGGCGATTTCCCGGTAAGAGTAAATACGATTAACCCCACTGTGTCGTGGACAGACATGACTCGGCCATAAAAGGAAGAATTAAAGCCACGACTTCCCATATCACCATGGGGAAGATTTCCAATTAAGAGTAAATACCATTAACCCCACTGTGGTGTGGACAGACATGACTCGGTCATAAAAGGAGGAAATAATGCCACTACTTCCAATGACATTATTGGGAAGATTTCAAAGTAAGAGTAAATACGATCAACACCACTGTGGTGTGGACAGACATGACTCAGCCATAAAAGGAATAACCAATGCCACTTTCCCAATGACAGCATGGGGAAGATTTCCAGGTAAGAGTAAATACGATTATTCCTACTGTGGTGTGGACAGACATGACTCGACCATAAAAGAAGAATTAATGCCACTACTTCAAATGACACAAATGGGAAGACTTCCAGGAAAGAGTAAATACAATTAACCGCACTGTTTCTAGGTAAGAGTAAATACAAATAACCCCACTGTGGTGATGCCACTATTTCCAATGACATTAATGGGGCGATTTCCCGGTAAGAGTAAATACCATTAACCCCACTGTGGTGTGGACAGACATGACTTGGTCATAAAAGGAGGAAATAATGCCACTACTTCCAATGACATTATTGGGAAGATTTCAAAGTAAGAGTAAATACGATCAACACCACTGTGGTGTGGACAGACATGACTCAGCCATAAAAGGAATAACCAATACCACTTTCCCAATGACAGCATGGGGAAGATTTCCAGGTAAGAGTAAATACGATTAATCCTACTGTGGTGTGGACAGACATGACTCGACCATAAAAAGAAGAATTAATGCCACTACTTCAAATGACGAAAATGGGAAGACATCCAGGTAAGAGTAAATACATTTAACACCACTGTTGTGTGGACAGACATTAATCGGCCATAAAGGATGAATTGATGCCACTACTTCCAATGACACCAATGGGTAGATTTCCAGGTAAGAGTAAATATGATTAACCCTACTGTGGTTTGGACAGACATGACTCGGCCATAAAAAGAAGAATTAATGCCATTACTTCCAATGACACCAATGGGAAGATTTCCAGGTAAGAGTAAATACAATTAACCCTACTGTGGTTTGGACAGACATGACTCGGCCATAAAAGGAAAAACTAATGCCACTTTCCCAATGACACCATGGGGAAGATTTTCCAGGTAAAAGTAAATACGATTAACCCCACTGTGGTGTGGACATACATGACTCGGCCATAAAAGGAAGAATTAATGCCACTACTTCCAATGACACCAATGGGAAGATTTCAAGGTAAGAGTAAATATACTTAACTCAACTGTGGTGTGGACAGACATTAATCGGCCTAAAAGGAAGAATTAATGCCGCTATTTCCAATTCCAATGACACCACAACGATTTCTAGGTAAGAGTAAATACGATCAACCCCTCTGTGGTGAAGACAGACATGACTCGGCCATACAAGGAAAAATTAATGCAACTAGTCCAACGACACCAATGGGAAGATTTCCAGGTAAGAAACATACGTAGAATGTCGAAAAATTAACTGATAAGACCCAAAAGGAAAATACCGAGAAAATATTATTTTGTTTAAAAATTTAAAATGAAAAAGACGAAAAGATATCATACATTTTTTTCTGTAAATGATTCCTCATATAGACTTCATTTTCTTTTTTAATGTTCTATGTATGTAGTATCAGAAGACGAGTTTTTGCTTATGTGGTTTGATAGCAAATGACACAATCATCTACCAGAGAACAAGGTCATCGTATTGCCTTCAACAATGAGCAAAACCCAAACTGCATAGTTTGTCATCAAATGCACTAGCATGGCAGAACAAATGAAACGATTAAAACGAAAAAAAAATAACGGTCTGATTCACTTTAAAACATTAAACGAAAAACAAATATGACAAACGACAACCAAATACAACCTCTGAATTACAGAATCCTGAAAGCACTGATAAATGACGAATGACGGGTTAAACAAAAATGGACACGCAATCCTCCCCTAAACTTGGACAATGGTGTAACAGCACAACACAAGAACAAAAGAGAAAAAGTACCGATTAGAGAGTACTCGCAGTTACGGAAATCTAGTTTAAAACCAATTACAGCTAACAGACAAATAATGTTTCCCCAGATAAAATTACCAATCAGTGCACACCAAACGGAATTTGTGTAAACATGTCATAAACAGTTCGAGAAAGGCATTATGTACCAAAAATTGTTGAACCTAAAATCAAACACTAGCTACTCGTCCAAATGTTCTGTATTGAGGTCATACTTTATAACTCTTTTTTCAGAGATAGAAGACGTAGTTAATACTGTAGTATTTTTACTAAGTGACCAGAGTGGAATGATTAGTGGTGAATCTCTCCGAGTTGATGGAGGATTAGGTGTACATTGATAACTGATTACGTGTATTTATGTATCAAGTAAATGCTTCAGATTAACATGTCACATACATACATAGATCCAGTGATGCTAAAGTTTAATCACTAATACAATTAGTTGAAATTCAGTTATTCTGTAATGCCAAACAAAAATGATATGAATAAGTTGTCTTATCACTAATAATCAAGTAAAGCATGTTGAACAAATTAAAAACTAGCGGTGCAATATGCTACACATGGCCGTCAGAAAGTACTCTTAAGTTTCTTTTTAAAGTAAAAGAACTTTTGATATTTTGAACTTCTTTAAAAAAAAATTGTTATTTATATCAAAATTTTTCATTTTCTTTTGAAATTTGTTTATTTGTTAGTTGAAAAACAATAAATACCTGAACATGTCATTTGGACATGTCATAAATCAAATTTCAGGTGGACAATATAAGTTAGACCGCTATATATAAAACATTTAATCATCAAAGAGCGGATACATGTGATAAACACGTAAATGTTGAACATGTTGGAACTAAACAATTTTAAGTACTGCAAAACTGGAACTATATCAGATATTCTAAAATGGTGTTTTCATGTTATCATCCTGCTCACCATGTTTCATTCTCAAACTTAAGTCAAGATTGGTGAAATATGATAAAAAAAAAGTATAAATAAAAATACCGAACTCCAAGAGAAATTCGGAGTAAAGTCAATAAAACCAGTCAAAATATCTACCATCGGAACGAATGGTAAGTAACCGTCATATTACTGATTTGGTACTGGCATTTTCCGAAGAAATGGTTGATTAAACCAGGTTTGATAGCTAACTAAACCTCTCACTTGTATGGGATAAGAGATGGAACTATAGCCTTAATCTTAGCAACTCACAAAATTGTTATAATGAAATGAAAACTTAAGGTTTGGACATTTGCTAAATCTATACTATCTATCATTCAAATTGTATGCCATGGAAGAGTTGAGAAGGTGATTTAATTCGATTTCTACAGCCTCCTTGTCTGGTATCGCTGTACTGTACTGATCTGCTTCTGGGCAAAGGTTTATGAGCCGCTGAAAATCACAACGGATAACGAATCGGCTATGACATTTATTTTGCCGGGAAAGCTTGTAAGATGATACCATATTGAAATATTACAACGAGAAAAAAATTATAATTCTGATGAGGTGCATATTTCTACTCGACTTTGAAGTTTTTGCAGGTCCCAATATGGTGGTTCGAAGAGCACCTGTTAACATTTATGTTCAAATTTACATGCTGCCCCACAAGTAAACATACCGTAGTTGTTACCCTTTCATGGTAGCGAGAATCTTTTGACATGTACAGGTTTAAAATCTCGGACATTTGACCAGATAAGAATAATTGATATCAAAAGTGTCTAAATGAACGGATCTTTGGGGTGTAGTGACATACAATACCCACAGCTCAATGTCAATTTCTACTCAAGCGTTTTGTGGACATCTAGCCTTGCGTAGGTTGTATTGCAATCATATTTGACCCAATCTTAGCCATACCCTCTCGTGGAAGCCATGTATTTCAGGAACTCTTGTCCTTCAATTAGGTCATTTTCCTAGCATAACATCCATAAAAAAGATAAAAGCATATGTCCATACAAGTAAATTTGTAATGGTACTCTGTTTTTGTGGAGCAATGGTTTATTGATCCCCTTTTACTGCAAGATCCGCACTTAAGGTGGCTCGGCCCTTTAACAGTGCGCAGTTTTCGACGCATGTTTCTAACGACGAGTGCGTGCTCTTCATCTTGGTAACGATCGCTTTGAGGGGCCTTCTCAAAAATAATTTTGACGACATCGGAACGCGGGCGTGTCTGAGAGAACCCTTTCTCGATGTCAAAAAGCGATGCAAAACGTTTTACAAAAAAGTAAATACAGTCAGAAATAAAGAGTGGTTAGTTACTCTTTCACAAAAAATTTTAAAAGGACAGAAATATAGGTATGGGGTTGTGCCGCGGTGATAAAAAATAATAAATTGAAATATTGAAATGGTGTACGATTGCCAATGACGCAACGTTTAACCCGGCGTAAACAAAGGACCTGAATGTCACCTTTTTTTAACATGAAATATCTTCATCTTTAAGTAATGGCCAGGAGTTTATTTCGAAGTATATAATAAATTTTCCCACTACAAAAGTTTTGGTAATAGTTAAAATGTTTTGATTTAACAAAACCAGTTTTGAATATATCACATTTCAAGCAAAGAATACATACTTAACAGTCTCATCCAACATTTTAATTCTACACATTTAATTGACATTCTTTATCAAATCATGGGCACGAAAAAAACGCTTTAAAACAACCACTGTCTTCTAACCTGGAGGTTTATTTTTTCGTTTATTGTTAGCGTGAAGATGATATCTAAAAACCTCTTTCATAACATAATTCGACGATTTCCGGAACTTATGTCCTATAATACATGTTTTCTATTCTAATATTTTCTTTTTCTTATTAAGGTCTTTCCTTTCACTATAAGGAAAGACCATACTGTATTTCTTCTAATTATTAGGTCTTTCCTCTTTTCCGTGGAAAGACCTATTGCTTTTGTTCTGATTATTTTTTTCTTCTTCCGCCACATTTTGTTCATGCAGTGTATAGTGGTTTCGAAAGATGTCGCTCAGATTTTTCCGAAAACCTTGTTATCATTCAAACACCGTAACCATAATAGGTAGAAAAAAAACCGAAGGGTGGAATTTGTTCAGGACCACACCCTGGTTCTTCGTTACATTTGGATCAAACAGATTCAACGACTCATTGATAGGGTTATGCCCCTTTGAAAATTAACCTATGTCGGTTGGCCACTTAAATTCAGAAACCGTAAGTCTCAGTCACCTAGGATCTTCACCAATGATCATCAATTCATGTGACCTTGAAAATGCCTCAAGGTCAAATTTTTTGACGTTGACCTTGACCTTTGACCTTACACCTTGTTATGGGATGATAACAGAAACCAAAGGTCACAAGGTCAAAGGTCAAGGTGATGTTTTTAAATAGCGAATTAAGTGTTTTTGACTTATTTAAAGTGTTCTAAATAAACTCATCATAGATACCAGGATTAAAATTTTATATTTACGCCAGACGCGTTTCGTCTACCAAAGACTCATCAGTGACGCTCGAATCAAAAAATGTTTAAAAGGCCAAATAAAGTACGAAGTTGAAGAACATTGAAGACCAAAAATTCCTAAAAGTTTTGCCAAATACAGCTAAGGTAATCTATTCCTGAGGTAGAAAAGCCTCAGTATTTCAAAAATTCAAAGTTTTGTTAACAATTTATTATTATGAACATATCAATTATAACTCTAGTCAACACAGAAGTGCTGACTACTGGTTTTAAACTGTGTTTTAAAGCTTTTTAAAGGTTGATCTGGACCTTCAACCTTACAACTTTTCATGGGATATCTCAAAAACCATTATACTTACAGAAATCGTGAATAGTGATAAATGTTTGGGTCATTAAGGCGCAACTTTTTAATATTTGACTGAAGAGATTTGACCTATCCGTAAAGGGCAAAACCCCCGTTAACGGTTTTTAAAAAGACAAAATTAGCTTTAACTCTTGAACCAAAGGTCCTAGACCCATGGAGTCTTTTGTAATGACATTGTGGACCAATGACCTTGAAAAAGGTCATAAGGTCAAAAGTCAAGGTCATGTCCAAAATTATGTGTTTCTGACCATATTTTAAGGGTTTTATGCGTGTTTTAGAGCTTTTCAATACATTCTACGCTTATCTTAACATATATTTTACGTAACAGAAAGGAAAGACCTGTCAATTGTTCACGAAAAAAGGAAAAATTGGGATTGATATTTCAAAGTTCCGCCAAGTACACATGTTAAATAACTCAGTGGTATAGGCAAACTTTAACTTCCTTAGTTTTACTTTTTTGAAAAGGGAAACAAATAACAAAAGTTGATGATTTTAGAAATGAATGGAGCAGGTCTTTACGGCAAAAAAAAATTTAATGACAGTTTTCATAATGAATGTGTAAAAACACTTGTTTGTTCTCGGACATAATATATATAATATACATGTAATATACTACATAAGTCTAAATTGAAAACAACGTTCAAACCTATGATTGCGTTGGATAAAAACCGCAATTTTTATACGTGTGCATGTAAAACAAATTTTGGTAGAGGGGTCTAAATACAGCAGAAACAACATTTTCTAAAAGACCAAAAAAGTGAAAAAGTGTATTTTAACAAAACGGATGTTCTTAAATCCTGCTGACTGCCATGGCGATTGCCAAATAAACGGATCACCAGATGTAACAAAATGTATCTTAAATATTAATTTAATACCAAACATGTAATATACTATATATATAGTTAGTATACAATTCCCAAGTTTGACCCACCTGCTGTAAAGTAACGAAATTATCGGTCTACGATGATACTGAGACGTCATATCTTTTTTTTATTAAACTGGACTCTTAGGGTAAGATATAAGAACATGTGGTATGAGTGCCAATGATTCAACTCACCATCCAAGTCACAATTTATAAAGGTAAATCATTATAGGTCAAAGTACGGTCTTCAACACGGAGCCTTGGCTCACACCGAACAGCAAGCTATAAAGGGCCCCAAAAATTACCCATTCAAACGGGAAAACCAACGGTCTAATCTATATAAAAAACGAGAAACAAGAAACACTTATTAACCACATCAACAAACGACAACTACTGAACATCAGATTCCTGACTTAGAACAGGTGCAATGGATATAGGAATATTTAAAAACTATAATGCTTACAAGCAAATGATGTGAACTATTAGGACTTGTTTCAATACAACCAAGAAGTATATCAGGATAAATCACATATCTTTTTAAAGTTGTAACCACAGATTCCTAGATACATCTGCATTTAAGGTAGTCACAGTTTTCAACACATTTTTTGTCTGAACAAGAATGCACAAGCTGAAATGTCTCTCCTGCTTTACTGATCTTGATTGCTTTTATGTTGATATTTCTAAAAATCAAGTTTTACTTCAAGTATCAGATAGACCAAGTCCGCCTTACAGTTATTCCATACACCAAACGTTGTTGAACTATAGCATATACATTATATACAGGAAACAGACCGAACCATGAAAACTTAATATTGACTTATTAA